CCCCTCGCCGTTACCCACCGCTCGCCATTCGCTCCTCCCCGCCCGTGCCCTCCCCTCGTTTACCTTCGCCTCCCCCCTCCCCTCCTCTGCTGCACGCCTCTTCCTTCCCCTCGCTAACCCACTCCACTCCCTGCCCCTCCTCAATCCGCACCCTGCCCCTCGTTTCTCGCCCCCCTACGCTTGGTTTCTCCCCTCCCTGCCCCTCGCCGCCTTTCTCCGCTCCCCACCTCCCCCCTCTCCCTGCCCCCCCACTCTCCTCCACTTGCCCTTGGCTTCCCACCTCCCTGCCCCACCTTTCCCCCCTCCGTGTGCTCAGCTTCTCCCCTCCCTGCCTCTCCCTCCTCCCCGCCCTGCCCCTCATTTTCCGCCCCCCCACGCCCGGTTTCTCCCCTCCCTGCACCTCCCTTTCTTTCTCCGTGCCTCTCCTTTGCTCCCTCCCTGCCCCCGCCTGCCCATGCCCCTGTCTTTGGTTTCTCCCCTCCCTGCCCCACGTTTCTTCCCTCCCTGAGATCACCTTGTACCCCCTCTGCCCCTCCCTTGTTCTCCCCGCACCCATTGCTTCTCCCCTCCCTGCCCTTGATTTCCCGCACCCCTGCCCTTGTTTCCTACCATCCATGCCCCTCGTTTCCCCTCTTTGTACGTTCACCCTCTTCCCTCCCTGCCCCTCCCTTCCTCCCCCCCTGCCCTTTGCTTTCCCCTCGTTACGCTCCCTTCTCCCCATCCCTGCTGCCCTCTTACCACCATCAGCCCGTCCCCACCACCAGCCCCCCTCCCACCCTTCTCCCCCCCCCCCTCTCCCTCTCTCTCTCTCTCTCTCTCTCTTTCTCTCGCACACACACACACACACACACTCCCCTCCCCCACCCCCCACCCACATCCTCCCGTTCTGCCCCTCCCTGCCCCTGTTCCACCCCCTCGCACGCCCCTCACCTCTCACCTCCGTTCAACTGGATTCCCCCCCTCTGGTGCATCCCTTGCATCGCTCGCCCCTCTGCTCACCCTCTGCCCGCCCCTTTTCCTTGCCCTCAGCTGGCCCAGCCCCTGCCCGTTGCTGCCCCTCCCCTTGCCCCCTCAACTCCCCTGCCCCCCGTACACCCCACTCCCGTCCAACCGCCCCCACCCTCCCCCGGCTGCCCGTTTCCGCTCTCCACCCCCGCGACCGTGTGCGGCTTCCAACCGCCCAACGGTGGTGCGCACGGGGCGTTTCTTCGCGCGGGCAAGCCTCCCCGGGGGCCCCCCACCCCGCTGACTCGTTGTTCGGGCAAAAAAAACGGAAATAAAAAAGTCGGACGCGCTAAAATCGTCCTTTGTTTTTCCCGCTTGCCCCTCCCCGGCACGTGCCGAGCAAGGGGCATAAATGGGTACAACACGAGGACTTCCCGGGAGGTCACCCAGCCCAGTACTGCTCTCGCCCACCGGCGCTTAGCTTCGGAGTTCTGATGGGATCCGGCGTAGTAGCCGAGGTATGATCGTACCACGACAATCCCGTGCCCCGACCGGTACACACCCCTTGCCCGGGTCCCCCCTTCATAGTCACACCCCCTGCCCCCTCATGCCATCCGCTCCCCCCGCCCCTACCCTCCGCGTGCCCGCTCCCTCGCCGCCTCTTTTGACCCTCCCTGCCCCCCTCGCCGTTACCCACCGCTCGCCATTCGCTCCTCCCCGCCCGTGCCCTCCCCTCGTTTACCTTCGCCTCCCCCCTCCCCTCCTCTGCTGCACGCCTCTTCCTTCCCCTCGCTAACCCACTCCACTCCCTGCCCCTCCTCAATCCGCACCCTGCCCCTCGTTTCTCGCCCCCCTACGCTTGGTTTCTCCCCTCCCTGCCCCTCGCCGCCTTTCTCCGCTCCCCACCTCCCCCCTCTCCCTGCCCCCCCACTCTCCTCCACTTGCCCTTGGCTTCCCACCTCCCTGCCCCACCTTTCCCCCCTCCGTGTGCTCAGCTTCTCCCCTCCCTGCCTCTCCCTCCTCCCCGCCCTGCCCCTCATTTTCCGCCCCCCCACGCCCGGTTTCTCCCCTCCCTGCACCTCCCTTTCTTTCTCCGTGCCTCTCCTTTGCTCCCTCCCTGCCCCCGCCTGCCCATGCCCCTGTCTTTGGTTTCTCCCCTCCCTGCCCCACGTTTCTTCCCTCCCTGAGATCACCTTGTACCCCCTCTGCCCCTCCCTTGTTCTCCCCGCACCCATTGCTTCTCCCCTCCCTGCCCTTGATTTCCCGCACCCCTGCCCTTGTTTCCTACCATCCATGCCCCTCGTTTCCCCTCTTTGTACGTTCACCCTCTTCCCTCCCTGCCCCTCCCTTCCTCCCCCCCTGCCCTTTGCTTTCCCCTCGTTACGCTCCCTTCTCCCCATCCCTGCTGCCCTCTTACCACCATCAGCCCGTCCCCACCACCAGCCCCCCTCCCACCCTTCTCCCCCCCCCCCCTCTCCCTCTCTCTCTCTCTCTCTCTCTCTCTTTCTCTCGCACACACACACACACACACACTCCCCTCCCCCACCCCCCACCCACATCCTCCCGTTCTGCCCCTCCCTGCCCCTGTTCCACCCCCTCGCACGCCCCTCACCTCTCACCTCCGTTCAACTGGATTCCCCCCCTCTGGTGCATCCCTTGCATCGCTCGCCCCTCTGCTCACCCTCTGCCCGCCCCTTTTCCTTGCCCTCAGCTGGCCCAGCCCCTGCCCGTTGCTGCCCCTCCCCTTGCCCCCTCAACTCCCCTGCCCCCCGTACACCCCACTCCCGTCCAACCGCCCCCACCCTCCCCCGGCTGCCCGTTTCCGCTCTCCACCCCCGCGACCGTGTGCGGCTTCCAACCGCCCAACGGTGGTGCGCACGGGGCGTTTCTTCGCGCGGGCAAGCCTCCCCGGGGGCCCCCCACCCCGCTGACTCGTTGTTCGGGCAAAAAAAACGGAAATAAAAAAGTCGGACGCGCTAAAATCGTCCTTTGTTTTTCCCGCTTGCCCCTCCCCGGCACGTGCCGAGCAAGGGGCATAAATGGGTACAACACGAGGACTTCCCGGGAGGTCACCCAGCCCAGTACTGCTCTCGCCCACCGGCGCTTAGCTTCGGAGTTCTGATGGGATCCGGCGTAGTAGCCGAGGTATGATCGTACCACGACAATCCCGTGCCCCGACCGGTACACACCCCTTGCCCGGGTCCCCCCTTCATAGTCACACCCCCTGCCCCCTCATGCCATCCGCTCCCCCCGCCCCTACCCTCCGCGTGCCCGCTCCCTCGCCGCCTCTTTTGACCCTCCCTGCCCCCCTCGCCGTTACCCACCGCTCGCCATTCGCTCCTCCCCGCCCGTGCCCTCCCCTCGTTTACCTTCGCCTCCCCCCTCCCCTCCTCTGCTGCACGCCTCTTCCTTCCCCTCGCTAACCCACTCCACTCCCTGCCCCTCCTCAATCCGCACCCTGCCCCTCGTTTCTCGCCCCCCTATGCTTGGTTTCTCCCCCCCTGCCCTTTGCTTTCCCCTCGTTACGCTCCCTTCTCCCCATCCCTGCTGCCCTCTTACCACCATCAGCCCGTCCCCACCACCAGCCCCCCTCCCACCCTTCTCCCCCCCCCCTCTCCCTCTCTCTCTCTCTCTCTCTATCTCTCTCACTCTCTCTCTCTCTCTCTCTCTTTCTCTCGCACACACACACACACACACACTCCCCTCCCCCACCCCCCACCCACATCCTCCCGTTCTGCCCCTCCCTGCCCCTGTTCCACCCCCTCGCACGCCCCTCACCTCTCACCTCCGTTCAACTGGATTCCCCCCCTCTGGTGCATCCCTTGCATCGCTCGCCCCTCTGCTCACCCTCTGCCCGCCCCTTTTCCTTGCCCTCAGCTGGCCCAGCCCCTGCCCGTTGCTGCCCCTCCCCTTGCCCCCTCAACTCCCCTGCCCCCCGTACACCCCACTCCCGTCCAACCGCCCCCACCCTCCCCCGGCTGCCCGTTTCCGCTCTCCACCCCCGCGACCGTGTGCGGCTTCCAACCGCCCAACGGTGGTGCGCACGGGGCGTTTCTTCGCGCGGGCAAGCCTCCCCGGGGGCCCCCCACCCCGCTGACTCGTTGTTCGGGCAAAAAAAACGGAAATAAAAAAGTCGGACGCGCTAAAATCGTCCTTTGTTTTTCCCGCTTGCCCCTCCCCGGCACGTGCCGAGCAAGGGGCATAAATGGGTACAACACGAGGACTTCCCGGGAGGTCACCCAGCCCAGTACTGCTCTCGCCCACCGGCGCTTAGCTTCGGAGTTCTGATGGGATCCGGCGTAGTAGCCGAGGTATGATCGTACCACGACAATCCCGTGCCCCGACCGGTACACACCCCTTGCCCGGGTCCCCCCTTCATAGTCACACCCCCTGCCCCCTCATGCCATCCGCTCCCCCCGCCCCTACCCTCCGCGTGCCCGCTCCCTCGCCGCCTCTTTTGACCCTCCCTGCCCCCCTCGCCGTTACCCACCGCTCGCCATTCGCTCCTCCCCGCCCGTGCCCTCCCCTCGTTTACCTTCGCCTCCCCCCTCCCCTCCTCTGCTGCACGCCTCTTCCTTCCCCTCGCTAACCCACTCCACTCCCTGCCCCTCCTCAATCCGCACCCTGCCCCTCGTTTCTCGCCCCCCTATGCTTGGTTTCTCCCCCCCTGCCCTTTGCTTTCCCCTCGTTACGCTCCCTTCTCCCCATCCCTGCTGCCCTCTTACCACCATCAGCCCGTCCCCACCACCAGCCCCCCTCCCACCCTTCTCCCCCCCCCCCTCTCCCTCTCTCTCTCTCTCTCTCTATCTCTCTCACTCTCTCTCTCTCTCTCTCTCTTTCTCTCGCACACACACACACACACACACACTCCCCTCCCCCACCCCCCACCCACATCCTCCCGTTCTGCCCCTCCCTGCCCCTGTTCCACCCCCTCGCACGCCCCTCACCTCTCACCTCCGTTCAACTGGATTCCCCCCCTCTGGTGCATCCCTTGCATCGCTCGCCCCTCTGCTCACCCTCTGCCCGCCCCTTTTCCTTGCCCTCAGCTGGCCCAGCCCCTGCCCGTTGCTGCCCCTCCCCTTGCCCCCTCAACTCCCCTGCCCCCCGTACACCCCACTCCCGTCCAACCGCCCCCACCCTCCCCCGGCTGCCCGTTTCCGCTCTCCACCCCCGCGACCGTGTGCGGCTTCCAACCGCCCAACGGTGGTGCGCACGGGGCGTTTCTTCGCGCGGGCAAGCCTCCCCGGGGGCCCCCCACCCCGCTGACTCGTTGTTCGGGCAAAAAAAACGGAAATAAAAAAGTCGGACGCGCTAAAATCGTCCTTTGTTTTTCCCGCTTGCCCCTCCCCGGCACGTGCCGAGCAAGGGGCATAAATGGGTACAACACGAGGACTTCCCGGGAGGTCACCCAGCCCAGTACTGCTCTCGCCCACCGGCGCTTAGCTTCGGAGTTCTGATGGGATCCGGCGTAGTAGCCGAGGTATGATCGTACCACGACAATCCCGTGCCCCGACCGGTACACACCCCTTGCCCGGGTCCCCCCTTCATAGTCACACCCCCTGCCCCCTCATGCCATCCGCTCCCCCCGCCCCTACCCTCCGCGTGCCCGCTCCCTCGCCGCCTCTTTTGACCCTCCCTGCCCCCCTCGCCGTTACCCACCGCTCGCCATTCGCTCCTCCCCGCCCGTGCCCTCCCCTCGTTTACCTTCGCCTCCCCCCTCCCCTCCTCTGCTGCACGCCTCTTCCTTCCCCTCGCTAACCCACTCCACTCCCTGCCCCTCCTCAATCCGCACCCTGCCCCTCGTTTCTCGCCCCCCTACGCTTGGTTTCTCCCCTCCCTGCCCCTCGCCGCCTTTCTCCGCTCCCCACCTCCCCCCTCTCCCTGCCCCCCCACTCTCCTCCACTTGCCCTTGGCTTCCCACCTCCCTGCCCCACCTTTCCCCCCTCCGTGTGCTCAGCTTCTCCCCTCCCTGCCTCTCCCTCCTCCCCGCCCTGCCCCTCATTTTCCGCCCCCCCACGCCCGGTTTCTCCCCTCCCTGCACCTCCCTTTCTTTCTCCGTGCCTCTCCTTTGCTCCCTCCCTGCCCCCGCCTGCCCATGCCCCTGTCTTTGGTTTCTCCCCTCCCTGCCCCACGTTTCTTCCCTCCCTGAGATCACCTTGTACCCCCTCTGCCCCTCCCTTGTTCTCCCCGCACCCATTGCTTCTCCCCTCCCTGCCCTTGATTTCCCGCACCCCTGCCCTTGTTTCCTACCATCCATGCCCCTCGTTTCCCCTCTTTGTACGTTCACCCTCTTCCCTCCCTGCCCCTCCCTTCCTCCCCCCCTGCCCTTTGCTTTCCCCTCGTTACGCTCCCTTCTCCCCATCCCTGCTGCCCTCTTACCACCATCAGCCCGTCCCCACCACCAGCCCCCCTCCCACCCTTCTCCCCCCCCCCCTCTCCCTCTCTCTCTCTCTCTCTCTCTCTTTCTCTCGCACACACACACACACACACACTCCCCTCCCCCACCCCCCACCCACATCCTCCCGTTCTGCCCCTCCCTGCCCCTGTTCCACCCCCTCGCACGCCCCTCACCTCTCACCTCCGTTCAACTGGATTCCCCCCCTCTGGTGCATCCCTTGCATCGCTCGCCCCTCTGCTCACCCTCTGCCCGCCCCTTTTCCTTGCCCTCAGCTGGCCCAGCCCCTGCCCGTTGCTGCCCCTCCCCTTGCCCCCTCAACTCCCCTGCCCCCCGTACACCCCACTCCCGTCCAACCGCCCCCACCCTCCCCCGGCTGCCCGTTTCCGCTCTCCACCCCCGCGACCGTGTGCGGCTTCCAACCGCCCAACGGTGGTGCGCACGGGGCGTTTCTTCGCGCGGGCAAGCCTCCCCGGGGGCCCCCCACCCCGCTGACTCGTTGTTCGGGCAAAAAAACGGAAATAAAAAAGTCGGACGCGCTAAAATCGTCCTTTGTTTTTCCCGCTTGCCCCTCCCCGGCACGTGCCGAGCAAGGGGCATAAATGGGTACAACACGAGGACTTCCCGGGAGGTCACCCAGCCCAGTACTGCTCTCGCCCACCGGCGCTTAGCTTCGGAGTTCTGATGGGATCCGGCGTAGTAGCCGAGGTATGATCGTACCACGACAATCCCGTGCCCCGACCGGTACACACCCCTTGCCCGGGTCCCCCCTTCATAGTCACACCCCCTGCCCCCTCATGCCATCCGCTCCCCCCGCCCCTACCCTCCGCGTGCCCGCTCCCTCGCCGCCTCTTTTGACCCTCCCTGCCCCCCTCGCCGTTACCCACCGCTCGCCATTCGCTCCTCCCCGCCCGTGCCCTCCCCTCGTTTACCTTCGCCTCCCCCCTCCCCTCCTCTGCTGCACGCCTCTTCCTTCCCCTCGCTAACCCACTCCACTCCCTGCCCCTCCTCAATCCGCACCCTGCCCCTCGTTTCTCGCCCCCCTACGCTTGGTTTCTCCCCTCCCTGCCCCTCGCCGCCTTTCTCCGCTCCCCACCTCCCCCCTCTCCCTGCCCCCCCACTCTCCTCCACTTGCCCTTGGCTTCCCACCTCCCTGCCCCACCTTTCCCCCCTCCGTGTGCTCAGCTTCTCCCCTCCCTGCCTCTCCCTCCTCCCCGCCCTGCCCCTCATTTTCCGCCCCCCCACGCCCGGTTTCTCCCCTCCCTGCACCTCCCTTTCTTTCTCCGTGCCTCTCCTTTGCTCCCTCCCTGCCCCCGCCTGCCCATGCCCCTGTCTTTGGTTTCTCCCCTCCCTGCCCCACGTTTCTTCCCTCCCTGAGATCACCTTGTACCCCCTCTGCCCCTCCCTTGTTCTCCCCGCACCCATTGCTTCTCCCCTCCCTGCCCTTGATTTCCCGCACCCCTGCCCTTGTTTCCTACCATCCATGCCCCTCGTTTCCCCTCTTTGTACGTTCACCCTCTTCCCTCCCTGCCCCTCCCTTCCTCCCCCCCTGCCCTTTGCTTTCCCCTCGTTACGCTCCCTTCTCCCCATCCCTGCTGCCCTCTTACCACCATCAGCCCGTCCCCACCACCAGCCCCCCTCCCACCCTTCTCCCCCCCCCCCCTCTCCCTCTCTCTCTCTCTCTCTCTCTCTTTCTCTCGCACACACACACACACACACACTCCCCTCCCCCACCCCCCACCCACATCCTCCCGTTCTGCCCCTCCCTGCCCCTGTTCCACCCCCTCGCACGCCCCTCACCTCTCACCTCCGTTCAACTGGATTCCCCCCCTCTGGTGCATCCCTTGCATCGCTCGCCCCTCTGCTCACCCTCTGCCCGCCCCTTTTCCTTGCCCTCAGCTGGCCCAGCCCCTGCCCGTTGCTGCCCCTCCCCTTGCCCCCTCAACTCCCCTGCCCCCCGTACACCCCACTCCCGTCCAACCGCCCCCACCCTCCCCCGGCTGCCCGTTTCCGCTCTCCACCCCCGCGACCGTGTGCGGCTTCCAACCGCCCAACGGTGGTGCGCACGGGGCGTTTCTTCGCGCGGGCAAGCCTCCCCGGGGGCCCCCCACCCCGCTGACTCGTTGTTCGGGCAAAAAAAACGGAAATAAAAAAGTCGGACGCGCTAAAATCGTCCTTTGTTTTTCCCGCTTGCCCCTCCCCGGCACGTGCCGAGCAAGGGGCATAAATGGGTACAACACGAGGACTTCCCGGGAGGTCACCCAGCCCAGTACTGCTCTCGCCCACCGGCGCTTAGCTTCGGAGTTCTGATGGGATCCGGCGTAGTAGCCGAGGTATGATCGTACCACGACAATCCCGTGCCCCGACCGGTACACACCCCTTGCCCGGGTCCCCCCTTCATAGTCACACCCCCTGCCCCCTCATGCCATCCGCTCCCCCCGCCCCTACCCTCCGCGTGCCCGCTCCCTCGCCGCCTCTTTTGACCCTCCCTGCCCCCCTCGCCGTTACCCACCGCTCGCCATTCGCTCCTCCCCGCCCGTGCCCTCCCCTCGTTTACCTTCGCCTCCCCCCTCCCCTCCTCTGCTGCACGCCTCTTCCTTCCCCTCGCTAACCCACTCCACTCCCTGCCCCTCCTCAATCCGCACCCTGCCCCTCGTTTCTCGCCCCCCTACGCTTGGTTTCTCCCCTCCCTGCCCCTCGCCGCCTTTCTCCGCTCCCCACCTCCCCCCTCTCCCTGCCCCCCCACTCTCCTCCACTTGCCCTTGGCTTCCCACCTCCCTGCCCCACCTTTCCCCCCTCCGTGTGCTCAGCTTCTCCCCTCCCTGCCTCTCCCTCCTCCCCGCCCTGCCCCTCATTTTCCGCCCCCCCACGCCCGGTTTCTCCCCTCCCTGCACCTCCCTTTCTTTCTCCGTGCCTCTCCTTTGCTCCCTCCCTGCCCCCGCCTGCCCATGCCCCTGTCTTTGGTTTCTCCCCTCCCTGCCCCACGTTTCTTCCCTCCCTGAGATCACCTTGTACCCCCTCTGCCCCTCCCTTGTTCTCCCCGCACCCATTGCTTCTCCCCTCCCTGCCCTTGATTTCCCGCACCCCTGCCCTTGTTTCCTACCATCCATGCCCCTCGTTTCCCCTCTTTGTACGTTCACCCTCTTCCCTCCCTGCCCCTCCCTTCCTCCCCCCCTGCCCTTTGCTTTCCCCTCGTTACGCTCCCTTCTCCCCATCCCTGCTGCCCTCTTACCACCATCAGCCCGTCCCCACCACCAGCCCCCCTCCCACCCTTCTCCCCCCCCCCCCTCTCCCTCTCTCTCTCTCTCTCTCTCTCTCTTTCTCTCGCACACACACACACACACACACTCCCCTCCCCCACCCCCCACCCACATCCTCCCGTTCTGCCCCTCCCTGCCCCTGTTCCACCCCCTCGCACGCCCCTCACCTCTCACCTCCGTTCAACTGGATTCCCCCCCTCTGGTGCATCCCTTGCATCGCTCGCCCCTCTGCTCACCCTCTGCCCGCCCCTTTTCCTTGCCCTCAGCTGGCCCAGCCCCTGCCCGTTGCTGCCCCTCCCCTTGCCCCCTCAACTCCCCTGCCCCCCGTACACCCCACTCCCGTCCAACCGCCCCCACCCTCCCCCGGCTGCCCGTTTCCGCTCTCCACCCCCGCGACCGTGTGCGGCTTCCAACCGCCCAACGGTGGTGCGCACGGGGCGTTTCTTCGCGCGGGCAAGCCTCCCCGGGGGCCCCCCACCCCGCTGACTCGTTGTTCGGGCAAAAAAACGGAAATAAAAAAGTCGGACGCGCTAAAATCGTCCTTTGTTTTTCCCGCTTGCCCCTCCCCGGCACGTGCCGAGCAAGGGGCATAAATGGGTACAACACGAGGACTTCCCGGGAGGTCACCCAGCCCAGTACTGCTCTCGCCCACCGGCGCTTAGCTTCGGAGTTCTGATGGGATCCGGCGTAGTAGCCGAGGTATGATCGTACCACGACAATCCCGTGCCCCGACCGGTACACACCCCTTGCCCGGGTCCCCCCTTCATAGTCACACCCCCTGCCCCCTCATGCCATCCGCTCCCCCCGCCCCTACCCTCCGCGTGCCCGCTCCCTCGCCGCCTCTTTTGACCCTCCCTGCCCCCCTCGCCGTTACCCACCGCTCGCCATTCGCTCCTCCCCGCCCGTGCCCTCCCCTCGTTTACCTTCGCCTCCCCCCTCCCCTCCTCTGCTGCACGCCTCTTCCTTCCCCTCGCTAACCCACTCCACTCCCTGCCCCTCCTCAATCCGCACCCTGCCCCTCGTTTCTCGCCCCCCTATGCTTGGTTTCTCCCCCCCTGCCCTTTGCTTTCCCCTCGTTACGCTCCCTTCTCCCCATCCCTGCTGCCCTCTTACCACCATCAGCCCGTCCCCACCACCAGCCCCCCTCCCACCCTTCTCCCCCCCCCCCTCTCCCTCTCTCTCTCTCTCTCTCTATCTCTCTCACTCTCTCTCTCTCTCTCTCTCTTTCTCTCGCACACACACACACACACACACTCCCCTCCCCCACCCCCCACCCACATCCTCCCGTTCTGCCCCTCCCTGCCCCTGTTCCACCCCCTCGCACGCCCCTCACCTCTCACCTCCGTTCAACTGGATTCCCCCCCTCTGGTGCATCCCTTGCATCGCTCGCCCCTCTGCTCACCCTCTGCCCGCCCCTTTTCCTTGCCCTCAGCTGGCCCAGCCCCTGCCCGTTGCTGCCCCTCCCCTTGCCCCCTCAACTCCCCTGCCCCCCGTACACCCCACTCCCGTCCAACCGCCCCCACCCTCCCCCGGCTGCCCGTTTCCGCTCTCCACCCCCGCGACCGTGTGCGGCTTCCAACCGCCCAACGGTGGTGCGCACGGGGCGTTTCTTCGCGCGGGCAAGCCTCCCCGGGGGCCCCCCACCCCGCTGACTCGTTGTTCGGGCAAAAAAAACGGAAATAAAAAAGTCGGACGCGCTAAAATCGTCCTTTGTTTTTCCCGCTTGCCCCTCCCCGGCACGTGCCGAGCAAGGGGCATAAATGGGTACAACACGAGGACTTCCCGGGAGGTCACCCAGCCCAGTACTGCTCTCGCCCACCGGCGCTTAGCTTCGGAGTTCTGATGGGATCCGGCGTAGTAGCCGAGGTATGATCGTACCACGACAATCCCGTGCCCCGACCGGTACACACCCCTTGCCCGGGTCCCCCCTTCATAGTCACACCCCCTGCCCCCTCATGCCATCCGCTCCCCCCGCCCCTACCCTCCGCGTGCCCGCTCCCTCGCCGCCTCTTTTGACCCTCCCTGCCCCCCTCGCCGTTACCCACCGCTCGCCATTCGCTCCTCCCCGCCCGTGCCCTCCCCTCGTTTACCTTCGCCTCCCCCCTCCCCTCCTCTGCTGCACGCCTCTTCCTTCCCCTCGCTAACCCACTCCACTCCCTGCCCCTCCTCAATCCGCACCCTGCCCCTCGTTTCTCGCCCCCCTACGCTTGGTTTCTCCCCTCCCTGCCCCTCGCCGCCTTTCTCCGCTCCCCACCTCCCCCCTCTCCCTGCCCCCCCACTCTCCTCCACTTGCCCTTGGCTTCCCACCTCCCTGCCCCACCTTTCCCCCCTCCGTGTGCTCAGCTTCTCCCCTCCCTGCCTCTCCCTCCTCCCCGCCCTGCCCCTCATTTTCCGCCCCCCCACGCCCGGTTTCTCCCCTCCCTGCACCTCCCTTTCTTTCTCCGTGCCTCTCCTTTGCTCCCTCCCTGCCCCCGCCTGCCCATGCCCCTGTCTTTGGTTTCTCCCCTCCCTGCCCCACGTTTCTTCCCTCCCTGAGATCACCTTGTACCCCCTCTGCCCCTCCCTTGTTCTCCCCGCACCCATTGCTTCTCCCCTCCCTGCCCTTGATTTCCCGCACCCCTGCCCTTGTTTCCTACCATCCATGCCCCTCGTTTCCCCTCTTTGTACGTTCACCCTCTTCCCTCCCTGCCCCTCCCTTCCTCCCCCCCTGCCCTTTGCTTTCCCCTCGTTACGCTCCCTTCTCCCCATCCCTGCTGCCCTCTTACCACCATCAGCCCGTCCCCACCACCAGCCCCCCTCCCACCCTTCTCCCCCCCCCCCTCTCCCTCTCTCTCTCTCTCTCTCTCTCTTTCTCTCGCACACACACACACACACACACTCCCCTCCCCCACCCCCCACCCACATCCTCCCGTTCTGCCCCTCCCTGCCCCTGTTCCACCCCCTCGCACGCCCCTCACCTCTCACCTCCGTTCAACTGGATTCCCCCCCTCTGGTGCATCCCTTGCATCGCTCGCCCCTCTGCTCACCCTCTGCCCGCCCCTTTTCCTTGCCCTCAGCTGGCCCAGCCCCTGCCCGTTGCTGCCCCTCCCCTTGCCCCCTCAACTCCCCTGCCCCCCGTACACCCCACTCCCGTCCAACCGCCCCCACCCTCCCCCGGCTGCCCGTTTCCGCTCTCCACCCCCGCGACCGTGTGCGGCTTCCAACCGCCCAACGGTGGTGCGCACGGGGCGTTTCTTCGCGCGGGCAAGCCTCCCCGGGGGCCCCCCACCCCGCTGACTCGTTGTTCGGGCAAAAAAAACGGAAATAAAAAAGTCGGACGCGCTAAAATCGTCCTTTGTTTTTCCCGCTTGCCCCTCCCCGGCACGTGCCGAGCAAGGGGCATAAATGGGTACAACACGAGGACTTCCCGGGAGGTCACCCAGCCCAGTACTGCTCTCGCCCACCGGCGCTTAGCTTCGGAGTTCTGATGGGATCCGGCGTAGTAGCCGAGGTATGATCGTACCACGACAATCCCGTGCCCCGACCGGTACACACCCCTTGCCCGGGTCCCCCCTTCATAGTCACACCCCCTGCCCCCTCATGCCATCCGCTCCCCCCGCCCCTACCCTCCGCGTGCCCGCTCCCTCGCCGCCTCTTTTGACCCTCCCTGCCCCCCTCGCCGTTACCCACCGCTCGCCATTCGCTCCTCCCCGCCCGTGCCCTCCCCTCGTTTACCTTCGCCTCCCCCCTCCCCTCCTCTGCTGCACGCCTCTTCCTTCCCCTCGCTAACCCACTCCACTCCCTGCCCCTCCTCAATCCGCACCCTGCCCCTCGTTTCTCGCCCCCCTATGCTTGGTTTCTCCCCCCCTGCCCTTTGCTTTCCCCTCGTTACGCTCCCTTCTCCCCATCCCTGCTGCCCTCTTACCACCATCAGCCCGTCCCCACCACCAGCCCCCCTCCCACCCTTCTCCCCCCCCCCCTCTCCCTCTCTCTCTCTCTCTCTCTATCTCTCTCACTCTCTCTCTCTCTCTCTCTCTTTCTCTCGCACACACACACACACACACACTCCCCTCCCCCACCCCCCACCCACATCCTCCCGTTCTGCCCCTCCCTGCCCCTGTTCCACCCCCTCGCACGCCCCTCACCTCTCACCTCCGTTCAACTGGATTCCCCCCCTCTGGTGCATCCCTTGCATCGCTCGCCCCTCTGCTCACCCTCTGCCCGCCCCTTTTCCTTGCCCTCAGCTGGCCCAGCCCCTGCCCGTTGCTGCCCCTCCCCTTGCCCCCTCAACTCCCCTGCCCCCCGTACACCCCACTCCCGTCCAACCGCCCCCACCCTCCCCCGGCTGCCCGTTTCCGCTCTCCACCCCCGCGACCGTGTGCGGCTTCCAACCGCCCAACGGTGGTGCGCACGGGGCGTTTCTTCGCGCGGGCAAGCCTCCCCGGGGGCCCCCCACCCCGCTGACTCGTTGTTCGGGCAAAAAAAACGGAAATAAAAAAGTCGGACGCGCTAAAATCGTCCTTTGTTTTTCCCGCTTGCCCCTCCCCGGCACGTGCCGAGCAAGGGGCATAAATGGGTACAACACGAGGACTTCCCGGGAGGTCACCCAGCCCAGTACTGCTCTCGCCCACCGGCGCTTAGCTTCGGAGTTCTGATGGGATCCGGCGTAGTAGCCGAGGTATGATCGTACCACGACAATCCCGTGCCCCGACCGGTACACACCCCTTGCCCGGGTCCCCCCTTCATAGTCACACCCCCTGCCCCCTCATGCCATCCGCTCCCCCCGCCCCTACCCTCCGCGTGCCCGCTCCCTCGCCGCCTCTTTTGACCCTCCCTGCCCCCCTCGCCGTTACCCACCGCTCGCCATTCGCTCCTCCCCGCCCGTGCCCTCCCCTCGTTTACCTTCGCCTCCCCCCTCCCCTCCTCTGCTGCACGCCTCTTCCTTCCCCTCGCTAACCCACTCCACTCCCTGCCCCTCCTCAATCCGCACCCTGCCCCTCGTTTCTCGCCCCCCTACGCTTGGTTTCTCCCCTCCCTGCCCCTCGCCGCCTTTCTCCGCTCCCCACCTCCCCCCTCTCCCTGCCCCCCCACTCTCCTCCACTTGCCCTTGGCTTCCCACCTCCCTGCCCCACCTTTCCCCCCTCCGTGTGCTCAGCTTCTCCCCTCCCTGCCTCTCCCTCCTCCCCGCCCTGCCCCTCATTTTCCGCCCCCCCACGCCCGGTTTCTCCCCTCCCTGCACCTCCCTTTCTTTCTCCGTGCCTCTCCTTTGCTCCCTCCCTGCCCCCGCCTGCCCATGCCCCTGTCTTTGGTTTCTCCCCTCCCTGCCCCACGTTTCTTCCCTCCCTGAGATCACCTTGTACCCCCTCTGCCCCTCCCTTGTTCTCCCCGCACCCATTGCTTCTCCCCTCCCTGCCCTTGATTTCCCGCACCCCTGCCCTTGTTTCCTACCATCCATGCCCCTCGTTTCCCCTCTTTGTACGTTCACCCTCTTCCCTCCCTGCCCCTCCCTTCCTCCCCCCCTGCCCTTTGCTTTCCCCTCGTTACGCTCCCTTCTCCCCATCCCTGCTGCCCTCTTACCACCATCAGCCCGTCCCCACCACCAGCCCCCCTCCCACCCTTCTCCCCCCCCCCCTCTCCCTCTCTCTCTCTCTCTCTCTCTCTCTTTCTCTCGCACACACACACACACACACACTCCCCTCCCCCACCCCCCACCCACATCCTCCCGTTCTGCCCCTCCCTGCCCCTGTTCCACCCCCTCGCACGCCCCTCACCTCTCACCTCCGTTCAACTGGATTCCCCCCCTCTGGTGCATCCCTTGCATCGCTCGCCCCTCTGCTCACCCTCTGCCCGCCCCTTTTCCTTGCCCTCAGCTGGCCCAGCCCCTGCCCGTTGCTGCCCCTCCCCTTGCCCCCTCAACTCCCCTGCCCCCCGTACACCCCACTCCCGTCCAACCGCCCCCACCCTCCCCCGGCTGCCCGTTTCCGCTCTCCACCCCCGCGACCGTGTGCGGCTTCCAACCGCCCAACGGTGGTGCGCACGGGGCGTTTCTTCGCGCGGGCAAGCCTCCCCGGGGGCCCCCCACCCCGCTGACTCGTTGTTCGGGCAAAAAAACGGAAATAAAAAAGTCGGACGCGCTAAAATCGTCCTTTGTTTTTCCCGCTTGCCCCTCCCCGGCACGTGCCGAGCAAGGGGCATAAATGGGTACAACACGAGGACTTCCCGGGAGGTCACCCAGCCCAGTACTGCTCTCGCCCACCGGCGCTTAGCTTCGGAGTTCTGATGGGATCCGGCGTAGTAGCCGAGGTATGATCGTACCACGACAATCCCGTGCCCCGACCGGTACACACCCCTTGCCCGGGTCCCCCCTTCATAGTCACACCCCCTGCCCCCTCATGCCATCCGCTCCCCCCGCCCCTACCCTCCGCGTGCCCGCTCCCTCGCCGCCTCTTTTGACCCTCCCTGCCCCCCTCGCCGTTACCCACCGCTCGCCATTCGCTCCTCCCCGCCCGTGCCCTCCCCTCGTTTACCTTCGCCTCCCCCCTCCCCTCCTCTGCTGCACGCCTCTTCCTTCCCCTCGCTAACCCACTCCACTCCCTGCCCCTCCTCAATCCGCACCCTGCCCCTCGTTTCTCGCCCCCCTATGCTTGGTTTCTCCCCCCCTGCCCTTTGCTTTCCCCTCGTTACGCTCCCTTCTCCCCATCCCTGCTGCCCTCTTACCACCATCAGCCCGTCCCCACCACCAGCCCCCCTCCCACCCTTCTCCCCCCCCCCCTCTCCCTCTCTCTCTCTCTCTCTCTATCTCTCTCACTCTCTCTCTCTCTCTCTCTCTTTCTCTCGCACACACACACACACACACACTCCCCTCCCCCACCCCCCACCCACATCCTCCCGTTCTGCCCCTCCCTGCCCCTGTTCCACCCCCTCGCACGCCCCTCACCTCTCACCTCCGTTCAACTGGATTCCCCCCCTCTGGTGCATCCCTTGCATCGCTCGCCCCTCTGCTCACCCTCTGCCCGCCCCTTTTCCTTGCCCTCAGCTGGCCCAGCCCCTGCCCGTTGCTGCCCCTCCCCTTGCCCCCTCAACTCCCCTGCCCCCCGTACACCCCACTCCCGTCCAACCGCCCCCACCCTCCCCCGGCTGCCCGTTTCCGCTCTCCACCCCCGCGACCGTGTGCGGCTTCCAACCGCCCAACGGTGGTGCGCACGGGGCGTTTCTTCGCGCGGGCAAGCCTCCCCGGGGGCCCCCCACCCCGCTGACTCGTTGTTCGGGCAAAAAAAACGGAAATAAAAAAGTCGGACGCGCTAAAATCGTCCTTTGTTTTTCCCGCTTGCCCCTCCCCGGCACGTGCCGAGCAAGGGGCATAAATGGGTACAACACGAGGACTTCCCGGGAGGTCACCCAGCCCAGTACTGCTCTCGCCCACCGGCGCTTAGCTTCGGAGTTCTGATGGGATCCGGCGTAGTAGCCGAGGTATGATCGTACCACGACAATCCCGTGCCCCGACCGGTACACACCCCTTGCCCGGGTCCCCCCTTCATAGTCACACCCCCTGCCCCCTCATGCCATCCGCTCCCCCCGCCCCTACCCTCCGCGTGCCCGCTCCCTCGCCGCCTCTTTTGACCCTCCCTGCCCCCCTCGCCGTTACCCACCGCTCGCCATTCGCTCCTCCCCGCCCGTGCCCTCCCCTCGTTTACCTTCGCCTCCCCCCTCCCCTCCTCTGCTGCACGCCTCTTCCTTCCCCTCGCTAACCCACTCCACTCCCTGCCCCTCCTCAATCCGCACCCTGCCCCTCGTTTCTCGCCCCCCTACGCTTGGTTTCTCCCCTCCCTGCCCCTCGCCGCCTTTCTCCGCTCCCCACCTCCCCCCTCTCCCTGCCCCCCCACTCTCCTCCACTTGCCCTTGGCTTCCCACCTCCCTGCCCCACCTTTCCCCCCTCCGTGTGCTCAGCTTCTCCCCTCCCTGCCTCTCCCTCCTCCCCGCCCTGCCCCTCATTTTCCGCCCCCCCACGCCCGGTTTCTCCCCTCCCTGCACCTCCCTTTCTTTCTCCGTGCCTCTCCTTTGCTCCCTCCCTGCCCCCGCCTGCCCATGCCCCTGTCTTTGGTTTCTCCCCTCCCTGCCCCACGTTTCTTCCCTCCCTGAGATCACCTTGTACCCCCTCTGCCCCTCCCTTGTTCTCCCCGCACCCATTGCTTCTCCCCTCCCTGCCCTTGATTTCCCGCACCCCTGCCCTTGTTTCCTACCATCCATGCCCCTCGTTTCCCCTCTTTGTACGTTCACCCTCTTCCCTCCCTGCCCCTCCCTTCCTCCCCCCCTGCCCTTTGCTTTCCCCTCGTTACGCTCCCTTCTCCCCATCCCTGCTGCCCTCTTACCACCATCAGCCCGTCCCCACCACCAGCCCCCCTCCCACCCTTCTCCCCCCCCCCCTCTCCCTCTCTCTCTCTCTCTCTCTCTCTCTTTCTCTCGCACACACACACACACACACACTCCCCTCCCCCACCCCCCACCCACATCCTCCCGTTCTGCCCCTCCCTGCCCCTGTTCCACCCCCTCGCACGCCCCTCACCTCTCACCTCCGTTCAACTGGATTCCCCCCCTCTGGTGCATCCCTTGCATCGCTCGCCCCTCTGCTCACCCTCTGCCCGCCCCTTTTCCTTGCCCTCAGCTGGCCCAGCCCCTGCCCGTTGCTGCCCCTCCCCTTGCCCCCTCAACTCCCCTGCCCCCCGTACACCCCACTCCCGTCCAACCGCCCCCACCCTCCCCCGGCTGCCCGTTTCCGCTCTCCACCCCCGCGACCGTGTGCGGCTTCCAACCGCCCAACGGTGGTGCGCACGGGGCGTTTCTTCGCGCGGGCAAGCCTCCCCGGGGGCCCCCCACCCCGCTGACTCGTTGTTCGGGCAAAAAAAACGGAAATAAAAAAGTCGGACGCGCTAAAATCGTCCTTTGTTTTTCCCGCTTGCCCCTCCCCGGCACGTGCCGAGCAAGGGGCATAAATGGGTACAACACGAGGACTTCCCGGGAGGTCACCCAGCCCAGTACTGCTCTCGCCCACCGGCGCTTAGCTTCGGAGTTCTGATGGGATCCGGCGTAGTAGCCGAGGTATGATCGTACCACGACAATCCCGTGCCCCGACCGGTACACACCCCTTGCCCGGGTCCCCCCTTCATAGTCACACCCCCTGCCCCCTCATGCCATCCGCTCCCCCCGCCCCTACCCTCCGCGTGCCCGCTCCCTCGCCGCCTCTTTTGACCCTCCCTGCCCCCCTCGCCGTTACCCACCGCTCGCCATTCGCTCCTCCCCGCCCGTGCCCTCCCCTCGTTTACCTTCGCCTCCCCCCTCCCCTCCTCTGCTGCACGCCTCTTCCTTCCCCTCGCTAACCCACTCCACTCCCTGCCCCTCCTCAATCCGCACCCTGCCCCTCGTTTCTCGCCCCCCTACGCTTGGTTTCTCCCCTCCCTGCCCCTCGCCGCCTTTCTCCGCTCCCCACCTCCCCCCTCTCCCTGCCCCCCCACTCTCCTCCACTTGCCCTTGGCTTCCCACCTCCCTGCCCCACCTTTCCCCCCTCCGTGTGCTCAGCTTCTCCCCTCCCTGCCTCTCCCTCCTCCCCGCCCTGCCCCTCATTTTCCGCCCCCCCACGCCCGGTTTCTCCCCTCCCTGCACCTCCCTTTCTTTCTCCGTGCCTCTCCTTTGCTCCCTCCCTGCCCCCGCCTGCCCATGCCCCTGTCTTTGGTTTCTCCCCTCCCTGCCCCACGTTTCTTCCCTCCCTGAGATCACCTTGTACCCCCTCTGCCCCTCCCTTGTTCTCCCCGCACCCATTGCTTCTCCCCTCCCTGCCCTTGATTTCCCGCACCCCTGCCCTTGTTTCCTACCATCCATGCCCCTCGTTTCCCCTCTTTGTACGTTCACCCTCTTCCCTCCCTGCCCCTCCCTTCCTCCCCCCCTGCCCTTTGCTTTCCCCTCGTTACGCTCCCTTCTCCCCATCCCTGCTGCCCTCTTACCACCATCAGCCCGTCCCCACCACCAGCCCCCCTCCCACCCTTCTCCCCCCCCCCCTCTCCCTCTCTCTCTCTCTCTCTCTCTCTCTTTCTCTCGCACACACACACACACACACACTCCCCTCCCCCACCCCCCACCCACATCCTCCCGTTCTGCCCCTCCCTGCCCCTGTTCCACCCCCTCGCACGCCCCTCACCTCTCACCTCCGTTCAACTGGATTCCCCCCCTCTGGTGCATCCCTTGCATCGCTCGCCCCTCTGCTCACCCTCTGCCCGCCCCTTTTCCTTGCCCTCAGCTGGCCCAGCCCCTGCCCGTTGCTGCCCCTCCCCTTGCCCCCTCAACTCCCCTGCCCCCCGTACACCCCACTCCCGTCCAACCGCCCCCACCCTCCCCCGGCTGCCCGTTTCCGCTCTCCACCCCCGCGACCGTGTGCGGCTTCCAACCGCCCAACGGTGGTGCGCACGGGGCGTTTCTTCGCGCGGGCAAGCCTCCCCGGGGGCCCCCCACCCCGCTGACTCGTTGTTCGGGCAAAAAAAACGGAAATAAAAAAGTCGGACGCGCTAAAATCGTCCTTTGTTTTTCCCGCTTGCCCCTCCCCGGCACGTGCCGAGCAAGGGGCATAAATGGGTACAACACGAGGACTTCCCGGGAGGTCACCCAGCCCAGTACTGCTCTCGCCCACCGGCGCTTAGCTTCGGAGTTCTGATGGGATCCGGCGTAGTAGCCGAGGTATGATCGTACCACGACAATCCCGTGCCCCGACCGGTACACACCCCTTGCCCGGGTCCCCCCTTCATAGTCACACCCCCTGCCCCCTCATGCCATCCGCTCCCCCCGCCCCTACCCTCCGCGTGCCCGCTCCCTCGCCGCCTCTTTTGACCCTCCCTGCCCCCCTCGCCGTTACCCACCGCTCGCCATTCGCTCCTCCCCGCCCGTGCCCTCCCCTCGTTTACCTTCGCCTCCCCCCTCCCCTCCTCTGCTGCACGCCTCTTCCTTCCCCTCGCTAACCCACTCCACTCCCTGCCCCTCCTCAATCCGCACCCTGCCCCTCGTTTCTCGCCCCCCTATGCTTGGTTTCTCCCCCCCTGCCCTTTGCTTTCCCCTCGTTACGCTCCCTTCTCCCCATCCCTGCTGCCCTCTTACCACCATCAGCCCGTCCCCACCACCAGCCCCCCTCCCACCCTTCTCCCCCCCCCCCTCTCCCTCTCTCTCTCTCTCTCTCTATCTCTCTCACTCTCTCTCTCTCTCTCTCTCTTTCTCTCGCACACACACACACACACACACTCCCCTCCCCCACCCCCCACCCACATCCTCCCGTTCTGCCCCTCCCTGCCCCTGTTCCACCCCCTCGCACGCCCCTCACCTCTCACCTCCGTTCAACTGGATTCCCCCCCTCTGGTGCATCCCTTGCATCGCTCGCCCCTCTGCTCACCCTCTGCCCGCCCCTTTTCCTTGCCCTCAGCTGGCCCAGCCCCTGCCCGTTGCTGCCCCTCCCCTTGCCCCCTCAACTCCCCTGCCCCCCGTACACCCCACTCCCGTCCAACCGCCCCCACCCTCCCCCGGCTGCCCGTTTCCGCTCTCCACCCCCGCGACCGTGTGCGGCTTCCAACCGCCCAACGGTGGTGCGCACGGGGCGTTTCTTCGCGCGGGCAAGCCTCCCCGGGGGCCCCCCACCCCGCTGACTCGTTGTTCGGGCAAAAAAACGGAAATAAAAAAGTCGGACGCGCTAAAATCGTCCTTTGTTTTTCCCGCTTGCCCCTCCCCGGCACGTGCCGAGCAAGGGGCATAAATGGGTACAACACGAGGACTTCCCGGGAGGTCACCCAGCCCAGTACTGCTCTCGCCCACCGGCGCTTAGCTTCGGAGTTCTGATGGGATCCGGCGTAGTAGCCGAGGTATGATCGTACCACGACAATCCCGTGCCCCGACCGGTACACACCCCTTGCCCGGGTCCCCCCTTCATAGTCACACCCCCTGCCCCCTCATGCCATCCGCTCCCCCCGCCCCTACCCTCCGCGTGCCCGCTCCCTCGCCGCCTCTTTTGACCCTCCCTGCCCCCCTCGCCGTTACCCACCGCTCGCCATTCGCTCCTCCCCGCCCGTGCCCTCCCCTCGTTTACCTTCGCCTCCCCCCTCCCCTCCTCTGCTGCACGCCTCTTCCTTCCCCTCGCTAACCCACTCCACTCCCTGCCCCTCCTCAATCCGCACCCTGCCCCTCGTTTCTCGCCCCCCTACGCTTGGTTTCTCCCCTCCCTGCCCCTCGCCGCCTTTCTCCGCTCCCCACCTCCCCCCTCTCCCTGCCCCCCCACTCTCCTCCACTTGCCCTTGGCTTCCCACCTCCCTGCCCCACCTTTCCCCCCTCCGTGTGCTCAGCTTCTCCCCTCCCTGCCTCTCCCTCCTCCCCGCCCTGCCCCTCATTTTCCGCCCCCCCACGCCCGGTTTCTCCCCTCCCTGCACCTCCCTTTCTTTCTCCGTGCCTCTCCTTTGCTCCCTCCCTGCCCCCGCCTGCCCATGCCCCTGTCTTTGGTTTCTCCCCTCCCTGCCCCACGTTTCTTCCCTCCCTGAGATCACCTTGTACCCCCTCTGCCCCTCCCTTGTTCTCCCCGCACCCATTGCTTCTCCCCTCCCTGCCCTTGATTTCCCGCACCCCTGCCCTTGTTTCCTACCATCCATGCCCCTCGTTTCCCCTCTTTGTACGTTCACCCTCTTCCCTCCCTGCCCCTCCCTTCCTCCCCCCCTGCCCTTTGCTTTCCCCTCGTTACGCTCCCTTCTCCCCATCCCTGCTGCCCTCTTACCACCATCAGCCCGTCCCCACCACCAGCCCCCCTCCCACCCTTCTCCCCCCCCCCCTCTCCCTCTCTCTCTCTCTCTCTCTCTCTTTCTCTCGCACACACACACACACACACACTCCCCTCCCCCACCCCCCACCCACATCCTCCCGTTCTGCCCCTCCCTGCCCCTGTTCCACCCCCTCGCACGCCCCTCACCTCTCACCTCCGTTCAACTGGATTCCCCCCCTCTGGTGCATCCCTTGCATCGCTCGCCCCTCTGCTCACCCTCTGCCCGCCCCTTTTCCTTGCCCTCAGCTGGCCCAGCCCCTGCCCGTTGCTGCCCCTCCCCTTGCCCCCTCAACTCCCCTGCCCCCCGTACACCCCACTCCCGTCCAACCGCCCCCACCCTCCCCCGGCTGCCCGTTTCCGCTCTCCACCCCCGCGACCGTGTGCGGCTTCCAACCGCCCAACGGTGGTGCGCACGGGGCGTTTCTTCGCGCGGGCAAGCCTCCCCGGGGGCCCCCCACCCCGCTGACTCGTTGTTCGGGCAAAAAAAACGGAAATAAAAAAGTCGGACGCGCTAAAATCGTCCTTTGTTTTTCCCGCTTGCCCCTCCCCGGCACGTGCCGAGCAAGGGGCATAAATGGGTACAACACGAGGACTTCCCGGGAGGTCACCCAGCCCAGTACTGCTCTCGCCCACCGGCGCTTAGCTTCGGAGTTCTGATGGGATCCGGCGTAGTAGCCGAGGTATGATCGTACCACGACAATCCCGTGCCCCGACCGGTACACACCCCTTGCCCGGGTCCCCCCTTCATAGTCACACCCCCTGCCCCCTCATGCCATCCGCTCCCCCCGCCCCTACCCTCCGCGTGCCCGCTCCCTCGCCGCCTCTTTTGACCCTCCCTGCCCCCCTCGCCGTTACCCACCGCTCGCCATTCGCTCCTCCCCGCCCGTGCCCTCCCCTCGTTTACCTTCGCCTCCCCCCTCCCCTCCTCTGCTGCACGCCTCTTCCTTCCCCTCGCTAACCCACTCCACTCCCTGCCCCTCCTCAATCCGCACCCTGCCCCTCGTTTCTCGCCCCCCTATGCTTGGTTTCTCCCCCCCTGCCCTTTGCTTTCCCCTCGTTACGCTCCCTTCTCCCCATCCCTGCTGCCCTCTTACCACCATCAGCCCGTCCCCACCACCAGCCCCCCTCCCACCCTTCTCCCCCCCCCCTCTCCCTCTCTCTCTCTCTCTCTCTATCTCTCTCACTCTCTCTCTCTCTCTCTCTCTTTCTCTCGCACACACACACACACACACACTCCCCTCCCCCACCCCCCACCCACATCCTCCCGTTCTGCCCCTCCCTGCCCCTGTTCCACCCCCTCGCACGCCCCTCACCTCTCACCTCCGTTCAACTGGATTCCCCCCCTCTGGTGCATCCCTTGCATCGCTCGCCCCTCTGCTCACCCTCTGCCCGCCCCTTTTCCTTGCCCTCAGCTGGCCCAGCCCCTGCCCGTTGCTGCCCCTCCCCTTGCCCCCTCAACTCCCCTGCCCCCCGTACACCCCACTCCCGTCCAACCGCCCCCACCCTCCCCCGGCTGCCCGTTTCCGCTCTCCACCCCCGCGACCGTGTGCGGCTTCCAACCGCCCAACGGTGGTGCGCACGGGGCGTTTCTTCGCGCGGGCAAGCCTCCCCGGGGGCCCCCCACCCCGCTGACTCGTTGTTCGGGCAAAAAAAACGGAAATAAAAAAGTCGGACGCGCTAAAATCGTCCTTTGTTTTTCCCGCTTGCCCCTCCCCGGCACGTGCCGAGCAAGGGGCATAAATGGGTACAACACGAGGACTTCCCGGGAGGTCACCCAGCCCAGTACTGCTCTCGCCCACCGGCGCTTAGCTTCGGAGTTCTGATGGGATCCGGCGTAGTAGCCGAGGTATGATCGTACCACGACAATCCCGTGCCCCGACCGGTACACACCCCTTGCCCGGGTCCCCCCTTCATAGTCACACCCCCTGCCCCCTCATGCCATCCGCTCCCCCCGCCCCTACCCTCCGCGTGCCCGCTCCCTCGCCGCCTCTTTTGACCCTCCCTGCCCCCCTCGCCGTTACCCACCGCTCGCCATTCGCTCCTCCCCGCCCGTGCCCTCCCCTCGTTTACCTTCGCCTCCCCCCTCCCCTCCTCTGCTGCACGCCTCTTCCTTCCCCTCGCTAACCCACTCCACTCCCTGCCCCTCCTCAATCCGCACCCTGCCCCTCGTTTCTCGCCCCCCTATGCTTGGTTTCTCCCCCCCTGCCCTTTGCTTTCCCCTCGTTACGCTCCCTTCTCCCCATCCCTGCTGCCCTCTTACCACCATCAGCCCGTCCCCACCACCAGCCCCCCTCCCACCCTTCTCCCCCCCCCCTCTCCCTCTCTCTCTCTCTCTCTCTATCTCTCTCACTCTCTCTCTCTCTCTCTCTCTTTCTCTCGCACACACACACACACACACACTCCCCTCCCCCACCCCCCACCCACATCCTCCCGTTCTGCCCCTCCCTGCCCCTGTTCCACCCCCTCGCACGCCCCTCACCTCTCACCTCCGTTCAACTGGATTCCCCCCCTCTGGTGCATCCCTTGCATCGCTCGCCCCTCTGCTCACCCTCTGCCCGCCCCTTTTCCTTGCCCTCAGCTGGCCCAGCCCCTGCCCGTTGCTGCCCCTCCCCTTGCCCCCTCAACTCCCCTGCCCCCCGTACACCCCACTCCCGTCCAACCGCCCCCACCCTCCCCCGGCTGCCCGTTTCCGCTCTCCACCCCCGCGACCGTGTGCGGCTTCCAACCGCCCAACGGTGGTGCGCACGGGGCGTTTCTTCGCGCGGGCAAGCCTCCCCGGGGGCCCCCCACCCCGCTGACTCGTTGTTCGGGCAAAAAAACGGAAATAAAAAAGTCGGACGCGCTAAAATCGTCCTTTGTTTTTCCCGCTTGCCCCTCCCCGGCACGTGCCGAGCAAGGGGCATAAATGGGTACAACACGAGGACTTCCCGGGAGGTCACCCAGCCCAGTACTGCTCTCGCCCACCGGCGCTTAGCTTCGGAGTTCTGATGGGATCCGGCGTAGTAGCCGAGGTATGATCGTACCACGACAATCCCGTGCCCCGACCGGTACACACCCCTTGCCCGGGTCCCCCCTTCATAGTCACACCCCCTGCCCCCTCATGCCATCCGCTCCCCCCGCCCCTACCCTCCGCGTGCCCGCTCCCTCGCCGCCTCTTTTGACCCTCCCTGCCCCCCTCGCCGTTACCCACCGCTCGCCATTCGCTCCTCCCCGCCCGTGCCCTCCCCTCGTTTACCTTCGCCTCCCCCCTCCCCTCCTCTGCTGCACGCCTCTTCCTTCCCCTCGCTAACCCACTCCACTCCCTGCCCCTCCTCAATCCGCACCCTGCCCCTCGTTTCTCGCCCCCCTACGCTTGGTTTCTCCCCTCCCTGCCCCTCGCCGCCTTTCTCCGCTCCCCACCTCCCCCCTCTCCCTGCCCCCCCACTCTCCTCCACTTGCCCTTGGCTTCCCACCTCCCTGCCCCACCTTTCCCCCCTCCGTGTGCTCAGCTTCTCCCCTCCCTGCCTCTCCCTCCTCCCCGCCCTGCCCCTCATTTTCCGCCCCCCCACGCCCGGTTTCTCCCCTCCCTGCACCTCCCTTTCTTTCTCCGTGCCTCTCCTTTGCTCCCTCCCTGCCCCCGCCTGCCCATGCCCCTGTCTTTGGTTTCTCCCCTCCCTGCCCCACGTTTCTTCCCTCCCTGAGATCACCTTGTACCCCCTCTGCCCCTCCCTTGTTCTCCCCGCACCCATTGCTTCTCCCCTCCCTGCCCTTGATTTCCCGCACCCCTGCCCTTGTTTCCTACCATCCATGCCCCTCGTTTCCCCTCTTTGTACGTTCACCCTCTTCCCTCCCTGCCCCTCCCTTCCTCCCCCCCTGCCCTTTGCTTTCCCCTCGTTACGCTCCCTTCTCCCCATCCCTGCTGCCCTCTTACCACCATCAGCCCGTCCCCACCACCAGCCCCCCTCCCACCCTTCTCCCCCCCCCCCTCTCCCTCTCTCTCTCTCTCTCTCTCTCTTTCTCTCGCACACACACACACACACACACTCCCCTCCCCCACCCCCCACCCACATCCTCCCGTTCTGCCCCTCCCTGCCCCTGTTCCACCCCCTCGCACGCCCCTCACCTCTCACCTCCGTTCAACTGGATTCCCCCCCTCTGGTGCATCCCTTGCATCGCTCGCCCCTCTGCTCACCCTCTGCCCGCCCCTTTTCCTTGCCCTCAGCTGGCCCAGCCCCTGCCCGTTGCTGCCCCTCCCCTTGCCCCCTCAACTCCCCTGCCCCCCGTACACCCCACTCCCGTCCAACCGCCCCCACCCTCCCCCGGCTGCCCGTTTCCGCTCTCCACCCCCGCGACCGTGTGCGGCTTCCAACCGCCCAACGGTGGTGCGCACGGGGCGTTTCTTCGCGCGGGCAAGCCTCCCCGGGGGCCCCCCACCCCGCTGACTCGTTGTTCGGGCAAAAAAAACGGAAATAAAAAAGTCGGACGCGCTAAAATCGTCCTTTGTTTTTCCCGCTTGCCCCTCCCCGGCACGTGCCGAGCAAGGGGCATAAATGGGTACAACACGAGGACTTCCCGGGAGGTCACCCAGCCCAGTACTGCTCTCGCCCACCGGCGCTTAGCTTCGGAGTTCTGATGGGATCCGGCGTAGTAGCCGAGGTATGATCGTACCACGACAATCCCGTGCCCCGACCGGTACACACCCCTTGCCCGGGTCCCCCCTTCATAGTCACACCCCCTGCCCCCTCATGCCATCCGCTCCCCCCGCCCCTACCCTCCGCGTGCCCGCTCCCTCGCCGCCTCTTTTGACCCTCCCTGCCCCCCTCGCCGTTACCCACCGCTCGCCATTCGCTCCTCCCCGCCCGTGCCCTCCCCTCGTTTACCTTCGCCTCCCCCCTCCCCTCCTCTGCTGCACGCCTCTTCCTTCCCCTCGCTAACCCACTCCACTCCCTGCCCCTCCTCAATCCGCACCCTGCCCCTCGTTTCTCGCCCCCCTACGCTTGGTTTCTCCCCTCCCTGCCCCTCGCCGCCTTTCTCCGCTCCCCACCTCCCCCCTCTCCCTGCCCCCCCACTCTCCTCCACTTGCCCTTGGCTTCCCACCTCCCTGCCCCACCTTTCCCCCCTCCGTGTGCTCAGCTTCTCCCCTCCCTGCCTCTCCCTCCTCCCCGCCCTGCCCCTCATTTTCCGCCCCCCCACGCCCGGTTTCTCCCCTCCCTGCACCTCCCTTTCTTTCTCCGTGCCTCTCCTTTGCTCCCTCCCTGCCCCCGCCTGCCCATGCCCCTGTCTTTGGTTTCTCCCCTCCCTGCCCCACGTTTCTTCCCTCCCTGAGATCACCTTGTACCCCCTCTGCCCCTCCCTTGTTCTCCCCGCACCCATTGCTTCTCCCCTCCCTGCCCTTGATTTCCCGCACCCCTGCCCTTGTTTCCTACCATCCATGCCCCTCGTTTCCCCTCTTTGTACGTTCACCCTCTTCCCTCCCTGCCCCTCCCTTCCTCCCCCCCTGCCCTTTGCTTTCCCCTCGTTACGCTCCCTTCTCCCCATCCCTGCTGCCCTCTTACCACCATCAGCCCGTCCCCACCACCAGCCCCCCTCCCACCCTTCTCCCCCCCCCCCTCTCCCTCTCTCTCTCTCTCTCTCTCTCTTTCTCTCGCACACACACACACACACACACTCCCCTCCCCCACCCCCCACCCACATCCTCCCGTTCTGCCCCTCCCTGCCCCTGTTCCACCCCCTCGCACGCCCCTCACCTCTCACCTCCGTTCAACTGGATTCCCCCCCTCTGGTGCATCCCTTGCATCGCTCGCCCCTCTGCTCACCCTCTGCCCGCCCCTTTTCCTTGCCCTCAGCTGGCCCAGCCCCTGCCCGTTGCTGCCCCTCCCCTTGCCCCCTCAACTCCCCTGCCCCCCGTACACCCCACTCCCGTCCAACCGCCCCCACCCTCCCCCGGCTGCCCGTTTCCGCTCTCCACCCCCGCGACCGTGTGCGGCTTCCAACCGCCCAACGGTGGTGCGCACGGGGCGTTTCTTCGCGCGGGCAAGCCTCCCCGGGGGCCCCCCACCCCGCTGACTCGTTGTTCGGGCAAAAAAAACGGAAATAAAAAAGTCGGACGCGCTAAAATCGTCCTTTGTTTTTCCCGCTTGCCCCTCCCCGGCACGTGCCGAGCAAGGGGCATAAATGGGTACAACACGAGGACTTCCCGGGAGGTCACCCAGCCCAGTACTGCTCTCGCCCACCGGCGCTTAGCTTCGGAGTTCTGATGGGATCCGGCGTAGTAGCCGAGGTATGATCGTACCACGACAATCCCGTGCCCCGACCGGTACACACCCCTTGCCCGGGTCCCCCCTTCATAGTCACACCCCCTGCCCCCTCATGCCATCCGCTCCCCCCGCCCCTACCCTCCGCGTGCCCGCTCCCTCGCCGCCTCTTTTGACCCTCCCTGCCCCCCTCGCCGTTACCCACCGCTCGCCATTCGCTCCTCCCCGCCCGTGCCCTCCCCTCGTTTACCTTCGCCTCCCCCCTCCCCTCCTCTGCTGCACGCCTCTTCCTTCCCCTCGCTAACCCACTCCACTCCCTGCCCCTCCTCAATCCGCACCCTGCCCCTCGTTTCTCGCCCCCCTACGCTTGGTTTCTCCCCTCCCTGCCCCTCGCCGCCTTTCTCCGCTCCCCACCTCCCCCCTCTCCCTGCCCCCCCACTCTCCTCCACTTGCCCTTGGCTTCCCACCTCCCTGCCCCACCTTTCCCCCCTCCGTGTGCTCAGCTTCTCCCCTCCCTGCCTCTCCCTCCTCCCCGCCCTGCCCCTCATTTTCCGCCCCCCCACGCCCGGTTTCTCCCCTCCCTGCACCTCCCTTTCTTTCTCCGTGCCTCTCCTTTGCTCCCTCCCTGCCCCCGCCTGCCCATGCCCCTGTCTTTGGTTTCTCCCCTCCCTGCCCCACGTTTCTTCCCTCCCTGAGATCACCTTGTACCCCCTCTGCCCCTCCCTTGTTCTCCCCGCACCCATTGCTTCTCCCCTCCCTGCCCTTGATTTCCCGCACCCCTGCCCTTGTTTCCTACCATCCATGCCCCTCGTTTCCCCTCTTTGTACGTTCACCCTCTTCCCTCCCTGCCCCTCCCTTCCTCCCCCCCTGCCCTTTGCTTTCCCCTCGTTACGCTCCCTTCTCCCCATCCCTGCTGCCCTCTTACCACCATCAGCCCGTCCCCACCACCAGCCCCCCTCCCACCCTTCTCCCCCCCCCCCCTCTCCCTCTCTCTCTCTCTCTCTCTCTCTTTCTCTCGCACACACACACACACACACACTCCCCTCCCCCACCCCCCACCCACATCCTCCCGTTCTGCCCCTCCCTGCCCCTGTTCCACCCCCTCGCACGCCCCTCACCTCTCACCTCCGTTCAACTGGATTCCCCCCCTCTGGTGCATCCCTTGCATCGCTCGCCCCTCTGCTCACCCTCTGCCCGCCCCTTTTCCTTGCCCTCAGCTGGCCCAGCCCCTGCCCGTTGCTGCCCCTCCCCTTGCCCCCTCAACTCCCCTGCCCCCCGTACACCCCACTCCCGTCCAACCGCCCCCACCCTCCCCCGGCTGCCCGTTTCCGCTCTCCACCCCCGCGACCGTGTGCGGCTTCCAACCGCCCAACGGTGGTGCGCACGGGGCGTTTCTTCGCGCGGGCAAGCCTCCCCGGGGGCCCCCCACCCCGCTGACTCGTTGTTCGGGCAAAAAAAACGGAAATAAAAAAGTCGGACGCGCTAAAATCGTCCTTTGTTTTTCCCGCTTGCCCCTCCCCGGCACGTGCCGAGCAAGGGGCATAAATGGGTACAACACGAGGACTTCCCGGGAGGTCACCCAGCCCAGTACTGCTCTCGCCCACCGGCGCTTAGCTTCGGAGTTCTGATGGGATCCGGCGTAGTAGCCGAGGTATGATCGTACCACGACAATCCCGTGCCCCGACCGGTACACACCCCTTGCCCGGGTCCCCCCTTCATAGTCACACCCCCTGCCCCCTCATGCCATCCGCTCCCCCCGCCCCTACCCTCCGCGTGCCCGCTCCCTCGCCGCCTCTTTTGACCCTCCCTGCCCCCCTCGCCGTTACCCACCGCTCGCCATTCGCTCCTCCCCGCCCGTGCCCTCCCCTCGTTTACCTTCGCCTCCCCCCTCCCCTCCTCTGCTGCACGCCTCTTCCTTCCCCTCGCTAACCCACTCCACTCCCTGCCCCTCCTCAATCCGCACCCTGCCCCTCGTTTCTCGCCCCCCTACGCTTGGTTTCTCCCCTCCCTGCCCCTCGCCGCCTTTCTCCGCTCCCCACCTCCCCCCTCTCCCTGCCCCCCCACTCTCCTCCACTTGCCCTTGGCTTCCCACCTCCCTGCCCCACCTTTCCCCCCTCCGTGTGCTCAGCTTCTCCCCTCCCTGCCTCTCCCTCCTCCCCGCCCTGCCCCTCATTTTCCGCCCCCCCACGCCCGGTTTCTCCCCTCCCTGCACCTCCCTTTCTTTCTCCGTGCCTCTCCTTTGCTCCCTCCCTGCCCCCGCCTGCCCATGCCCCTGTCTTTGGTTTCTCCCCTCCCTGCCCCACGTTTCTTCCCTCCCTGAGATCACCTTGTACCCCCTCTGCCCCTCCCTTGTTCTCCCCGCACCCATTGCTTCTCCCCTCCCTGCCCTTGATTTCCCGCACCCCTGCCCTTGTTTCCTACCATCCATGCCCCTCGTTTCCCCTCTTTGTACGTTCACCCTCTTCCCTCCCTGCCCCTCCCTTCCTCCCCCCCTGCCCTTTGCTTTCCCCTCGTTACGCTCCCTTCTCCCCATCCCTGCTGCCCTCTTACCACCATCAGCCCGTCCCCACCACCAGCCCCCCTCCCACCCTTCTCCCCCCCCCCCCTCTCCCTCTCTCTCTCTCTCTCTCTCTCTTTCTCTCGCACACACACACACACACACACTCCCCTCCCCCACCCCCCACCCACATCCTCCCGTTCTGCCCCTCCCTGCCCCTGTTCCACCCCCTCGCACGCCCCTCACCTCTCACCTCCGTTCAACTGGATTCCCCCCCTCTGGTGCATCCCTTGCATCGCTCGCCCCTCTGCTCACCCTCTGCCCGCCCCTTTTCCTTGCCCTCAGCTGGCCCAGCCCCTGCCCGTTGCTGCCCCTCCCCTTGCCCCCTCAACTCCCCTGCCCCCCGTACACCCCACTCCCGTCCAACCGCCCCCACCCTCCCCCGGCTGCCCGTTTCCGCTCTCCACCCCCGCGACCGTGTGCGGCTTCCAACCGCCCAACGGTGGTGCGCACGGGGCGTTTCTTCGCGCGGGCAAGCCTCCCCGGGGGCCCCCCACCCCGCTGACTCGTTGTTCGGGCAAAAAAAACGGAAATAAAAAAGTCGGACGCGCTAAAATCGTCCTTTGTTTTTCCCGCTTGCCCCTCCCCGGCACGTGCCGAGCAAGGGGCATAAATGGGTACAACACGAGGACTTCCCGGGAGGTCACCCAGCCCAGTACTGCTCTCGCCCACCGGCGCTTAGCTTCGGAGTTCTGATGGGATCCGGCGTAGTAGCCGAGGTATGATCGTACCACGACAATCCCGTGCCCCGACCGGTACACACCCCTTGCCCGGGTCCCCCCTTCATAGTCACACCCCCTGCCCCCTCATGCCATCCGCTCCCCCCGCCCCTACCCTCCGCGTGCCCGCTCCCTCGCCGCCTCTTTTGACCCTCCCTGCCCCCCTCGCCGTTACCCACCGCTCGCCATTCGCTCCTCCCCGCCCGTGCCCTCCCCTCGTTTACCTTCGCCTCCCCCCTCCCCTCCTCTGCTGCACGCCTCTTCCTTCCCCTCGCTAACCCACTCCACTCCCTGCCCCTCCTCAATCCGCACCCTGCCCCTCGTTTCTCGCCCCCCTATGCTTGGTTTCTCCCCCCCTGCCCTTTGCTTTCCCCTCGTTACGCTCCCTTCTCCCCATCCCTGCTGCCCTCTTACCACCATCAGCCCGTCCCCACCACCAGCCCCCCTCCCACCCTTCTCCCCCCCCCCCTCTCCCTCTCTCTCTCTCTCTCTCTATCTCTCTCACTCTCTCTCTCTCTCTCTCTCTTTCTCTCGCACACACACACACACACACACTCCCCTCCCCCACCCCCCACCCACATCCTCCCGTTCTGCCCCTCCCTGCCCCTGTTCCACCCCCTCGCACGCCCCTCACCTCTCACCTCCGTTCAACTGGATTCCCCCCCTCTGGTGCATCCCTTGCATCGCTCGCCCCTCTGCTCACCCTCTGCCCGCCCCTTTTCCTTGCCCTCAGCTGGCCCAGCCCCTGCCCGTTGCTGCCCCTCCCCTTGCCCCCTCAACTCCCCTGCCCCCCGTACACCCCACTCCCGTCCAACCGCCCCCACCCTCCCCCGGCTGCCCGTTTCCGCTCTCCACCCCCGCGACCGTGTGCGGCTTCCAACCGCCCAACGGTGGTGCGCACGGGGCGTTTCTTCGCGCGGGCAAGCCTCCCCGGGGGCCCCCCACCCCGCTGACTCGTTGTTCGGGCAAAAAAAACGGAAATAAAAAAGTCGGACGCGCTAAAATCGTCCTTTGTTTTTCCCGCTTGCCCCTCCCCGGCACGTGCCGAGCAAGGGGCATAAATGGGTACAACACGAGGACTTCCCGGGAGGTCACCCAGCCCAGTACTGCTCTCGCCCACCGGCGCTTAGCTTCGGAGTTCTGATGGGATCCGGCGTAGTAGCCGAGGTATGATCGTACCACGACAATCCCGTGCCCCGACCGGTACACACCCCTTGCCCGGGTCCCCCCTTCATAGTCACACCCCCTGCCCCCTCATGCCATCCGCTCCCCCCGCCCCTACCCTCCGCGTGCCCGCTCCCTCGCCGCCTCTTTTGACCCTCCCTGCCCCCCTCGCCGTTACCCACCGCTCGCCATTCGCTCCTCCCCGCCCGTGCCCTCCCCTCGTTTACCTTCGCCTCCCCCCTCCCCTCCTCTGCTGCACGCCTCTTCCTTCCCCTCGCTAACCCACTCCACTCCCTGCCCCTCCTCAATCCGCACCCTGCCCCTCGTTTCTCGCCCCCCTACGCTTGGTTTCTCCCCTCCCTGCCCCTCGCCGCCTTTCTCCGCTCCCCACCTCCCCCCTCTCCCTGCCCCCCCACTCTCCTCCACTTGCCCTTGGCTTCCCACCTCCCTGCCCCACCTTTCCCCCCTCCGTGTGCTCAGCTTCTCCCCTCCCTGCCTCTCCCTCCTCCCCGCCCTGCCCCTCATTTTCCGCCCCCCCACGCCCGGTTTCTCCCCTCCCTGCACCTCCCTTTCTTTCTCCGTGCCTCTCCTTTGCTCCCTCCCTGCCCCCGCCTGCCCATGCCCCTGTCTTTGGTTTCTCCCCTCCCTGCCCCACGTTTCTTCCCTCCCTGAGATCACCTTGTACCCCCTCTGCCCCTCCCTTGTTCTCCCCGCACCCATTGCTTCTCCCCTCCCTGCCCTTGATTTCCCGCACCCCTGCCCTTGTTTCCTACCATCCATGCCCCTCGTTTCCCCTCTTTGTACGTTCACCCTCTTCCCTCCCTGCCCCTCCCTTCCTCCCCCCCTGCCCTTTGCTTTCCCCTCGTTACGCTCCCTTCTCCCCATCCCTGCTGCCCTCTTACCACCATCAGCCCGTCCCCACCACCAGCCCCCCTCCCACCCTTCTCCCCCCCCCCCTCTCCCTCTCTCTCTCTCTCTCTCTCTCTCTTTCTCTCGCACACACACACACACACACACTCCCCTCCCCCACCCCCCACCCACATCCTCCCGTTCTGCCCCTCCCTGCCCCTGTTCCACCCCCTCGCACGCCCCTCACCTCTCACCTCCGTTCAACTGGATTCCCCCCCTCTGGTGCATCCCTTGCATCGCTCGCCCCTCTGCTCACCCTCTGCCCGCCCCTTTTCCTTGCCCTCAGCTGGCCCAGCCCCTGCCCGTTGCTGCCCCTCCCCTTGCCCCCTCAACTCCCCTGCCCCCCGTACACCCCACTCCCGTCCAACCGCCCCCACCCTCCCCCGGCTGCCCGTTTCCGCTCTCCACCCCCGCGACCGTGTGCGGCTTCCAACCGCCCAACGGTGGTGCGCACGGGGCGTTTCTTCGCGCGGGCAAGCCTCCCCGGGGGCCCCCCACCCCGCTGACTCGTTGTTCGGGCAAAAAAAACGGAAATAAAAAAGTCGGACGCGCTAAAATCGTCCTTTGTTTTTCCCGCTTGCCCCTCCCCGGCACGTGCCGAGCAAGGGGCATAAATGGGTACAACACGAGGACTTCCCGGGAGGTCACCCAGCCCAGTACTGCTCTCGCCCACCGGCGCTTAGCTTCGGAGTTCTGATGGGATCCGGCGTAGTAGCCGAGGTATGATCGTACCACGACAATCCCGTGCCCCGACCGGTACACACCCCTTGCCCGGGTCCCCCCTTCATAGTCACACCCCCTGCCCCCTCATGCCATCCGCTCCCCCCGCCCCTACCCTCCGCGTGCCCGCTCCCTCGCCGCCTCTTTTGACCCTCCCTGCCCCCCTCGCCGTTACCCACCGCTCGCCATTCGCTCCTCCCCGCCCGTGCCCTCCCCTCGTTTACCTTCGCCTCCCCCCTCCCCTCCTCTGCTGCACGCCTCTTCCTTCCCCTCGCTAACCCACTCCACTCCCTGCCCCTCCTCAATCCGCACCCTGCCCCTCGTTTCTCGCCCCCCTACGCTTGGTTTCTCCCCTCCCTGCCCCTCGCCGCCTTTCTCCGCTCCCCACCTCCCCCCTCTCCCTGCCCCCCCACTCTCCTCCACTTGCCCTTGGCTTCCCACCTCCCTGCCCCACCTTTCCCCCCTCCGTGTGCTCAGCTTCTCCCCTCCCTGCCTCTCCCTCCTCCCCGCCCTGCCCCTCATTTTCCGCCCCCCCACGCCCGGTTTCTCCCCTCCCTGCACCTCCCTTTCTTTCTCCGTGCCTCTCCTTTGCTCCCTCCCTGCCCCCGCCTGCCCATGCCCCTGTCTTTGGTTTCTCCCCTCCCTGCCCCACGTTTCTTCCCTCCCTGAGATCACCTTGTACCCCCTCTGCCCCTCCCTTGTTCTCCCCGCACCCATTGCTTCTCCCCTCCCTGCCCTTGATTTCCCGCACCCCTGCCCTTGTTTCCTACCATCCATGCCCCTCGTTTCCCCTCTTTGTACGTTCACCCTCTTCCCTCCCTGCCCCTCCCTTCCTCCCCCCCTGCCCTTTGCTTTCCCCTCGTTACGCTCCCTTCTCCCCATCCCTGCTGCCCTCTTACCACCATCAGCCCGTCCCCACCACCAGCCCCCCTCCCACCCTTCTCCCCCCCCCCCCTCTCCCTCTCTCTCTCTCTCTCTCTCTCTCTTTCTCTCGCACACACACACACACACACACTCCCCTCCCCCACCCCCCACCCACATCCTCCCGTTCTGCCCCTCCCTGCCCCTGTTCCACCCCCTCGCACGCCCCTCACCTCTCACCTCCGTTCAACTGGATTCCCCCCCTCTGGTGCATCCCTTGCATCGCTCGCCCCTCTGCTCACCCTCTGCCCGCCCCTTTTCCTTGCCCTCAGCTGGCCCAGCCCCTGCCCGTTGCTGCCCCTCCCCTTGCCCCCTCAACTCCCCTGCCCCCCGTACACCCCACTCCCGTCCAACCGCCCCCACCCTCCCCCGGCTGCCCGTTTCCGCTCTCCACCCCCGCGACCGTGTGCGGCTTCCAACCGCCCAACGGTGGTGCGCACGGGGCGTTTCTTCGCGCGGGCAAGCCTCCCCGGGGGCCCCCCACCCCGCTGACTCGTTGTTCGGGCAAAAAAAACGGAAATAAAAAAGTCGGACGCGCTAAAATCGTCCTTTGTTTTTCCCGCTTGCCCCTCCCCGGCACGTGCCGAGCAAGGGGCATAAATGGGTACAACACGAGGACTTCCCGGGAGGTCACCCAGCCCAGTACTGCTCTCGCCCACCGGCGCTTAGCTTCGGAGTTCTGATGGGATCCGGCGTAGTAGCCGAGGTATGATCGTACCACGACAATCCCGTGCCCCGACCGGTACACACCCCTTGCCCGGGTCCCCCCTTCATAGTCACACCCCCTGCCCCCTCATGCCATCCGCTCCCCCCGCCCCTACCCTCCGCGTGCCCGCTCCCTCGCCGCCTCTTTTGACCCTCCCTGCCCCCCTCGCCGTTACCCACCGCTCGCCATTCGCTCCTCCCCGCCCGTGCCCTCCCCTCGTTTACCTTCGCCTCCCCCCTCCCCTCCTCTGCTGCACGCCTCTTCCTTCCCCTCGCTAACCCACTCCACTCCCTGCCCCTCCTCAATCCGCACCCTGCCCCTCGTTTCTCGCCCCCCTATGCTTGGTTTCTCCCCCCCTGCCCTTTGCTTTCCCCTCGTTACGCTCCCTTCTCCCCATCCCTGCTGCCCTCTTACCACCATCAGCCCGTCCCCACCACCAGCCCCCCTCCCACCCTTCTCCCCCCCCCCCTCTCCCTCTCTCTCTCTCTCTCTCTATCTCTCTCACTCTCTCTCTCTCTCTCTCTCTTTCTCTCGCACACACACACACACACACACTCCCCTCCCCCACCCCCCACCCACATCCTCCCGTTCTGCCCCTCCCTGCCCCTGTTCCACCCCCTCGCACGCCCCTCACCTCTCACCTCCGTTCAACTGGATTCCCCCCCTCTGGTGCATCCCTTGCATCGCTCGCCCCTCTGCTCACCCTCTGCCCGCCCCTTTTCCTTGCCCTCAGCTGGCCCAGCCCCTGCCCGTTGCTGCCCCTCCCCTTGCCCCCTCAACTCCCCTGCCCCCCGTACACCCCACTCCCGTCCAACCGCCCCCACCCTCCCCCGGCTGCCCGTTTCCGCTCTCCACCCCCGCGACCGTGTGCGGCTTCCAACCGCCCAACGGTGGTGCGCACGGGGCGTTTCTTCGCGCGGGCAAGCCTCCCCGGGGGCCCCCCACCCCGCTGACTCGTTGTTCGGGCAAAAAAAACGGAAATAAAAAAGTCGGACGCGCTAAAATCGTCCTTTGTTTTTCCCGCTTGCCCCTCCCCGGCACGTGCCGAGCAAGGGGCATAAATGGGTACAACACGAGGACTTCCCGGGAGGTCACCCAGCCCAGTACTGCTCTCGCCCACCGGCGCTTAGCTTCGGAGTTCTGATGGGATCCGGCGTAGTAGCCGAGGTATGATCGTACCACGACAATCCCGTGCCCCGACCGGTACACACCCCTTGCCCGGGTCCCCCCTTCATAGTCACACCCCCTGCCCCCTCATGCCATCCGCTCCCCCCGCCCCTACCCTCCGCGTGCCCGCTCCCTCGCCGCCTCTTTTGACCCTCCCTGCCCCCCTCGCCGTTACCCACCGCTCGCCATTCGCTCCTCCCCGCCCGTGCCCTCCCCTCGTTTACCTTCGCCTCCCCCCTCCCCTCCTCTGCTGCACGCCTCTTCCTTCCCCTCGCTAACCCACTCCACTCCCTGCCCCTCCTCAATCCGCACCCTGCCCCTCGTTTCTCGCCCCCCTACGCTTGGTTTCTCCCCTCCCTGCCCCTCGCCGCCTTTCTCCGCTCCCCACCTCCCCCCTCTCCCTGCCCCCCCACTCTCCTCCACTTGCCCTTGGCTTCCCACCTCCCTGCCCCACCTTTCCCCCCTCCGTGTGCTCAGCTTCTCCCCTCCCTGCCTCTCCCTCCTCCCCGCCCTGCCCCTCATTTTCCGCCCCCCCACGCCCGGTTTCTCCCCTCCCTGCACCTCCCTTTCTTTCTCCGTGCCTCTCCTTTGCTCCCTCCCTGCCCCCGCCTGCCCATGCCCCTGTCTTTGGTTTCTCCCCTCCCTGCCCCACGTTTCTTCCCTCCCTGAGATCACCTTGTACCCCCTCTGCCCCTCCCTTGTTCTCCCCGCACCCATTGCTTCTCCCCTCCCTGCCCTTGATTTCCCGCACCCCTGCCCTTGTTTCCTACCATCCATGCCCCTCGTTTCCCCTCTTTGTACGTTCACCCTCTTCCCTCCCTGCCCCTCCCTTCCTCCCCCCCTGCCCTTTGCTTTCCCCTCGTTACGCTCCCTTCTCCCCATCCCTGCTGCCCTCTTACCACCATCAGCCCGTCCCCACCACCAGCCCCCCTCCCACCCTTCTCCCCCCCCCCCCTCTCCCTCTCTCTCTCTCTCTCTCTCTCTTTCTCTCGCACACACACACACACACACACTCCCCTCCCCCACCCCCCACCCACATCCTCCCGTTCTGCCCCTCCCTGCCCCTGTTCCACCCCCTCGCACGCCCCTCACCTCTCACCTCCGTTCAACTGGATTCCCCCCCTCTGGTGCATCCCTTGCATCGCTCGCCCCTCTGCTCACCCTCTGCCCGCCCCTTTTCCTTGCCCTCAGCTGGCCCAGCCCCTGCCCGTTGCTGCCCCTCCCCTTGCCCCCTCAACTCCCCTGCCCCCCGTACACCCCACTCCCGTCCAACCGCCCCCACCCTCCCCCGGCTGCCCGTTTCCGCTCTCCACCCCCGCGACCGTGTGCGGCTTCCAACCGCCCAACGGTGGTGCGCACGGGGCGTTTCTTCGCGCGGGCAAGCCTCCCCGGGGGCCCCCCACCCCGCTGACTCGTTGTTCGGGCAAAAAAAACGGAAATAAAAAAGTCGGACGCGCTAAAATCGTCCTTTGTTTTTCCCGCTTGCCCCTCCCCGGCACGTGCCGAGCAAGGGGCATAAATGGGTACAACACGAGGACTTCCCGGGAGGTCACCCAGCCCAGTACTGCTCTCGCCCACCGGCGCTTAGCTTCGGAGTTCTGATGGGATCCGGCGTAGTAGCCGAGGTATGATCGTACCACGACAATCCCGTGCCCCGACCGGTACACACCCCTTGCCCGGGTCCCCCCTTCATAGTCACACCCCCTGCCCCCTCATGCCATCCGCTCCCCCCGCCCCTACCCTCCGCGTGCCCGCTCCCTCGCCGCCTCTTTTGACCCTCCCTGCCCCCCTCGCCGTTACCCACCGCTCGCCATTCGCTCCTCCCCGCCCGTGCCCTCCCCTCGTTTACCTTCGCCTCCCCCCTCCCCTCCTCTGCTGCACGCCTCTTCCTTCCCCTCGCTAACCCACTCCACTCCCTGCCCCTCCTCAATCCGCACCCTGCCCCTCGTTTCTCGCCCCCCTACGCTTGGTTTCTCCCCTCCCTGCCCCTCGCCGCCTTTCTCCGCTCCCCACCTCCCCCCTCTCCCTGCCCCCCCACTCTCCTCCACTTGCCCTTGGCTTCCCACCTCCCTGCCCCACCTTTCCCCCCTCCGTGTGCTCAGCTTCTCCCCTCCCTGCCTCTCCCTCCTCCCCGCCCTGCCCCTCATTTTCCGCCCCCCCACGCCCGGTTTCTCCCCTCCCTGCACCTCCCTTTCTTTCTCCGTGCCTCTCCTTTGCTCCCTCCCTGCCCCCGCCTGCCCATGCCCCTGTCTTTGGTTTCTCCCCTCCCTGCCCCACGTTTCTTCCCTCCCTGAGATCACCTTGTACCCCCTCTGCCCCTCCCTTGTTCTCCCCGCACCCATTGCTTCTCCCCTCCCTGCCCTTGATTTCCCGCACCCCTGCCCTTGTTTCCTACCATCCATGCCCCTCGTTTCCCCTCTTTGTACGTTCACCCTCTTCCCTCCCTGCCCCTCCCTTCCTCCCCCCCTGCCCTTTGCTTTCCCCTCGTTACGCTCCCTTCTCCCCATCCCTGCTGCCCTCTTACCACCATCAGCCCGTCCCCACCACCAGCCCCCCTCCCACCCTTCTCCCCCCCCCCCCTCTCCCTCTCTCTCTCTCTCTCTCTCTCTCTTTCTCTCGCACACACACACACACACACACTCCCCTCCCCCACCCCCCACCCACATCCTCCCGTTCTGCCCCTCCCTGCCCCTGTTCCACCCCCTCGCACGCCCCTCACCTCTCACCTCCGTTCAACTGGATTCCCCCCCTCTGGTGCATCCCTTGCATCGCTCGCCCCTCTGCTCACCCTCTGCCCGCCCCTTTTCCTTGCCCTCAGCTGGCCCAGCCCCTGCCCGTTGCTGCCCCTCCCCTTGCCCCCTCAACTCCCCTGCCCCCCGTACACCCCACTCCCGTCCAACCGCCCCCACCCTCCCCCGGCTGCCCGTTTCCGCTCTCCACCCCCGCGACCGTGTGCGGCTTCCAACCGCCCAACGGTGGTGCGCACGGGGCGTTTCTTCGCGCGGGCAAGCCTCCCCGGGGGCCCCCCACCCCGCTGACTCGTTGTTCGGGCAAAAAAAACGGAAATAAAAAAGTCGGACGCGCTAAAATCGTCCTTTGTTTTTCCCGCTTGCCCCTCCCCGGCACGTGCCGAGCAAGGGGCATAAATGGGTACAACACGAGGACTTCCCGGGAGGTCACCCAGCCCAGTACTGCTCTCGCCCACCGGCGCTTAGCTTCGGAGTTCTGATGGGATCCGGCGTAGTAGCCGAGGTATGATCGTACCACGACAATCCCGTGCCCCGACCGGTACACACCCCTTGCCCGGGTCCCCCCTTCATAGTCACACCCCCTGCCCCCTCATGCCATCCGCTCCCCCCGCCCCTACCCTCCGCGTGCCCGCTCCCTCGCCGCCTCTTTTGACCCTCCCTGCCCCCCTCGCCGTTACCCACCGCTCGCCATTCGCTCCTCCCCGCCCGTGCCCTCCCCTCGTTTACCTTCGCCTCCCCCCTCCCCTCCTCTGCTGCACGCCTCTTCCTTCCCCTCGCTAACCCACTCCACTCCCTGCCCCTCCTCAATCCGCACCCTGCCCCTCGTTTCTCGCCCCCCTACGCTTGGTTTCTCCCCTCCCTGCCCCTCGCCGCCTTTCTCCGCTCCCCACCTCCCCCCTCTCCCTGCCCCCCCACTCTCCTCCACTTGCCCTTGGCTTCCCACCTCCCTGCCCCACCTTTCCCCCCTCCGTGTGCTCAGCTTCTCCCCTCCCTGCCTCTCCCTCCTCCCCGCCCTGCCCCTCATTTTCCGCCCCCCCACGCCCGGTTTCTCCCCTCCCTGCACCTCCCTTTCTTTCTCCGTGCCTCTCCTTTGCTCCCTCCCTGCCCCCGCCTGCCCATGCCCCTGTCTTTGGTTTCTCCCCTCCCTGCCCCACGTTTCTTCCCTCCCTGAGATCACCTTGTACCCCCTCTGCCCCTCCCTTGTTCTCCCCGCACCCATTGCTTCTCCCCTCCCTGCCCTTGATTTCCCGCACCCCTGCCCTTGTTTCCTACCATCCATGCCCCTCGTTTCCCCTCTTTGTACGTTCACCCTCTTCCCTCCCTGCCCCTCCCTTCCTCCCCCCCTGCCCTTTGCTTTCCCCTCGTTACGCTCCCTTCTCCCCATCCCTGCTGCCCTCTTACCACCATCAGCCCGTCCCCACCACCAGCCCCCCTCCCACCCTTCTCCCCCCCCCCCCCTCTCCCTCTCTCTCTCTCCTCTCTCTCTCTCTTTCTCTCGCACACACACACACACACACACTCCCCTCCCCCACCCCCCACCCACATCCTCCCGTTCTGCCCCTCCCTGCCCCTGTTCCACCCCCTCGCACGCCCCTCACCTCTCACCTCCGTTCAACTGGATTCCCCCCCTCTGGTGCATCCCTTGCATCGCTCGCCCCTCTGCTCACCCTCTGCCCGCCCCTTTTCCTTGCCCTCAGCTGGCCCAGCCCCTGCCCGTTGCTGCCCCTCCCCTTGCCCCCTCAACTCCCCTGCCCCCCGTACACCCCACTCCCGTCCAACCGCCCCCACCCTCCCCCGGCTGCCCGTTTCCGCTCTCCACCCCCGCGACCGTGTGCGGCTTCCAACCGCCCAACGGTGGTGCGCACGGGGCGTTTCTTCGCGCGGGCAAGCCTCCCCGGGGGCCCCCCACCCCGCTGACTCGTTGTTCGGGCAAAAAAAACGGAAATAAAAAAGTCGGACGCGCTAAAATCGTCCTTTGTTTTTCCCGCTTGCCCCTCCCCGGCACGTGCCGAGCAAGGGGCATAAATGGGTACAACACGAGGACTTCCCGGGAGGTCACCCAGCCCAGTACTGCTCTCGCCCACCGGCGCTTAGCTTCGGAGTTCTGATGGGATCCGGCGTAGTAGCCGAGGTATGATCGTACCACGACAATCCCGTGCCCCGACCGGTACACACCCCTTGCCCGGGTCCCCCCTTCATAGTCACACCCCCTGCCCCCTCATGCCATCCGCTCCCCCCGCCCCTACCCTCCGCGTGCCCGCTCCCTCGCCGCCTCTTTTGACCCTCCCTGCCCCCCTCGCCGTTACCCACCGCTCGCCATTCGCTCCTCCCCGCCCGTGCCCTCCCCTCGTTTACCTTCGCCTCCCCCCTCCCCTCCTCTGCTGCACGCCTCTTCCTTCCCCTCGCTAACCCACTCCACTCCCTGCCCCTCCTCAATCCGCACCCTGCCCCTCGTTTCTCGCCCCCCTACGCTTGGTTTCTCCCCTCCCTGCCCCTCGCCGCCTTTCTCCGCTCCCCACCTCCCCCCTCTCCCTGCCCCCCCACTCTCCTCCACTTGCCCTTGGCTTCCCACCTCCCTGCCCCACCTTTCCCCCCTCCGTGTGCTCAGCTTCTCCCCTCCCTGCCTCTCCCTCCTCCCCGCCCTGCCCCTCATTTTCCGCCCCCCCACGCCCGGTTTCTCCCCTCCCTGCACCTCCCTTTCTTTCTCCGTGCCTCTCCTTTGCTCCCTCCCTGCCCCCGCCTGCCCATGCCCCTGTCTTTGGTTTCTCCCCTCCCTGCCCCACGTTTCTTCCCTCCCTGAGATCACCTTGTACCCCCTCTGCCCCTCCCTTGTTCTCCCCGCACCCATTGCTTCTCCCCTCCCTGCCCTTGATTTCCCGCACCCCTGCCCTTGTTTCCTACCATCCATGCCCCTCGTTTCCCCTCTTTGTACGTTCACCCTCTTCCCTCCCTGCCCCTCCCTTCCTCCCCCCCTGCCCTTTGCTTTCCCCTCGTTACGCTCCCTTCTCCCCATCCCTGCTGCCCTCTTACCACCATCAGCCCGTCCCCACCACCAGCCCCCCTCCCACCCTTCTCCCCCCCCCCCCTCTCCCTCTCTCTCTCTCTCTCTCTCTCTTTCTCTCGCACACACACACACACACACACTCCCCTCCCCCACCCCCCACCCACATCCTCCCGTTCTGCCCCTCCCTGCCCCTGTTCCACCCCCTCGCACGCCCCTCACCTCTCACCTCCGTTCAACTGGATTCCCCCCCTCTGGTGCATCCCTTGCATCGCTCGCCCCTCTGCTCACCCTCTGCCCGCCCCTTTTCCTTGCCCTCAGCTGGCCCAGCCCCTGCCCGTTGCTGCCCCTCCCCTTGCCCCCTCAACTCCCCTGCCCCCCGTACACCCCACTCCCGTCCAACCGCCCCCACCCTCCCCCGGCTGCCCGTTTCCGCTCTCCACCCCCGCGACCGTGTGCGGCTTCCAACCGCCCAACGGTGGTGCGCACGGGGCGTTTCTTCGCGCGGGCAAGCCTCCCCGGGGGCCCCCCACCCCGCTGACTCGTTGTTCGGGCAAAAAAAACGGAAATAAAAAAGTCGGACGCGCTAAAATCGTCCTTTGTTTTTCCCGCTTGCCCCTCCCCGGCACGTGCCGAGCAAGGGGCATAAATGGGTACAACACGAGGACTTCCCGGGAGGTCACCCAGCCCAGTACTGCTCTCGCCCACCGGCGCTTAGCTTCGGAGTTCTGATGGGATCCGGCGTAGTAGCCGAGGTATGATCGTACCACGACAATCCCGTGCCCCGACCGGTACACACCCCTTGCCCGGGTCCCCCCTTCATAGTCACACCCCCTGCCCCCTCATGCCATCCGCTCCCCCCGCCCCTACCCTCCGCGTGCCCGCTCCCTCGCCGCCTCTTTTGACCCTCCCTGCCCCCCTCGCCGTTACCCACCGCTCGCCATTCGCTCCTCCCCGCCCGTGCCCTCCCCTCGTTTACCTTCGCCTCCCCCCTCCCCTCCTCTGCTGCACGCCTCTTCCTTCCCCTCGCTAACCCACTCCACTCCCTGCCCCTCCTCAATCCGCACCCTGCCCCTCGTTTCTCGCCCCCCTACGCTTGGTTTCTCCCCTCCCTGCCCCTCGCCGCCTTTCTCCGCTCCCCACCTCCCCCCTCTCCCTGCCCCCCCACTCTCCTCCACTTGCCCTTGGCTTCCCACCTCCCTGCCCCACCTTTCCCCCCTCCGTGTGCTCAGCTTCTCCCCTCCCTGCCTCTCCCTCCTCCCCGCCCTGCCCCTCATTTTCCGCCCCCCCACGCCCGGTTTCTCCCCTCCCTGCACCTCCCTTTCTTTCTCCGTGCCTCTCCTTTGCTCCCTCCCTGCCCCCGCCTGCCCATGCCCCTGTCTTTGGTTTCTCCCCTCCCTGCCCCACGTTTCTTCCCTCCCTGAGATCACCTTGTACCCCCTCTGCCCCTCCCTTGTTCTCCCCGCACCCATTGCTTCTCCCCTCCCTGCCCTTGATTTCCCGCACCCCTGCCCTTGTTTCCTACCATCCATGCCCCTCGTTTCCCCTCTTTGTACGTTCACCCTCTTCCCTCCCTGCCCCTCCCTTCCTCCCCCCCTGCCCTTTGCTTTCCCCTCGTTACGCTCCCTTCTCCCCATCCCTGCTGCCCTCTTACCACCATCAGCCCGTCCCCACCACCAGCCCCCCTCCCACCCTTCTCCCCCCCCCCCCTCTCCCTCTCTCTCTCTCTCTCTCTCTCTTTCTCTCGCACACACACACACACACACACTCCCCTCCCCCACCCCCCACCCACATCCTCCCGTTCTGCCCCTCCCTGCCCCTGTTCCACCCCCTCGCACGCCCCTCACCTCTCACCTCCGTTCAACTGGATTCCCCCCCTCTGGTGCATCCCTTGCATCGCTCGCCCCTCTGCTCACCCTCTGCCCGCCCCTTTTCCTTGCCCTCAGCTGGCCCAGCCCCTGCCCGTTGCTGCCCCTCCCCTTGCCCCCTCAACTCCCCTGCCCCCCGTACACCCCACTCCCGTCCAACCGCCCCCACCCTCCCCCGGCTGCCCGTTTCCGCTCTCCACCCCCGCGACCGTGTGCGGCTTCCAACCGCCCAACGGTGGTGCGCACGGGGCGTTTCTTCGCGCGGGCAAGCCTCCCCGGGGGCCCCCCACCCCGCTGACTCGTTGTTCGGGCAAAAAAACGGAAATAAAAAAGTCGGACGCGCTAAAATCGTCCTTTGTTTTTCCCGCTTGCCCCTCCCCGGCACGTGCCGAGCAAGGGGCATAAATGGGTACAACACGAGGACTTCCCGGGAGGTCACCCAGCCCAGTACTGCTCTCGCCCACCGGCGCTTAGCTTCGGAGTTCTGATGGGATCCGGCGTAGTAGCCGAGGTATGATCGTACCACGACAATCCCGTGCCCCGACCGGTACACACCCCTTGCCCGGGTCCCCCCTTCATAGTCACACCCCCTGCCCCCTCATGCCATCCGCTCCCCCCGCCCCTACCCTCCGCGTGCCCGCTCCCTCGCCGCCTCTTTTGACCCTCCCTGCCCCCCTCGCCGTTACCCACCGCTCGCCATTCGCTCCTCCCCGCCCGTGCCCTCCCCTCGTTTACCTTCGCCTCCCCCCTCCCCTCCTCTGCTGCACGCCTCTTCCTTCCCCTCGCTAACCCACTCCACTCCCTGCCCCTCCTCAATCCGCACCCTGCCCCTCGTTTCTCGCCCCCCTACGCTTGGTTTCTCCCCTCCCTGCCCCTCGCCGCCTTTCTCCGCTCCCCACCTCCCCCCTCTCCCTGCCCCCCCACTCTCCTCCACTTGCCCTTGGCTTCCCACCTCCCTGCCCCACCTTTCCCCCCTCCGTGTGCTCAGCTTCTCCCCTCCCTGCCTCTCCCTCCTCCCCGCCCTGCCCCTCATTTTCCGCCCCCCCACGCCCGGTTTCTCCCCTCCCTGCACCTCCCTTTCTTTCTCCGTGCCTCTCCTTTGCTCCCTCCCTGCCCCCGCCTGCCCATGCCCCTGTCTTTGGTTTCTCCCCTCCCTGCCCCACGTTTCTTCCCTCCCTGAGATCACCTTGTACCCCCTCTGCCCCTCCCTTGTTCTCCCCGCACCCATTGCTTCTCCCCTCCCTGCCCTTGATTTCCCGCACCCCTGCCCTTGTTTCCTACCATCCATGCCCCTCGTTTCCCCTCTTTGTACGTTCACCCTCTTCCCTCCCTGCCCCTCCCTTCCTCCCCCCCTGCCCTTTGCTTTCCCCTCGTTACGCTCCCTTCTCCCCATCCCTGCTGCCCTCTTACCACCATCAGCCCGTCCCCACCACCAGCCCCCCTCCCACCCTTCTCCCCCCCCCCCTCTCCCTCTCTCTCTCTCTCTCTCTCTCTTTCTCTCGCACACACACACACACACACACTCCCCTCCCCCACCCCCCACCCACATCCTCCCGTTCTGCCCCTCCCTGCCCCTGTTCCACCCCCTCGCACGCCCCTCACCTCTCACCTCCGTTCAACTGGATTCCCCCCCTCTGGTGCATCCCTTGCATCGCTCGCCCCTCTGCTCACCCTCTGCCCGCCCCTTTTCCTTGCCCTCAGCTGGCCCAGCCCCTGCCCGTTGCTGCCCCTCCCCTTGCCCCCTCAACTCCCCTGCCCCCCGTACACCCCACTCCCGTCCAACCGCCCCCACCCTCCCCCGGCTGCCCGTTTCCGCTCTCCACCCCCGCGACCGTGTGCGGCTTCCAACCGCCCAACGGTGGTGCGCACGGGGCGTTTCTTCGCGCGGGCAAGCCTCCCCGGGGGCCCCCCACCCCGCTGACTCGTTGTTCGGGCAAAAAAACGGAAATAAAAAAGTCGGACGCGCTAAAATCGTCCTTTGTTTTTCCCGCTTGCCCCTCCCCGGCACGTGCCGAGCAAGGGGCATAAATGGGTACAACACGAGGACTTCCCGGGAGGTCACCCAGCCCAGTACTGCTCTCGCCCACCGGCGCTTAGCTTCGGAGTTCTGATGGGATCCGGCGTAGTAGCCGAGGTATGATCGTACCACGACAATCCCGTGCCCCGACCGGTACACACCCCTTGCCCGGGTCCCCCCTTCATAGTCACACCCCCTGCCCCCTCATGCCATCCGCTCCCCCCGCCCCTACCCTCCGCGTGCCCGCTCCCTCGCCGCCTCTTTTGACCCTCCCTGCCCCCCTCGCCGTTACCCACCGCTCGCCATTCGCTCCTCCCCGCCCGTGCCCTCCCCTCGTTTACCTTCGCCTCCCCCCTCCCCTCCTCTGCTGCACGCCTCTTCCTTCCCCTCGCTAACCCACTCCACTCCCTGCCCCTCCTCAATCCGCACCCTGCCCCTCGTTTCTCGCCCCCCTACGCTTGGTTTCTCCCCTCCCTGCCCCTCGCCGCCTTTCTCCGCTCCCCACCTCCCCCCTCTCCCTGCCCCCCCACTCTCCTCCACTTGCCCTTGGCTTCCCACCTCCCTGCCCCACCTTTCCCCCCTCCGTGTGCTCAGCTTCTCCCCTCCCTGCCTCTCCCTCCTCCCCGCCCTGCCCCTCATTTTCCGCCCCCCCACGCCCGGTTTCTCCCCTCCCTGCACCTCCCTTTCTTTCTCCGTGCCTCTCCTTTGCTCCCTCCCTGCCCCCGCCTGCCCATGCCCCTGTCTTTGGTTTCTCCCCTCCCTGCCCCACGTTTCTTCCCTCCCTGAGATCACCTTGTACCCCCTCTGCCCCTCCCTTGTTCTCCCCGCACCCATTGCTTCTCCCCTCCCTGCCCTTGATTTCCCGCACCCCTGCCCTTGTTTCCTACCATCCATGCCCCTCGTTTCCCCTCTTTGTACGTTCACCCTCTTCCCTCCCTGCCCCTCCCTTCCTCCCCCCCTGCCCTTTGCTTTCCCCTCGTTACGCTCCCTTCTCCCCATCCCTGCTGCCCTCTTACCACCATCAGCCCGTCCCCACCACCAGCCCCCCTCCCACCCTTCTCCCCCCCCCCCCTCTCCCTCTCTCTCTCTCTCTCTCTCTCTCTTTCTCTCGCACACACACACACACACACACTCCCCTCCCCCACCCCCCACCCACATCCTCCCGTTCTGCCCCTCCCTGCCCCTGTTCCACCCCCTCGCACGCCCCTCACCTCTCACCTCCGTTCAACTGGATTCCCCCCCTCTGGTGCATCCCTTGCATCGCTCGCCCCTCTGCTCACCCTCTGCCCGCCCCTTTTCCTTGCCCTCAGCTGGCCCAGCCCCTGCCCGTTGCTGCCCCTCCCCTTGCCCCCTCAACTCCCCTGCCCCCCGTACACCCCACTCCCGTCCAACCGCCCCCACCCTCCCCCGGCTGCCCGTTTCCGCTCTCCACCCCCGCGACCGTGTGCGGCTTCCAACCGCCCAACGGTGGTGCGCACGGGGCGTTTCTTCGCGCGGGCAAGCCTCCCCGGGGGCCCCCCACCCCGCTGACTCGTTGTTCGGGCAAAAAAAACGGAAATAAAAAAGTCGGACGCGCTAAAATCGTCCTTTGTTTTTCCCGCTTGCCCCTCCCCGGCACGTGCCGAGCAAGGGGCATAAATGGGTACAACACGAGGACTTCCCGGGAGGTCACCCAGCCCAGTACTGCTCTCGCCCACCGGCGCTTAGCTTCGGAGTTCTGATGGGATCCGGCGTAGTAGCCGAGGTATGATCGTACCACGACAATCCCGTGCCCCGACCGGTACACACCCCTTGCCCGGGTCCCCCCTTCATAGTCACACCCCCTGCCCCCTCATGCCATCCGCTCCCCCCGCCCCTACCCTCCGCGTGCCCGCTCCCTCGCCGCCTCTTTTGACCCTCCCTGCCCCCCTCGCCGTTACCCACCGCTCGCCATTCGCTCCTCCCCGCCCGTGCCCTCCCCTCGTTTACCTTCGCCTCCCCCCTCCCCTCCTCTGCTGCACGCCTCTTCCTTCCCCTCGCTAACCCACTCCACTCCCTGCCCCTCCTCAATCCGCACCCTGCCCCTCGTTTCTCGCCCCCCTACGCTTGGTTTCTCCCCTCCCTGCCCCTCGCCGCCTTTCTCCGCTCCCCACCTCCCCCCTCTCCCTGCCCCCCCACTCTCCTCCACTTGCCCTTGGCTTCCCACCTCCCTGCCCCACCTTTCCCCCCTCCGTGTGCTCAGCTTCTCCCCTCCCTGCCTCTCCCTCCTCCCCGCCCTGCCCCTCATTTTCCGCCCCCCCACGCCCGGTTTCTCCCCTCCCTGCACCTCCCTTTCTTTCTCCGTGCCTCTCCTTTGCTCCCTCCCTGCCCCCGCCTGCCCATGCCCCTGTCTTTGGTTTCTCCCCTCCCTGCCCCACGTTTCTTCCCTCCCTGAGATCACCTTGTACCCCCTCTGCCCCTCCCTTGTTCTCCCCGCACCCATTGCTTCTCCCCTCCCTGCCCTTGATTTCCCGCACCCCTGCCCTTGTTTCCTACCATCCATGCCCCTCGTTTCCCCTCTTTGTACGTTCACCCTCTTCCCTCCCTGCCCCTCCCTTCCTCCCCCCCTGCCCTTTGCTTTCCCCTCGTTACGCTCCCTTCTCCCCATCCCTGCTGCCCTCTTACCACCATCAGCCCGTCCCCACCACCAGCCCCCCTCCCACCCTTCTCCCCCCCCCCCTCTCCCTCTCTCTCTCTCTCTCTCTCTCTTTCTCTCGCACACACACACACACACACACTCCCCTCCCCCACCCCCCACCCACATCCTCCCGTTCTGCCCCTCCCTGCCCCTGTTCCACCCCCTCGCACGCCCCTCACCTCTCACCTCCGTTCAACTGGATTCCCCCCCTCTGGTGCATCCCTTGCATCGCTCGCCCCTCTGCTCACCCTCTGCCCGCCCCTTTTCCTTGCCCTCAGCTGGCCCAGCCCCTGCCCGTTGCTGCCCCTCCCCTTGCCCCCTCAACTCCCCTGCCCCCCGTACACCCCACTCCCGTCCAACCGCCCCCACCCTCCCCCGGCTGCCCGTTTCCGCTCTCCACCCCCGCGACCGTGTGCGGCTTCCAACCGCCCAACGGTGGTGCGCACGGGGCGTTTCTTCGCGCGGGCAAGCCTCCCCGGGGGCCCCCCACCCCGCTGACTCGTTGTTCGGGCAAAAAAACGGAAATAAAAAAGTCGGACGCGCTAAAATCGTCCTTTGTTTTTCCCGCTTGCCCCTCCCCGGCACGTGCCGAGCAAGGGGCATAAATGGGTACAACACGAGGACTTCCCGGGAGGTCACCCAGCCCAGTACTGCTCTCGCCCACCGGCGCTTAGCTTCGGAGTTCTGATGGGATCCGGCGTAGTAGCCGAGGTATGATCGTACCACGACAATCCCGTGCCCCGACCGGTACACACCCCTTGCCCGGGTCCCCCCTTCATAGTCACACCCCCTGCCCCCTCATGCCATCCGCTCCCCCCGCCCCTACCCTCCGCGTGCCCGCTCCCTCGCCGCCTCTTTTGACCCTCCCTGCCCCCCTCGCCGTTACCCACCGCTCGCCATTCGCTCCTCCCCGCCCGTGCCCTCCCCTCGTTTACCTTCGCCTCCCCCCTCCCCTCCTCTGCTGCACGCCTCTTCCTTCCCCTCGCTAACCCACTCCACTCCCTGCCCCTCCTCAATCCGCACCCTGCCCCTCGTTTCTCGCCCCCCTATGCTTGGTTTCTCCCCCCCTGCCCTTTGCTTTCCCCTCGTTACGCTCCCTTCTCCCCATCCCTGCTGCCCTCTTACCACCATCAGCCCGTCCCCACCACCAGCCCCCCTCCCACCCTTCTCCCCCCCCCCCTCTCCCTCTCTCTCTCTCTCTCTCTATCTCTCTCACTCTCTCTCTCTCTCTCTCTCTTTCTCTCGCACACACACACACACACACACTCCCCTCCCCCACCCCCCACCCACATCCTCCCGTTCTGCCCCTCCCTGCCCCTGTTCCACCCCCTCGCACGCCCCTCACCTCTCACCTCCGTTCAACTGGATTCCCCCCCTCTGGTGCATCCCTTGCATCGCTCGCCCCTCTGCTCACCCTCTGCCCGCCCCTTTTCCTTGCCCTCAGCTGGCCCAGCCCCTGCCCGTTGCTGCCCCTCCCCTTGCCCCCTCAACTCCCCTGCCCCCCGTACACCCCACTCCCGTCCAACCGCCCCCACCCTCCCCCGGCTGCCCGTTTCCGCTCTCCACCCCCGCGACCGTGTGCGGCTTCCAACCGCCCAACGGTGGTGCGCACGGGGCGTTTCTTCGCGCGGGCAAGCCTCCCCGGGGGCCCCCCACCCCGCTGACTCGTTGTTCGGGCAAAAAAACGGAAATAAAAAAGTCGGACGCGCTAAAATCGTCCTTTGTTTTTCCCGCTTGCCCCTCCCCGGCACGTGCCGAGCAAGGGGCATAAATGGGTACAACACGAGGACTTCCCGGGAGGTCACCCAGCCCAGTACTGCTCTCGCCCACCGGCGCTTAGCTTCGGAGTTCTGATGGGATCCGGCGTAGTAGCCGAGGTATGATCGTACCACGACAATCCCGTGCCCCGACCGGTACACACCCCTTGCCCGGGTCCCCCCTTCATAGTCACACCCCCTGCCCCCTCATGCCATCCGCTCCCCCCGCCCCTACCCTCCGCGTGCCCGCTCCCTCGCCGCCTCTTTTGACCCTCCCTGCCCCCCTCGCCGTTACCCACCGCTCGCCATTCGCTCCTCCCCGCCCGTGCCCTCCCCTCGTTTACCTTCGCCTCCCCCCTCCCCTCCTCTGCTGCACGCCTCTTCCTTCCCCTCGCTAACCCACTCCACTCCCTGCCCCTCCTCAATCCGCACCCTGCCCCTCGTTTCTCGCCCCCCTATGCTTGGTTTCTCCCCCCCTGCCCTTTGCTTTCCCCTCGTTACGCTCCCTTCTCCCCATCCCTGCTGCCCTCTTACCACCATCAGCCCGTCCCCACCACCAGCCCCCCTCCCACCCTTCTCCCCCCCCCCCTCTCCCTCTCTCTCTCTCTCTCTCTATCTCTCTCACTCTCTCTCTCTCTCTCTCTCTTTCTCTCGCACACACACACACACACACACTCCCCTCCCCCACCCCCCACCCACATCCTCCCGTTCTGCCCCTCCCTGCCCCTGTTCCACCCCCTCGCACGCCCCTCACCTCTCACCTCCGTTCAACTGGATTCCCCCCCTCTGGTGCATCCCTTGCATCGCTCGCCCCTCTGCTCACCCTCTGCCCGCCCCTTTTCCTTGCCCTCAGCTGGCCCAGCCCCTGCCCGTTGCTGCCCCTCCCCTTGCCCCCTCAACTCCCCTGCCCCCCGTACACCCCACTCCCGTCCAACCGCCCCCACCCTCCCCCGGCTGCCCGTTTCCGCTCTCCACCCCCGCGACCGTGTGCGGCTTCCAACCGCCCAACGGTGGTGCGCACGGGGCGTTTCTTCGCGCGGGCAAGCCTCCCCGGGGGCCCCCCACCCCGCTGACTCGTTGTTCGGGCAAAAAAAACGGAAATAAAAAAGTCGGACGCGCTAAAATCGTCCTTTGTTTTTCCCGCTTGCCCCTCCCCGGCACGTGCCGAGCAAGGGGCATAAATGGGTACAACACGAGGACTTCCCGGGAGGTCACCCAGCCCAGTACTGCTCTCGCCCACCGGCGCTTAGCTTCGGAGTTCTGATGGGATCCGGCGTAGTAGCCGAGGTATGATCGTACCACGACAATCCCGTGCCCCGACCGGTACACACCCCTTGCCCGGGTCCCCCCTTCATAGTCACACCCCCTGCCCCCTCATGCCATCCGCTCCCCCCGCCCCTACCCTCCGCGTGCCCGCTCCCTCGCCGCCTCTTTTGACCCTCCCTGCCCCCCTCGCCGTTACCCACCGCTCGCCATTCGCTCCTCCCCGCCCGTGCCCTCCCCTCGTTTACCTTCGCCTCCCCCCTCCCCTCCTCTGCTGCACGCCTCTTCCTTCCCCTCGCTAACCCACTCCACTCCCTGCCCCTCCTCAATCCGCACCCTGCCCCTCGTTTCTCGCCCCCCTACGCTTGGTTTCTCCCCTCCCTGCCCCTCGCCGCCTTTCTCCGCTCCCCACCTCCCCCCTCTCCCTGCCCCCCCACTCTCCTCCACTTGCCCTTGGCTTCCCACCTCCCTGCCCCACCTTTCCCCCCTCCGTGTGCTCAGCTTCTCCCCTCCCTGCCTCTCCCTCCTCCCCGCCCTGCCCCTCATTTTCCGCCCCCCCACGCCCGGTTTCTCCCCTCCCTGCACCTCCCTTTCTTTCTCCGTGCCTCTCCTTTGCTCCCTCCCTGCCCCCGCCTGCCCATGCCCCTGTCTTTGGTTTCTCCCCTCCCTGCCCCACGTTTCTTCCCTCCCTGAGATCACCTTGTACCCCCTCTGCCCCTCCCTTGTTCTCCCCGCACCCATTGCTTCTCCCCTCCCTGCCCTTGATTTCCCGCACCCCTGCCCTTGTTTCCTACCATCCATGCCCCTCGTTTCCCCTCTTTGTACGTTCACCCTCTTCCCTCCCTGCCCCTCCCTTCCTCCCCCCCTGCCCTTTGCTTTCCCCTCGTTACGCTCCCTTCTCCCCATCCCTGCTGCCCTCTTACCACCATCAGCCCGTCCCCACCACCAGCCCCCCTCCCACCCTTCTCCCCCCCCCCCCTCTCCCTCTCTCTCTCTCTCTCTCTCTCTTTCTCTCGCACACACACACACACACACACTCCCCTCCCCCACCCCCCACCCACATCCTCCCGTTCTGCCCCTCCCTGCCCCTGTTCCACCCCCTCGCACGCCCCTCACCTCTCACCTCCGTTCAACTGGATTCCCCCCCTCTGGTGCATCCCTTGCATCGCTCGCCCCTCTGCTCACCCTCTGCCCGCCCCTTTTCCTTGCCCTCAGCTGGCCCAGCCCCTGCCCGTTGCTGCCCCTCCCCTTGCCCCCTCAACTCCCCTGCCCCCCGTACACCCCACTCCCGTCCAACCGCCCCCACCCTCCCCCGGCTGCCCGTTTCCGCTCTCCACCCCCGCGACCGTGTGCGGCTTCCAACCGCCCAACGGTGGTGCGCACGGGGCGTTTCTTCGCGCGGGCAAGCCTCCCCGGGGGCCCCCCACCCCGCTGACTCGTTGTTCGGGCAAAAAAACGGAAATAAAAAAGTCGGACGCGCTAAAATCGTCCTTTGTTTTTCCCGCTTGCCCCTCCCCGGCACGTGCCGAGCAAGGGGCATAAATGGGTACAACACGAGGACTTCCCGGGAGGTCACCCAGCCCAGTACTGCTCTCGCCCACCGGCGCTTAGCTTCGGAGTTCTGATGGGATCCGGCGTAGTAGCCGAGGTATGATCGTACCACGACAATCCCGTGCCCCGACCGGTACACACCCCTTGCCCGGGTCCCCCCTTCATAGTCACACCCCCTGCCCCCTCATGCCATCCGCTCCCCCCGCCCCTACCCTCCGCGTGCCCGCTCCCTCGCCGCCTCTTTTGACCCTCCCTGCCCCCCTCGCCGTTACCCACCGCTCGCCATTCGCTCCTCCCCGCCCGTGCCCTCCCCTCGTTTACCTTCGCCTCCCCCCTCCCCTCCTCTGCTGCACGCCTCTTCCTTCCCCTCGCTAACCCACTCCACTCCCTGCCCCTCCTCAATCCGCACCCTGCCCCTCGTTTCTCGCCCCCCTACGCTTGGTTTCTCCCCTCCCTGCCCCTCGCCGCCTTTCTCCGCTCCCCACCTCCCCCCTCTCCCTGCCCCCCCACTCTCCTCCACTTGCCCTTGGCTTCCCACCTCCCTGCCCCACCTTTCCCCCCTCCGTGTGCTCAGCTTCTCCCCTCCCTGCCTCTCCCTCCTCCCCGCCCTGCCCCTCATTTTCCGCCCCCCCACGCCCGGTTTCTCCCCTCCCTGCACCTCCCTTTCTTTCTCCGTGCCTCTCCTTTGCTCCCTCCCTGCCCCCGCCTGCCCATGCCCCTGTCTTTGGTTTCTCCCCTCCCTGCCCCACGTTTCTTCCCTCCCTGAGATCACCTTGTACCCCCTCTGCCCCTCCCTTGTTCTCCCCGCACCCATTGCTTCTCCCCTCCCTGCCCTTGATTTCCCGCACCCCTGCCCTTGTTTCCTACCATCCATGCCCCTCGTTTCCCCTCTTTGTACGTTCACCCTCTTCCCTCCCTGCCCCTCCCTTCCTCCCCCCCTGCCCTTTGCTTTCCCCTCGTTACGCTCCCTTCTCCCCATCCCTGCTGCCCTCTTACCACCATCAGCCCGTCCCCACCACCAGCCCCCCTCCCACCCTTCTCCCCCCCCCCCTCTCCCTCTCTCTCTCTCTCTCTCTCTCTTTCTCTCGCACACACACACACACACACACTCCCCTCCCCCACCCCCCACCCACATCCTCCCGTTCTGCCCCTCCCTGCCCCTGTTCCACCCCCTCGCACGCCCCTCACCTCTCACCTCCGTTCAACTGGATTCCCCCCCTCTGGTGCATCCCTTGCATCGCTCGCCCCTCTGCTCACCCTCTGCCCGCCCCTTTTCCTTGCCCTCAGCTGGCCCAGCCCCTGCCCGTTGCTGCCCCTCCCCTTGCCCCCTCAACTCCCCTGCCCCCCGTACACCCCACTCCCGTCCAACCGCCCCCACCCTCCCCCGGCTGCCCGTTTCCGCTCTCCACCCCCGCGACCGTGTGCGGCTTCCAACCGCCCAACGGTGGTGCGCACGGGGCGTTTCTTCGCGCGGGCAAGCCTCCCCGGGGGCCCCCCACCCCGCTGACTCGTTGTTCGGGCAAAAAAAACGGAAATAAAAAAGTCGGACGCGCTAAAATCGTCCTTTGTTTTTCCCGCTTGCCCCTCCCCGGCACGTGCCGAGCAAGGGGCATAAATGGGTACAACACGAGGACTTCCCGGGAGGTCACCCAGCCCAGTACTGCTCTCGCCCACCGGCGCTTAGCTTCGGAGTTCTGATGGGATCCGGCGTAGTAGCCGAGGTATGATCGTACCACGACAATCCCGTGCCCCGACCGGTACACACCCCTTGCCCGGGTCCCCCCTTCATAGTCACACCCCCTGCCCCCTCATGCCATCCGCTCCCCCCGCCCCTACCCTCCGCGTGCCCGCTCCCTCGCCGCCTCTTTTGACCCTCCCTGCCCCCCTCGCCGTTACCCACCGCTCGCCATTCGCTCCTCCCCGCCCGTGCCCTCCCCTCGTTTACCTTCGCCTCCCCCCTCCCCTCCTCTGCTGCACGCCTCTTCCTTCCCCTCGCTAACCCACTCCACTCCCTGCCCCTCCTCAATCCGCACCCTGCCCCTCGTTTCTCGCCCCCCTACGCTTGGTTTCTCCCCTCCCTGCCCCTCGCCGCCTTTCTCCGCTCCCCACCTCCCCCCTCTCCCTGCCCCCCCACTCTCCTCCACTTGCCCTTGGCTTCCCACCTCCCTGCCCCACCTTTCCCCCCTCCGTGTGCTCAGCTTCTCCCCTCCCTGCCTCTCCCTCCTCCCCGCCCTGCCCCTCATTTTCCGCCCCCCCACGCCCGGTTTCTCCCCTCCCTGCACCTCCCTTTCTTTCTCCGTGCCTCTCCTTTGCTCCCTCCCTGCCCCCGCCTGCCCATGCCCCTGTCTTTGGTTTCTCCCCTCCCTGCCCCACGTTTCTTCCCTCCCTGAGATCACCTTGTACCCCCTCTGCCCCTCCCTTGTTCTCCCCGCACCCATTGCTTCTCCCCTCCCTGCCCTTGATTTCCCGCACCCCTGCCCTTGTTTCCTACCATCCATGCCCCTCGTTTCCCCTCTTTGTACGTTCACCCTCTTCCCTCCCTGCCCCTCCCTTCCTCCCCCCCTGCCCTTTGCTTTCCCCTCGTTACGCTCCCTTCTCCCCATCCCTGCTGCCCTCTTACCACCATCAGCCCGTCCCCACCACCAGCCCCCCTCCCACCCTTCTCCCCCCCCCCCTCTCCCTCTCTCTCTCTCTCTCTCTCTCTTTCTCTCGCACACACACACACACACACACTCCCCTCCCCCACCCCCCACCCACATCCTCCCGTTCTGCCCCTCCCTGCCCCTGTTCCACCCCCTCGCACGCCCCTCACCTCTCACCTCCGTTCAACTGGATTCCCCCCCTCTGGTGCATCCCTTGCATCGCTCGCCCCTCTGCTCACCCTCTGCCCGCCCCTTTTCCTTGCCCTCAGCTGGCCCAGCCCCTGCCCGTTGCTGCCCCTCCCCTTGCCCCCTCAACTCCCCTGCCCCCCGTACACCCCACTCCCGTCCAACCGCCCCCACCCTCCCCCGGCTGCCCGTTTCCGCTCTCCACCCCCGCGACCGTGTGCGGCTTCCAACCGCCCAACGGTGGTGCGCACGGGGCGTTTCTTCGCGCGGGCAAGCCTCCCCGGGGGCCCCCCACCCCGCTGACTCGTTGTTCGGGCAAAAAAAACGGAAATAAAAAAGTCGGACGCGCTAAAATCGTCCTTTGTTTTTCCCGCTTGCCCCTCCCCGGCACGTGCCGAGCAAGGGGCATAAATGGGTACAACACGAGGACTTCCCGGGAGGTCACCCAGCCCAGTACTGCTCTCGCCCACCGGCGCTTAGCTTCGGAGTTCTGATGGGATCCGGCGTAGTAGCCGAGGTATGATCGTACCACGACAATCCCGTGCCCCGACCGGTACACACCCCTTGCCCGGGTCCCCCCTTCATAGTCACACCCCCTGCCCCCTCATGCCATCCGCTCCCCCCGCCCCTACCCTCCGCGTGCCCGCTCCCTCGCCGCCTCTTTTGACCCTCCCTGCCCCCCTCGCCGTTACCCACCGCTCGCCATTCGCTCCTCCCCGCCCGTGCCCTCCCCTCGTTTACCTTCGCCTCCCCCCTCCCCTCCTCTGCTGCACGCCTCTTCCTTCCCCTCGCTAACCCACTCCACTCCCTGCCCCTCCTCAATCCGCACCCTGCCCCTCGTTTCTCGCCCCCCTACGCTTGGTTTCTCCCCTCCCTGCCCCTCGCCGCCTTTCTCCGCTCCCCACCTCCCCCCTCTCCCTGCCCCCCCACTCTCCTCCACTTGCCCTTGGCTTCCCACCTCCCTGCCCCACCTTTCCCCCCTCCGTGTGCTCAGCTTCTCCCCTCCCTGCCTCTCCCTCCTCCCCGCCCTGCCCCTCATTTTCCGCCCCCCCACGCCCGGTTTCTCCCCTCCCTGCACCTCCCTTTCTTTCTCCGTGCCTCTCCTTTGCTCCCTCCCTGCCCCCGCCTGCCCATGCCCCTGTCTTTGGTTTCTCCCCTCCCTGCCCCACGTTTCTTCCCTCCCTGAGATCACCTTGTACCCCCTCTGCCCCTCCCTTGTTCTCCCCGCACCCATTGCTTCTCCCCTCCCTGCCCTTGATTTCCCGCACCCCTGCCCTTGTTTCCTACCATCCATGCCCCTCGTTTCCCCTCTTTGTACGTTCACCCTCTTCCCTCCCTGCCCCTCCCTTCCTCCCCCCCTGCCCTTTGCTTTCCCCTCGTTACGCTCCCTTCTCCCCATCCCTGCTGCCCTCTTACCACCATCAGCCCGTCCCCACCACCAGCCCCCCTCCCACCCTTCTCCCCCCCCCCCCTCTCCCTCTCTCTCTCTCTCTCTCTCTCTTTCTCTCGCACACACACACACACACACACTCCCCTCCCCCACCCCCCACCCACATCCTCCCGTTCTGCCCCTCCCTGCCCCTGTTCCACCCCCTCGCACGCCCCTCACCTCTCACCTCCGTTCAACTGGATTCCCCCCCTCTGGTGCATCCCTTGCATCGCTCGCCCCTCTGCTCACCCTCTGCCCGCCCCTTTTCCTTGCCCTCAGCTGGCCCAGCCCCTGCCCGTTGCTGCCCCTCCCCTTGCCCCCTCAACTCCCCTGCCCCCCGTACACCCCACTCCCGTCCAACCGCCCCCACCCTCCCCCGGCTGCCCGTTTCCGCTCTCCACCCCCGCGACCGTGTGCGGCTTCCAACCGCCCAACGGTGGTGCGCACGGGGCGTTTCTTCGCGCGGGCAAGCCTCCCCGGGGGCCCCCCACCCCGCTGACTCGTTGTTCGGGCAAAAAAAACGGAAATAAAAAAGTCGGACGCGCTAAAATCGTCCTTTGTTTTTCCCGCTTGCCCCTCCCCGGCACGTGCCGAGCAAGGGGCATAAATGGGTACAACACGAGGACTTCCCGGGAGGTCACCCAGCCCAGTACTGCTCTCGCCCACCGGCGCTTAGCTTCGGAGTTCTGATGGGATCCGGCGTAGTAGCCGAGGTATGATCGTACCACGACAATCCCGTGCCCCGACCGGTACACACCCCTTGCCCGGGTCCCCCCTTCATAGTCACACCCCCTGCCCCCTCATGCCATCCGCTCCCCCCGCCCCTACCCTCCGCGTGCCCGCTCCCTCGCCGCCTCTTTTGACCCTCCCTGCCCCCCTCGCCGTTACCCACCGCTCGCCATTCGCTCCTCCCCGCCCGTGCCCTCCCCTCGTTTACCTTCGCCTCCCCCCTCCCCTCCTCTGCTGCACGCCTCTTCCTTCCCCTCGCTAACCCACTCCACTCCCTGCCCCTCCTCAATCCGCACCCTGCCCCTCGTTTCTCGCCCCCCTACGCTTGGTTTCTCCCCTCCCTGCCCCTCGCCGCCTTTCTCCGCTCCCCACCTCCCCCCTCTCCCTGCCCCCCCACTCTCCTCCACTTGCCCTTGGCTTCCCACCTCCCTGCCCCACCTTTCCCCCCTCCGTGTGCTCAGCTTCTCCCCTCCCTGCCTCTCCCTCCTCCCCGCCCTGCCCCTCATTTTCCGCCCCCCCACGCCCGGTTTCTCCCCTCCCTGCACCTCCCTTTCTTTCTCCGTGCCTCTCCTTTGCTCCCTCCCTGCCCCCGCCTGCCCATGCCCCTGTCTTTGGTTTCTCCCCTCCCTGCCCCACGTTTCTTCCCTCCCTGAGATCACCTTGTACCCCCTCTGCCCCTCCCTTGTTCTCCCCGCACCCATTGCTTCTCCCCTCCCTGCCCTTGATTTCCCGCACCCCTGCCCTTGTTTCCTACCATCCATGCCCCTCGTTTCCCCTCTTTGTACGTTCACCCTCTTCCCTCCCTGCCCCTCCCTTCCTCCCCCCCTGCCCTTTGCTTTCCCCTCGTTACGCTCCCTTCTCCCCATCCCTGCTGCCCTCTTACCACCATCAGCCCGTCCCCACCACCAGCCCCCCTCCCACCCTTCTCCCCCCCCCCCTCTCCCTCTCTCTCTCTCTCTCTCTCTCTCTTTCTCTCGCACACACACACACACACACACTCCCCTCCCCCACCCCCCACCCACATCCTCCCGTTCTGCCCCTCCCTGCCCCTGTTCCACCCCCTCGCACGCCCCTCACCTCTCACCTCCGTTCAACTGGATTCCCCCCCTCTGGTGCATCCCTTGCATCGCTCGCCCCTCTGCTCACCCTCTGCCCGCCCCTTTTCCTTGCCCTCAGCTGGCCCAGCCCCTGCCCGTTGCTGCCCCTCCCCTTGCCCCCTCAACTCCCCTGCCCCCCGTACACCCCACTCCCGTCCAACCGCCCCCACCCTCCCCCGGCTGCCCGTTTCCGCTCTCCACCCCCGCGACCGTGTGCGGCTTCCAACCGCCCAACGGTGGTGCGCACGGGGCGTTTCTTCGCGCGGGCAAGCCTCCCCGGGGGCCCCCCACCCCGCTGACTCGTTGTTCGGGCAAAAAAAACGGAAATAAAAAAGTCGGACGCGCTAAAATCGTCCTTTGTTTTTCCCGCTTGCCCCTCCCCGGCACGTGCCGAGCAAGGGGCATAAATGGGTACAACACGAGGACTTCCCGGGAGGTCACCCAGCCCAGTACTGCTCTCGCCCACCGGCGCTTAGCTTCGGAGTTCTGATGGGATCCGGCGTAGTAGCCGAGGTATGATCGTACCACGACAATCCCGTGCCCCGACCGGTACACACCCCTTGCCCGGGTCCCCCCTTCATAGTCACACCCCCTGCCCCCTCATGCCATCCGCTCCCCCCGCCCCTACCCTCCGCGTGCCCGCTCCCTCGCCGCCTCTTTTGACCCTCCCTGCCCCCCTCGCCGTTACCCACCGCTCGCCATTCGCTCCTCCCCGCCCGTGCCCTCCCCTCGTTTACCTTCGCCTCCCCCCTCCCCTCCTCTGCTGCACGCCTCTTCCTTCCCCTCGCTAACCCACTCCACTCCCTGCCCCTCCTCAATCCGCACCCTGCCCCTCGTTTCTCGCCCCCCTACGCTTGGTTTCTCCCCTCCCTGCCCCTCGCCGCCTTTCTCCGCTCCCCACCTCCCCCCTCTCCCTGCCCCCCCACTCTCCTCCACTTGCCCTTGGCTTCCCACCTCCCTGCCCCACCTTTCCCCCCTCCGTGTGCTCAGCTTCTCCCCTCCCTGCCTCTCCCTCCTCCCCGCCCTGCCCCTCATTTTCCGCCCCCCCACGCCCGGTTTCTCCCCTCCCTGCACCTCCCTTTCTTTCTCCGTGCCTCTCCTTTGCTCCCTCCCTGCCCCCGCCTGCCCATGCCCCTGTCTTTGGTTTCTCCCCTCCCTGCCCCACGTTTCTTCCCTCCCTGAGATCACCTTGTACCCCCTCTGCCCCTCCCTTGTTCTCCCCGCACCCATTGCTTCTCCCCTCCCTGCCCTTGATTTCCCGCACCCCTGCCCTTGTTTCCTACCATCCATGCCCCTCGTTTCCCCTCTTTGTACGTTCACCCTCTTCCCTCCCTGCCCCTCCCTTCCTCCCCCCCTGCCCTTTGCTTTCCCCTCGTTACGCTCCCTTCTCCCCATCCCTGCTGCCCTCTTACCACCATCAGCCCGTCCCCACCACCAGCCCCCCTCCCACCCTTCTCCCCCCCCCCCTCTCCCTCTCTCTCTCTCTCTCTCTCTCTTTCTCTCGCACACACACACACACACACACTCCCCTCCCCCACCCCCCACCCACATCCTCCCGTTCTGCCCCTCCCTGCCCCTGTTCCACCCCCTCGCACGCCCCTCACCTCTCACCTCCGTTCAACTGGATTCCCCCCCTCTGGTGCATCCCTTGCATCGCTCGCCCCTCTGCTCACCCTCTGCCCGCCCCTTTTCCTTGCCCTCAGCTGGCCCAGCCCCTGCCCGTTGCTGCCCCTCCCCTTGCCCCCTCAACTCCCCTGCCCCCCGTACACCCCACTCCCGTCCAACCGCCCCCACCCTCCCCCGGCTGCCCGTTTCCGCTCTCCACCCCCGCGACCGTGTGCGGCTTCCAACCGCCCAACGGTGGTGCGCACGGGGCGTTTCTTCGCGCGGGCAAGCCTCCCCGGGGGCCCCCCACCCCGCTGACTCGTTGTTCGGGCAAAAAAAACGGAAATAAAAAAGTCGGACGCGCTAAAATCGTCCTTTGTTTTTCCCGCTTGCCCCTCCCCGGCACGTGCCGAGCAAGGGGCATAAATGGGTACAACACGAGGACTTCCCGGGAGGTCACCCAGCCCAGTACTGCTCTCGCCCACCGGCGCTTAGCTTCGGAGTTCTGATGGGATCCGGCGTAGTAGCCGAGGTATGATCGTACCACGACAATCCCGTGCCCCGACCGGTACACACCCCTTGCCCGGGTCCCCCCTTCATAGTCACACCCCCTGCCCCCTCATGCCATCCGCTCCCCCCGCCCCTACCCTCCGCGTGCCCGCTCCCTCGCCGCCTCTTTTGACCCTCCCTGCCCCCCTCGCCGTTACCCACCGCTCGCCATTCGCTCCTCCCCGCCCGTGCCCTCCCCTCGTTTACCTTCGCCTCCCCCCTCCCCTCCTCTGCTGCACGCCTCTTCCTTCCCCTCGCTAACCCACTCCACTCCCTGCCCCTCCTCAATCCGCACCCTGCCCCTCGTTTCTCGCCCCCCTATGCTTGGTTTCTCCCCCCCTGCCCTTTGCTTTCCCCTCGTTACGCTCCCTTCTCCCCATCCCTGCTGCCCTCTTACCACCATCAGCCCGTCCCCACCACCAGCCCCCCTCCCACCCTTCTCCCCCCCCCCCTCTCCCTCTCTCTCTCTCTCTCTCTATCTCTCTCACTCTCTCTCTCTCTCTCTCTCTTTCTCTCGCACACACACACACACACACACACTCCCCTCCCCCACCCCCCACCCACATCCTCCCGTTCTGCCCCTCCCTGCCCCTGTTCCACCCCCTCGCACGCCCCTCACCTCTCACCTCCGTTCAACTGGATTCCCCCCCTCTGGTGCATCCCTTGCATCGCTCGCCCCTCTGCTCACCCTCTGCCCGCCCCTTTTCCTTGCCCTCAGCTGGCCCAGCCCCTGCCCGTTGCTGCCCCTCCCCTTGCCCCCTCAACTCCCCTGCCCCCCGTACACCCCACTCCCGTCCAACCGCCCCCACCCTCCCCCGGCTGCCCGTTTCCGCTCTCCACCCCCGCGACCGTGTGCGGCTTCCAACCGCCCAACGGTGGTGCGCACGGGGCGTTTCTTCGCGCGGGCAAGCCTCCCCGGGGGCCCCCCACCCCGCTGACTCGTTGTTCGGGCAAAAAAACGGAAATAAAAAAGTCGGACGCGCTAAAATCGTCCTTTGTTTTTCCCGCTTGCCCCTCCCCGGCACGTGCCGAGCAAGGGGCATAAATGGGTACAACACGAGGACTTCCCGGGAGGTCACCCAGCCCAGTACTGCTCTCGCCCACCGGCGCTTAGCTTCGGAGTTCTGATGGGATCCGGCGTAGTAGCCGAGGTATGATCGTACCACGACAATCCCGTGCCCCGACCGGTACACACCCCTTGCCCGGGTCCCCCCTTCATAGTCACACCCCCTGCCCCCTCATGCCATCCGCTCCCCCCGCCCCTACCCTCCGCGTGCCCGCTCCCTCGCCGCCTCTTTTGACCCTCCCTGCCCCCCTCGCCGTTACCCACCGCTCGCCATTCGCTCCTCCCCGCCCGTGCCCTCCCCTCGTTTACCTTCGCCTCCCCCCTCCCCTCCTCTGCTGCACGCCTCTTCCTTCCCCTCGCTAACCCACTCCACTCCCTGCCCCTCCTCAATCCGCACCCTGCCCCTCGTTTCTCGCCCCCCTACGCTTGGTTTCTCCCCTCCCTGCCCCTCGCCGCCTTTCTCCGCTCCCCACCTCCCCCCTCTCCCTGCCCCCCCACTCTCCTCCACTTGCCCTTGGCTTCCCACCTCCCTGCCCCACCTTTCCCCCCTCCGTGTGCTCAGCTTCTCCCCTCCCTGCCTCTCCCTCCTCCCCGCCCTGCCCCTCATTTTCCGCCCCCCCACGCCCGGTTTCTCCCCTCCCTGCACCTCCCTTTCTTTCTCCGTGCCTCTCCTTTGCTCCCTCCCTGCCCCCGCCTGCCCATGCCCCTGTCTTTGGTTTCTCCCCTCCCTGCCCCACGTTTCTTCCCTCCCTGAGATCACCTTGTACCCCCTCTGCCCCTCCCTTGTTCTCCCCGCACCCATTGCTTCTCCCCTCCCTGCCCTTGATTTCCCGCACCCCTGCCCTTGTTTCCTACCATCCATGCCCCTCGTTTCCCCTCTTTGTACGTTCACCCTCTTCCCTCCCTGCCCCTCCCTTCCTCCCCCCCTGCCCTTTGCTTTCCCCTCGTTACGCTCCCTTCTCCCCATCCCTGCTGCCCTCTTACCACCATCAGCCCGTCCCCACCACCAGCCCCCCTCCCACCCTTCTCCCCCCCCCCCTCTCCCTCTCTCTCTCTCTCTCTCTCTCTCTTTCTCTCGCACACACACACACACACACACTCCCCTCCCCCACCCCCCACCCACATCCTCCCGTTCTGCCCCTCCCTGCCCCTGTTCCACCCCCTCGCACGCCCCTCACCTCTCACCTCCGTTCAACTGGATTCCCCCCCTCTGGTGCATCCCTTGCATCGCTCGCCCCTCTGCTCACCCTCTGCCCGCCCCTTTTCCTTGCCCTCAGCTGGCCCAGCCCCTGCCCGTTGCTGCCCCTCCCCTTGCCCCCTCAACTCCCCTGCCCCCCGTACACCCCACTCCCGTCCAACCGCCCCCACCCTCCCCCGGCTGCCCGTTTCCGCTCTCCACCCCCGCGACCGTGTGCGGCTTCCAACCGCCCAACGGTGGTGCGCACGGGGCGTTTCTTCGCGCGGGCAAGCCTCCCCGGGGGCCCCCCACCCCGCTGACTCGTTGTTCGGGCAAAAAAAACGGAAATAAAAAAGTCGGACGCGCTAAAATCGTCCTTTGTTTTTCCCGCTTGCCCCTCCCCGGCACGTGCCGAGCAAGGGGCATAAATGGGTACAACACGAGGACTTCCCGGGAGGTCACCCAGCCCAGTACTGCTCTCGCCCACCGGCGCTTAGCTTCGGAGTTCTGATGGGATCCGGCGTAGTAGCCGAGGTATGATCGTACCACGACAATCCCGTGCCCCGACCGGTACACACCCCTTGCCCGGGTCCCCCCTTCATAGTCACACCCCCTGCCCCCTCATGCCATCCGCTCCCCCCGCCCCTACCCTCCGCGTGCCCGCTCCCTCGCCGCCTCTTTTGACCCTCCCTGCCCCCCTCGCCGTTACCCACCGCTCGCCATTCGCTCCTCCCCGCCCGTGCCCTCCCCTCGTTTACCTTCGCCTCCCCCCTCCCCTCCTCTGCTGCACGCCTCTTCCTTCCCCTCGCTAACCCACTCCACTCCCTGCCCCTCCTCAATCCGCACCCTGCCCCTCGTTTCTCGCCCCCCTATGCTTGGTTTCTCCCCCCCTGCCCTTTGCTTTCCCCTCGTTACGCTCCCTTCTCCCCATCCCTGCTGCCCTCTTACCACCATCAGCCCGTCCCCACCACCAGCCCCCCTCCCACCCTTCTCCCCCCCCCCCTCTCCCTCTCTCTCTCTCTCTCTCTATCTCTCTCACTCTCTCTCTCTCTCTCTCTCTTTCTCTCGCACACACACACACACACACACTCCCCTCCCCCACCCCCCACCCACATCCTCCCGTTCTGCCCCTCCCTGCCCCTGTTCCACCCCCTCGCACGCCCCTCACCTCTCACCTCCGTTCAACTGGATTCCCCCCCTCTGGTGCATCCCTTGCATCGCTCGCCCCTCTGCTCACCCTCTGCCCGCCCCTTTTCCTTGCCCTCAGCTGGCCCAGCCCCTGCCCGTTGCTGCCCCTCCCCTTGCCCCCTCAACTCCCCTGCCCCCCGTACACCCCACTCCCGTCCAACCGCCCCCACCCTCCCCCGGCTGCCCGTTTCCGCTCTCCACCCCCGCGACCGTGTGCGGCTTCCAACCGCCCAACGGTGGTGCGCACGGGGCGTTTCTTCGCGCGGGCAAGCCTCCCCGGGGGCCCCCCACCCCGCTGACTCGTTGTTCGGGCAAAAAAAACGGAAATAAAAAAGTCGGACGCGCTAAAATCGTCCTTTGTTTTTCCCGCTTGCCCCTCCCCGGCACGTGCCGAGCAAGGGGCATAAATGGGTACAACACGAGGACTTCCCGGGAGGTCACCCAGCCCAGTACTGCTCTCGCCCACCGGCGCTTAGCTTCGGAGTTCTGATGGGATCCGGCGTAGTAGCCGAGGTATGATCGTACCACGACAATCCCGTGCCCCGACCGGTACACACCCCTTGCCCGGGTCCCCCCTTCATAGTCACACCCCCTGCCCCCTCATGCCATCCGCTCCCCCCGCCCCTACCCTCCGCGTGCCCGCTCCCTCGCCGCCTCTTTTGACCCTCCCTGCCCCCCTCGCCGTTACCCACCGCTCGCCATTCGCTCCTCCCCGCCCGTGCCCTCCCCTCGTTTACCTTCGCCTCCCCCCTCCCCTCCTCTGCTGCACGCCTCTTCCTTCCCCTCGCTAACCCACTCCACTCCCTGCCCCTCCTCAATCCGCACCCTGCCCCTCGTTTCTCGCCCCCCTACGCTTGGTTTCTCCCCTCCCTGCCCCTCGCCGCCTTTCTCCGCTCCCCACCTCCCCCCTCTCCCTGCCCCCCCACTCTCCTCCACTTGCCCTTGGCTTCCCACCTCCCTGCCCCACCTTTCCCCCCTCCGTGTGCTCAGCTTCTCCCCTCCCTGCCTCTCCCTCCTCCCCGCCCTGCCCCTCATTTTCCGCCCCCCCACGCCCGGTTTCTCCCCTCCCTGCACCTCCCTTTCTTTCTCCGTGCCTCTCCTTTGCTCCCTCCCTGCCCCCGCCTGCCCATGCCCCTGTCTTTGGTTTCTCCCCTCCCTGCCCCACGTTTCTTCCCTCCCTGAGATCACCTTGTACCCCCTCTGCCCCTCCCTTGTTCTCCCCGCACCCATTGCTTCTCCCCTCCCTGCCCTTGATTTCCCGCACCCCTGCCCTTGTTTCCTACCATCCATGCCCCTCGTTTCCCCTCTTTGTACGTTCACCCTCTTCCCTCCCTGCCCCTCCCTTCCTCCCCCCCTGCCCTTTGCTTTCCCCTCGTTACGCTCCCTTCTCCCCATCCCTGCTGCCCTCTTACCACCATCAGCCCGTCCCCACCACCAGCCCCCCTCCCACCCTTCTCCCCCCCCCCCTCTCCCTCTCTCTCTCTCTCTCTCTCTCTTTCTCTCGCACACACACACACACACACACTCCCCTCCCCCACCCCCCACCCACATCCTCCCGTTCTGCCCCTCCCTGCCCCTGTTCCACCCCCTCGCACGCCCCTCACCTCTCACCTCCGTTCAACTGGATTCCCCCCCTCTGGTGCATCCCTTGCATCGCTCGCCCCTCTGCTCACCCTCTGCCCGCCCCTTTTCCTTGCCCTCAGCTGGCCCAGCCCCTGCCCGTTGCTGCCCCTCCCCTTGCCCCCTCAACTCCCCTGCCCCCCGTACACCCCACTCCCGTCCAACCGCCCCCACCCTCCCCCGGCTGCCCGTTTCCGCTCTCCACCCCCGCGACCGTGTGCGGCTTCCAACCGCCCAACGGTGGTGCGCACGGGGCGTTTCTTCGCGCGGGCAAGCCTCCCCGGGGGCCCCCCACCCCGCTGACTCGTTGTTCGGGCAAAAAAAACGGAAATAAAAAAGTCGGACGCGCTAAAATCGTCCTTTGTTTTTCCCGCTTGCCCCTCCCCGGCACGTGCCGAGCAAGGGGCATAAATGGGTACAACACGAGGACTTCCCGGGAGGTCACCCAGCCCAGTACTGCTCTCGCCCACCGGCGCTTAGCTTCGGAGTTCTGATGGGATCCGGCGTAGTAGCCGAGGTATGATCGTACCACGACAATCCCGTGCCCCGACCGGTACACACCCCTTGCCCGGGTCCCCCCTTCATAGTCACACCCCCTGCCCCCTCATGCCATCCGCTCCCCCCGCCCCTACCCTCCGCGTGCCCGCTCCCTCGCCGCCTCTTTTGACCCTCCCTGCCCCCCTCGCCGTTACCCACCGCTCGCCATTCGCTCCTCCCCGCCCGTGCCCTCCCCTCGTTTACCTTCGCCTCCCCCCTCCCCTCCTCTGCTGCACGCCTCTTCCTTCCCCTCGCTAACCCACTCCACTCCCTGCCCCTCCTCAATCCGCACCCTGCCCCTCGTTTCTCGCCCCCCTACGCTTGGTTTCTCCCCTCCCTGCCCCTCGCCGCCTTTCTCCGCTCCCCACCTCCCCCCTCTCCCTGCCCCCCCACTCTCCTCCACTTGCCCTTGGCTTCCCACCTCCCTGCCCCACCTTTCCCCCCTCCGTGTGCTCAGCTTCTCCCCTCCCTGCCTCTCCCTCCTCCCCGCCCTGCCCCTCATTTTCCGCCCCCCCACGCCCGGTTTCTCCCCTCCCTGCACCTCCCTTTCTTTCTCCGTGCCTCTCCTTTGCTCCCTCCCTGCCCCCGCCTGCCCATGCCCCTGTCTTTGGTTTCTCCCCTCCCTGCCCCACGTTTCTTCCCTCCCTGAGATCACCTTGTACCCCCTCTGCCCCTCCCTTGTTCTCCCCGCACCCATTGCTTCTCCCCTCCCTGCCCTTGATTTCCCGCACCCCTGCCCTTGTTTCCTACCATCCATGCCCCTCGTTTCCCCTCTTTGTACGTTCACCCTCTTCCCTCCCTGCCCCTCCCTTCCTCCCCCCCTGCCCTTTGCTTTCCCCTCGTTACGCTCCCTTCTCCCCATCCCTGCTGCCCTCTTACCACCATCAGCCCGTCCCCACCACCAGCCCCCCTCCCACCCTTCTCCCCCCCCCCCTCTCCCTCTCTCTCTCTCTCTCTCTCTCTTTCTCTCGCACACACACACACACACACACACTCCCCTCCCCCACCCCCCACCCACATCCTCCCGTTCTGCCCCTCCCTGCCCCTGTTCCACCCCCTCGCACGCCCCTCACCTCTCACCTCCGTTCAACTGGATTCCCCCCCTCTGGTGCATCCCTTGCATCGCTCGCCCCTCTGCTCACCCTCTGCCCGCCCCTTTTCCTTGCCCTCAGCTGGCCCAGCCCCTGCCCGTTGCTGCCCCTCCCCTTGCCCCCTCAACTCCCCTGCCCCCCGTACACCCCACTCCCGTCCAACCGCCCCCACCCTCCCCCGGCTGCCCGTTTCCGCTCTCCACCCCCGCGACCGTGTGCGGCTTCCAACCGCCCAACGGTGGTGCGCACGGGGCGTTTCTTCGCGCGGGCAAGCCTCCCCGGGGGCCCCCCACCCCGCTGACTCGTTGTTCGGGCAAAAAAAACGGAAATAAAAAAGTCGGACGCGCTAAAATCGTCCTTTGTTTTTCCCGCTTGCCCCTCCCCGGCACGTGCCGAGCAAGGGGCATAAATGGGTACAACACGAGGACTTCCCGGGAGGTCACCCAGCCCAGTACTGCTCTCGCCCACCGGCGCTTAGCTTCGGAGTTCTGATGGGATCCGGCGTAGTAGCCGAGGTATGATCGTACCACGACAATCCCGTGCCCCGACCGGTACACACCCCTTGCCCGGGTCCCCCCTTCATAGTCACACCCCCTGCCCCCTCATGCCATCCGCTCCCCCCGCCCCTACCCTCCGCGTGCCCGCTCCCTCGCCGCCTCTTTTGACCCTCCCTGCCCCCCTCGCCGTTACCCACCGCTCGCCATTCGCTCCTCCCCGCCCGTGCCCTCCCCTCGTTTACCTTCGCCTCCCCCCTCCCCTCCTCTGCTGCACGCCTCTTCCTTCCCCTCGCTAACCCACTCCACTCCCTGCCCCTCCTCAATCCGCACCCTGCCCCTCGTTTCTCGCCCCCCTACGCTTGGTTTCTCCCCTCCCTGCCCCTCGCCGCCTTTCTCCGCTCCCCACCTCCCCCCTCTCCCTGCCCCCCCACTCTCCTCCACTTGCCCTTGGCTTCCCACCTCCCTGCCCCACCTTTCCCCCCTCCGTGTGCTCAGCTTCTCCCCTCCCTGCCTCTCCCTCCTCCCCGCCCTGCCCCTCATTTTCCGCCCCCCCACGCCCGGTTTCTCCCCTCCCTGCACCTCCCTTTCTTTCTCCGTGCCTCTCCTTTGCTCCCTCCCTGCCCCCGCCTGCCCATGCCCCTGTCTTTGGTTTCTCCCCTCCCTGCCCCACGTTTCTTCCCTCCCTGAGATCACCTTGTACCCCCTCTGCCCCTCCCTTGTTCTCCCCGCACCCATTGCTTCTCCCCTCCCTGCCCTTGATTTCCCGCACCCCTGCCCTTGTTTCCTACCATCCATGCCCCTCGTTTCCCCTCTTTGTACGTTCACCCTCTTCCCTCCCTGCCCCTCCCTTCCTCCCCCCCTGCCCTTTGCTTTCCCCTCGTTACGCTCCCTTCTCCCCATCCCTGCTGCCCTCTTACCACCATCAGCCCGTCCCCACCACCAGCCCCCCTCCCACCCTTCTCCCCCCCCCCCCCTCTCTCTCTCTCTCTCTCTCCTCTCTCTCTCTCTCTCTTTCTCTCGCACACACACACACACACACACTCCCCTCCCCCACCCCCCACCCACATCCTCCCGTTCTGCCCCTCCCTGCCCCTGTTCCACCCCCTCGCACGCCCCTCACCTCTCACCTCCGTTCAACTGGATTCCCCCCCTCTGGTGCATCCCTTGCATCGCTCGCCCCTCTGCTCACCCTCTGCCCGCCCCTTTTCCTTGCCCTCAGCTGGCCCAGCCCCTGCCCGTTGCTGCCCCTCCCCTTGCCCCCTCAACTCCCCTGCCCCCCGTACACCCCACTCCCGTCCAACCGCCCCCACCCTCCCCCGGCTGCCCGTTTCCGCTCTCCACCCCCGCGACCGTGTGCGGCTTCCAACCGCCCAACGGTGGTGCGCACGGGGCGTTTCTTCGCGCGGGCAAGCCTCCCCGGGGGCCCCCCACCCCGCTGACTCGTTGTTCGGGCAAAAAAAACGGAAATAAAAAAGTCGGACGCGCTAAAATCGTCCTTTGTTTTTCCCGCTTGCCCCTCCCCGGCACGTGCCGAGCAAGGGGCATAAATGGGTACAACACGAGGACTTCCCGGGAGGTCACCCAGCCCAGTACTGCTCTCGCCCACCGGCGCTTAGCTTCGGAGTTCTGATGGGATCCGGCGTAGTAGCCGAGGTATGATCGTACCACGACAATCCCGTGCCCCGACCGGTACACACCCCTTGCCCGGGTCCCCCCTTCATAGTCACACCCCCTGCCCCCTCATGCCATCCGCTCCCCCCGCCCCTACCCTCCGCGTGCCCGCTCCCTCGCCGCCTCTTTTGACCCTCCCTGCCCCCCTCGCCGTTACCCACCGCTCGCCATTCGCTCCTCCCCGCCCGTGCCCTCCCCTCGTTTACCTTCGCCTCCCCCCTCCCCTCCTCTGCTGCACGCCTCTTCCTTCCCCTCGCTAACCCACTCCACTCCCTGCCCCTCCTCAATCCGCACCCTGCCCCTCGTTTCTCGCCCCCCTACGCTTGGTTTCTCCCCTCCCTGCCCCTCGCCGCCTTTCTCCGCTCCCCACCTCCCCCCTCTCCCTGCCCCCCCACTCTCCTCCACTTGCCCTTGGCTTCCCACCTCCCTGCCCCACCTTTCCCCCCTCCGTGTGCTCAGCTTCTCCCCTCCCTGCCTCTCCCTCCTCCCCGCCCTGCCCCTCATTTTCCGCCCCCCCACGCCCGGTTTCTCCCCTCCCTGCACCTCCCTTTCTTTCTCCGTGCCTCTCCTTTGCTCCCTCCCTGCCCCCGCCTGCCCATGCCCCTGTCTTTGGTTTCTCCCCTCCCTGCCCCACGTTTCTTCCCTCCCTGAGATCACCTTGTACCCCCTCTGCCCCTCCCTTGTTCTCCCCGCACCCATTGCTTCTCCCCTCCCTGCCCTTGATTTCCCGCACCCCTGCCCTTGTTTCCTACCATCCATGCCCCTCGTTTCCCCTCTTTGTACGTTCACCCTCTTCCCTCCCTGCCCCTCCCTTCCTCCCCCCCTGCCCTTTGCTTTCCCCTCGTTACGCTCCCTTCTCCCCATCCCTGCTGCCCTCTTACCACCATCAGCCCGTCCCCACCACCAGCCCCCCTCCCACCCTTCTCCCCCCCCCCCTCTCCCTCTCTCTCTCTCTCTCTCTCTCTCTTTCTCTCGCACACACACACACACACACACTCCCCTCCCCCACCCCCCACCCACATCCTCCCGTTCTGCCCCTCCCTGCCCCTGTTCCACCCCCTCGCACGCCCCTCACCTCTCACCTCCGTTCAACTGGATTCCCCCCCTCTGGTGCATCCCTTGCATCGCTCGCCCCTCTGCTCACCCTCTGCCCGCCCCTTTTCCTTGCCCTCAGCTGGCCCAGCCCCTGCCCGTTGCTGCCCCTCCCCTTGCCCCCTCAACTCCCCTGCCCCCCGTACACCCCACTCCCGTCCAACCGCCCCCACCCTCCCCCGGCTGCCCGTTTCCGCTCTCCACCCCCGCGACCGTGTGCGGCTTCCAACCGCCCAACGGTGGTGCGCACGGGGCGTTTCTTCGCGCGGGCAAGCCTCCCCGGGGGCCCCCCACCCCGCTGACTCGTTGTTCGGGCAAAAAAAACGGAAATAAAAAAGTCGGACGCGCTAAAATCGTCCTTTGTTTTTCCCGCTTGCCCCTCCCCGGCACGTGCCGAGCAAGGGGCATAAATGGGTACAACACGAGGACTTCCCGGGAGGTCACCCAGCCCAGTACTGCTCTCGCCCACCGGCGCTTAGCTTCGGAGTTCTGATGGGATCCGGCGTAGTAGCCGAGGTATGATCGTACCACGACAATCCCGTGCCCCGACCGGTACACACCCCTTGCCCGGGTCCCCCCTTCATAGTCACACCCCCTGCCCCCTCATGCCATCCGCTCCCCCCGCCCCTACCCTCCGCGTGCCCGCTCCCTCGCCGCCTCTTTTGACCCTCCCTGCCCCCCTCGCCGTTACCCACCGCTCGCCATTCGCTCCTCCCCGCCCGTGCCCTCCCCTCGTTTACCTTCGCCTCCCCCCTCCCCTCCTCTGCTGCACGCCTCTTCCTTCCCCTCGCTAACCCACTCCACTCCCTGCCCCTCCTCAATCCGCACCCTGCCCCTCGTTTCTCGCCCCCCTACGCTTGGTTTCTCCCCTCCCTGCCCCTCGCCGCCTTTCTCCGCTCCCCACCTCCCCCCTCTCCCTGCCCCCCCACTCTCCTCCACTTGCCCTTGGCTTCCCACCTCCCTGCCCCACCTTTCCCCCCTCCGTGTGCTCAGCTTCTCCCCTCCCTGCCTCTCCCTCCTCCCCGCCCTGCCCCTCATTTTCCGCCCCCCCACGCCCGGTTTCTCCCCTCCCTGCACCTCCCTTTCTTTCTCCGTGCCTCTCCTTTGCTCCCTCCCTGCCCCCGCCTGCCCATGCCCCTGTCTTTGGTTTCTCCCCTCCCTGCCCCACGTTTCTTCCCTCCCTGAGATCACCTTGTACCCCCTCTGCCCCTCCCTTGTTCTCCCCGCACCCATTGCTTCTCCCCTCCCTGCCCTTGATTTCCCGCACCCCTGCCCTTGTTTCCTACCATCCATGCCCCTCGTTTCCCCTCTTTGTACGTTCACCCTCTTCCCTCCCTGCCCCTCCCTTCCTCCCCCCCTGCCCTTTGCTTTCCCCTCGTTACGCTCCCTTCTCCCCATCCCTGCTGCCCTCTTACCACCATCAGCCCGTCCCCACCACCAGCCCCCCTCCCACCCTTCTCCCCCCCCCCCTCTCCCTCTCTCTCTCTCTCTCTCTCTCTTTCTCTCGCACACACACACACACACACACTCCCCTCCCCCACCCCCCACCCACATCCTCCCGTTCTGCCCCTCCCTGCCCCTGTTCCACCCCCTCGCACGCCCCTCACCTCTCACCTCCGTTCAACTGGATTCCCCCCCTCTGGTGCATCCCTTGCATCGCTCGCCCCTCTGCTCACCCTCTGCCCGCCCCTTTTCCTTGCCCTCAGCTGGCCCAGCCCCTGCCCGTTGCTGCCCCTCCCCTTGCCCCCTCAACTCCCCTGCCCCCCGTACACCCCACTCCCGTCCAACCGCCCCCACCCTCCCCCGGCTGCCCGTTTCCGCTCTCCACCCCCGCGACCGTGTGCGGCTTCCAACCGCCCAACGGTGGTGCGCACGGGGCGTTTCTTCGCGCGGGCAAGCCTCCCCGGGGGCCCCCCACCCCGCTGACTCGTTGTTCGGGCAAAAAAAACGGAAATAAAAAAGTCGGACGCGCTAAAATCGTCCTTTGTTTTTCCCGCTTGCCCCTCCCCGGCACGTGCCGAGCAAGGGGCATAAATGGGTACAACACGAGGACTTCCCGGGAGGTCACCCAGCCCAGTACTGCTCTCGCCCACCGGCGCTTAGCTTCGGAGTTCTGATGGGATCCGGCGTAGTAGCCGAGGTATGATCGTACCACGACAATCCCGTGCCCCGACCGGTACACACCCCTTGCCCGGGTCCCCCCTTCATAGTCACACCCCCTGCCCCCTCATGCCATCCGCTCCCCCCGCCCCTACCCTCCGCGTGCCCGCTCCCTCGCCGCCTCTTTTGACCCTCCCTGCCCCCCTCGCCGTTACCCACCGCTCGCCATTCGCTCCTCCCCGCCCGTGCCCTCCCCTCGTTTACCTTCGCCTCCCCCCTCCCCTCCTCTGCTGCACGCCTCTTCCTTCCCCTCGCTAACCCACTCCACTCCCTGCCCCTCCTCAATCCGCACCCTGCCCCTCGTTTCTCGCCCCCCTACGCTTGGTTTCTCCCCTCCCTGCCCCTCGCCGCCTTTCTCCGCTCCCCACCTCCCCCCTCTCCCTGCCCCCCCACTCTCCTCCACTTGCCCTTGGCTTCCCACCTCCCTGCCCCACCTTTCCCCCCTCCGTGTGCTCAGCTTCTCCCCTCCCTGCCTCTCCCTCCTCCCCGCCCTGCCCCTCATTTTCCGCCCCCCCACGCCCGGTTTCTCCCCTCCCTGCACCTCCCTTTCTTTCTCCGTGCCTCTCCTTTGCTCCCTCCCTGCCCCCGCCTGCCCATGCCCCTGTCTTTGGTTTCTCCCCTCCCTGCCCCACGTTTCTTCCCTCCCTGAGATCACCTTGTACCCCCTCTGCCCCTCCCTTGTTCTCCCCGCACCCATTGCTTCTCCCCTCCCTGCCCTTGATTTCCCGCACCCCTGCCCTTGTTTCCTACCATCCATGCCCCTCGTTTCCCCTCTTTGTACGTTCACCCTCTTCCCTCCCTGCCCCTCCCTTCCTCCCCCCCTGCCCTTTGCTTTCCCCTCGTTACGCTCCCTTCTCCCCATCCCTGCTGCCCTCTTACCACCATCAGCCCGTCCCCACCACCAGCCCCCCTCCCACCCTTCTCCCCCCCCCCCTCTCCCTCTCTCTCTCTCTCTCTCTCTCTTTCTCTCGCACACACACACACACACACACTCCCCTCCCCCACCCCCCACCCACATCCTCCCGTTCTGCCCCTCCCTGCCCCTGTTCCACCCCCTCGCACGCCCCTCACCTCTCACCTCCGTTCAACTGGATTCCCCCCCTCTGGTGCATCCCTTGCATCGCTCGCCCCTCTGCTCACCCTCTGCCCGCCCCTTTTCCTTGCCCTCAGCTGGCCCAGCCCCTGCCCGTTGCTGCCCCTCCCCTTGCCCCCTCAACTCCCCTGCCCCCCGTACACCCCACTCCCGTCCAACCGCCCCCACCCTCCCCCGGCTGCCCGTTTCCGCTCTCCACCCCCGCGACCGTGTGCGGCTTCCAACCGCCCAACGGTGGTGCGCACGGGGCGTTTCTTCGCGCGGGCAAGCCTCCCCGGGGGCCCCCCACCCCGCTGACTCGTTGTTCGGGCAAAAAAAACGGAAATAAAAAAGTCGGACGCGCTAAAATCGTCCTTTGTTTTTCCCGCTTGCCCCTCCCCGGCACGTGCCGAGCAAGGGGCATAAATGGGTACAACACGAGGACTTCCCGGGAGGTCACCCAGCCCAGTACTGCTCTCGCCCACCGGCGCTTAGCTTCGGAGTTCTGATGGGATCCGGCGTAGTAGCCGAGGTATGATCGTACCACGACAATCCCGTGCCCCGACCGGTACACACCCCTTGCCCGGGTCCCCCCTTCATAGTCACACCCCCTGCCCCCTCATGCCATCCGCTCCCCCCGCCCCTACCCTCCGCGTGCCCGCTCCCTCGCCGCCTCTTTTGACCCTCCCTGCCCCCCTCGCCGTTACCCACCGCTCGCCATTCGCTCCTCCCCGCCCGTGCCCTCCCCTCGTTTACCTTCGCCTCCCCCCTCCCCTCCTCTGCTGCACGCCTCTTCCTTCCCCTCGCTAACCCACTCCACTCCCTGCCCCTCCTCAATCCGCACCCTGCCCCTCGTTTCTCGCCCCCCTACGCTTGGTTTCTCCCCTCCCTGCCCCTCGCCGCCTTTCTCCGCTCCCCACCTCCCCCCTCTCCCTGCCCCCCCACTCTCCTCCACTTGCCCTTGGCTTCCCACCTCCCTGCCCCACCTTTCCCCCCTCCGTGTGCTCAGCTTCTCCCCTCCCTGCCTCTCCCTCCTCCCCGCCCTGCCCCTCATTTTCCGCCCCCCCACGCCCGGTTTCTCCCCTCCCTGCACCTCCCTTTCTTTCTCCGTGCCTCTCCTTTGCTCCCTCCCTGCCCCCGCCTGCCCATGCCCCTGTCTTTGGTTTCTCCCCTCCCTGCCCCACGTTTCTTCCCTCCCTGAGATCACCTTGTACCCCCTCTGCCCCTCCCTTGTTCTCCCCGCACCCATTGCTTCTCCCCTCCCTGCCCTTGATTTCCCGCACCCCTGCCCTTGTTTCCTACCATCCATGCCCCTCGTTTCCCCTCTTTGTACGTTCACCCTCTTCCCTCCCTGCCCCTCCCTTCCTCCCCCCCTGCCCTTTGCTTTCCCCTCGTTACGCTCCCTTCTCCCCATCCCTGCTGCCCTCTTACCACCATCAGCCCGTCCCCACCACCAGCCCCCCTCCCACCCTTCTCCCCCCCCCCCTCTCCCTCTCTCTCTCTCTCTCTCTCTCTTTCTCTCGCACACACACACACACACACACTCCCCTCCCCCACCCCCCACCCACATCCTCCCGTTCTGCCCCTCCCTGCCCCTGTTCCACCCCCTCGCACGCCCCTCACCTCTCACCTCCGTTCAACTGGATTCCCCCCCTCTGGTGCATCCCTTGCATCGCTCGCCCCTCTGCTCACCCTCTGCCCGCCCCTTTTCCTTGCCCTCAGCTGGCCCAGCCCCTGCCCGTTGCTGCCCCTCCCCTTGCCCCCTCAACTCCCCTGCCCCCCGTACACCCCACTCCCGTCCAACCGCCCCCACCCTCCCCCGGCTGCCCGTTTCCGCTCTCCACCCCCGCGACCGTGTGCGGCTTCCAACCGCCCAACGGTGGTGCGCACGGGGCGTTTCTTCGCGCGGGCAAGCCTCCCCGGGGGCCCCCCACCCCGCTGACTCGTTGTTCGGGCAAAAAAAACGGAAATAAAAAAGTCGGACGCGCTAAAATCGTCCTTTGTTTTTCCCGCTTGCCCCTCCCCGGCACGTGCCGAGCAAGGGGCATAAATGGGTACAACACGAGGACTTCCCGGGAGGTCACCCAGCCCAGTACTGCTCTCGCCCACCGGCGCTTAGCTTCGGAGTTCTGATGGGATCCGGCGTAGTAGCCGAGGTATGATCGTACCACGACAATCCCGTGCCCCGACCGGTACACACCCCTTGCCCGGGTCCCCCCTTCATAGTCACACCCCCTGCCCCCTCATGCCATCCGCTCCCCCCGCCCCTACCCTCCGCGTGCCCGCTCCCTCGCCGCCTCTTTTGACCCTCCCTGCCCCCCTCGCCGTTACCCACCGCTCGCCATTCGCTCCTCCCCGCCCGTGCCCTCCCCTCGTTTACCTTCGCCTCCCCCCTCCCCTCCTCTGCTGCACGCCTCTTCCTTCCCCTCGCTAACCCACTCCACTCCCTGCCCCTCCTCAATCCGCACCCTGCCCCTCGTTTCTCGCCCCCCTATGCTTGGTTTCTCCCCCCCTGCCCTTTGCTTTCCCCTCGTTACGCTCCCTTCTCCCCATCCCTGCTGCCCTCTTACCACCATCAGCCCGTCCCCACCACCAGCCCCCCTCCCACCCTTCTCCCCCCCCCCCTCTCCCTCTCTCTCTCTCTCTCTCTATCTCTCTCACTCTCTCTCTCTCTCTCTCTCTTTCTCTCGCACACACACACACACACACACACTCCCCTCCCCCACCCCCCACCCACATCCTCCCGTTCTGCCCCTCCCTGCCCCTGTTCCACCCCCTCGCACGCCCCTCACCTCTCACCTCCGTTCAACTGGATTCCCCCCCTCTGGTGCATCCCTTGCATCGCTCGCCCCTCTGCTCACCCTCTGCCCGCCCCTTTTCCTTGCCCTCAGCTGGCCCAGCCCCTGCCCGTTGCTGCCCCTCCCCTTGCCCCCTCAACTCCCCTGCCCCCCGTACACCCCACTCCCGTCCAACCGCCCCCACCCTCCCCCGGCTGCCCGTTTCCGCTCTCCACCCCCGCGACCGTGTGCGGCTTCCAACCGCCCAACGGTGGTGCGCACGGGGCGTTTCTTCGCGCGGGCAAGCCTCCCCGGGGGCCCCCCACCCCGCTGACTCGTTGTTCGGAGCAAAAAAAACGGAAATAAAAAAGTCGGACGCGCTAAAATCGTCCTTTGTTTTTCCCGCTTGCCCCTCCCCGGCACGTGCCGAGCAAGGGGCATAAATGGGTACAACACGAGGACTTCCCGGGAGGTCACCCAGCCCAGTACTGCTCTCGCCCACCGGCGCTTAGCTTCGGAGTTCTGATGGGATCCGGCGTAGTAGCCGAGGTATGATCGTACCACGACAATCCCGTGCCCCGACCGGTACACACCCCTTGCCCGGGTCCCCCCTTCATAGTCACACCCCCTGCCCCCTCATGCCATCCGCTCCCCCCGCCCCTACCCTCCGCGTGCCCGCTCCCTCGCCGCCTCTTTTGACCCTCCCTGCCCCCCTCGCCGTTACCCACCGCTCGCCATTCGCTCCTCCCCGCCCGTGCCCTCCCCTCGTTTACCTTCGCCTCCCCCCTCCCCTCCTCTGCTGCACGCCTCTTCCTTCCCCTCGCTAACCCACTCCACTCCCTGCCCCTCCTCAATCCGCACCCTGCCCCTCGTTTCTCGCCCCCCTACGCTTGGTTTCTCCCCTCCCTGCCCCTCGCCGCCTTTCTCCGCTCCCCACCTCCCCCCTCTCCCTGCCCCCCCACTCTCCTCCACTTGCCCTTGGCTTCCCACCTCCCTGCCCCACCTTTCCCCCCTCCGTGTGCTCAGCTTCTCCCCTCCCTGCCTCTCCCTCCTCCCCGCCCTGCCCCTCATTTTCCGCCCCCCCACGCCCGGTTTCTCCCCTCCCTGCACCTCCCTTTCTTTCTCCGTGCCTCTCCTTTGCTCCCTCCCTGCCCCCGCCTGCCCATGCCCCTGTCTTTGGTTTCTCCCCTCCCTGCCCCACGTTTCTTCCCTCCCTGAGATCACCTTGTACCCCCTCTGCCCCTCCCTTGTTCTCCCCGCACCCATTGCTTCTCCCCTCCCTGCCCTTGATTTCCCGCACCCCTGCCCTTGTTTCCTACCATCCATGCCCCTCGTTTCCCCTCTTTGTACGTTCACCCTCTTCCCTCCCTGCCCCTCCCTTCCTCCCCCCCTGCCCTTTGCTTTCCCCTCGTTACGCTCCCTTCTCCCCATCCCTGCTGCCCTCTTACCACCATCAGCCCGTCCCCACCACCAGCCCCCCTCCCACCCTTCTCCCCCCCCCCCTCTCCCTCTCTCTCTCTCTCTCTCTCTCTCTTTCTCTCGCACACACACACACACACACACTCCCCTCCCCCACCCCCCACCCACATCCTCCCGTTCTGCCCCTCCCTGCCCCTGTTCCACCCCCTCGCACGCCCCTCACCTCTCACCTCCGTTCAACTGGATTCCCCCCCTCTGGTGCATCCCTTGCATCGCTCGCCCCTCTGCTCACCCTCTGCCCGCCCCTTTTCCTTGCCCTCAGCTGGCCCAGCCCCTGCCCGTTGCTGCCCCTCCCCTTGCCCCCTCAACTCCCCTGCCCCCCGTACACCCCACTCCCGTCCAACCGCCCCCACCCTCCCCCGGCTGCCCGTTTCCGCTCTCCACCCCCGCGACCGTGTGCGGCTTCCAACCGCCCAACGGTGGTGCGCACGGGGCGTTTCTTCGCGCGGGCAAGCCTCCCCGGGGGCCCCCCACCCCGCTGACTCGTTGTTCGGGCAAAAAAAACGGAAATAAAAAAGTCGGACGCGCTAAAATCGTCCTTTGTTTTTCCCGCTTGCCCCTCCCCGGCACGTGCCGAGCAAGGGGCATAAATGGGTACAACACGAGGACTTCCCGGGAGGTCACCCAGCCCAGTACTGCTCTCGCCCACCGGCGCTTAGCTTCGGAGTTCTGATGGGATCCGGCGTAGTAGCCGAGGTATGATCGTACCACGACAATCCCGTGCCCCGACCGGTACACACCCCTTGCCCGGGTCCCCCCTTCATAGTCACACCCCCTGCCCCCTCATGCCATCCGCTCCCCCCGCCCCTACCCTCCGCGTGCCCGCTCCCTCGCCGCCTCTTTTGACCCTCCCTGCCCCCCTCGCCGTTACCCACCGCTCGCCATTCGCTCCTCCCCGCCCGTGCCCTCCCCTCGTTTACCTTCGCCTCCCCCCTCCCCTCCTCTGCTGCACGCCTCTTCCTTCCCCTCGCTAACCCACTCCACTCCCTGCCCCTCCTCAATCCGCACCCTGCCCCTCGTTTCTCGCCCCCCTACGCTTGGTTTCTCCCCTCCCTGCCCCTCGCCGCCTTTCTCCGCTCCCCACCTCCCCCCTCTCCCTGCCCCCCCACTCTCCTCCACTTGCCCTTGGCTTCCCACCTCCCTGCCCCACCTTTCCCCCCTCCGTGTGCTCAGCTTCTCCCCTCCCTGCCTCTCCCTCCTCCCCGCCCTGCCCCTCATTTTCCGCCCCCCCACGCCCGGTTTCTCCCCTCCCTGCACCTCCCTTTCTTTCTCCGTGCCTCTCCTTTGCTCCCTCCCTGCCCCCGCCTGCCCATGCCCCTGTCTTTGGTTTCTCCCCTCCCTGCCCCACGTTTCTTCCCTCCCTGAGATCACCTTGTACCCCCTCTGCCCCTCCCTTGTTCTCCCCGCACCCATTGCTTCTCCCCTCCCTGCCCTTGATTTCCCGCACCCCTGCCCTTGTTTCCTACCATCCATGCCCCTCGTTTCCCCTCTTTGTACGTTCACCCTCTTCCCTCCCTGCCCCTCCCTTCCTCCCCCCCTGCCCTTTGCTTTCCCCTCGTTACGCTCCCTTCTCCCCATCCCTGCTGCCCTCTTACCACCATCAGCCCGTCCCCACCACCAGCCCCCCTCCCACCCTTCTCCCCCCCCCCCTCTCCCTCTCTCTCTCTCTCTCTCTCTCTTTCTCTCGCACACACACACACACACACACTCCCCTCCCCCACCCCCCACCCACATCCTCCCGTTCTGCCCCTCCCTGCCCCTGTTCCACCCCCTCGCACGCCCCTCACCTCTCACCTCCGTTCAACTGGATTCCCCCCCTCTGGTGCATCCCTTGCATCGCTCGCCCCTCTGCTCACCCTCTGCCCGCCCCTTTTCCTTGCCCTCAGCTGGCCCAGCCCCTGCCCGTTGCTGCCCCTCCCCTTGCCCCCTCAACTCCCCTGCCCCCCGTACACCCCACTCCCGTCCAACCGCCCCCACCCTCCCCCGGCTGCCCGTTTCCGCTCTCCACCCCCGCGACCGTGTGCGGCTTCCAACCGCCCAACGGTGGTGCGCACGGGGCGTTTCTTCGCGCGGGCAAGCCTCCCCGGGGGCCCCCCACCCCGCTGACTCGTTGTTCGGGCAAAAAAACGGAAATAAAAAAGTCGGACGCGCTAAAATCGTCCTTTGTTTTTCCCGCTTGCCCCTCCCCGGCACGTGCCGAGCAAGGGGCATAAATGGGTACAACACGAGGACTTCCCGGGAGGTCACCCAGCCCAGTACTGCTCTCGCCCACCGGCGCTTAGCTTCGGAGTTCTGATGGGATCCGGCGTAGTAGCCGAGGTATGATCGTACCACGACAATCCCGTGCCCCGACCGGTACACACCCCTTGCCCGGGTCCCCCCTTCATAGTCACACCCCCTGCCCCCTCATGCCATCCGCTCCCCCCGCCCCTACCCTCCGCGTGCCCGCTCCCTCGCCGCCTCTTTTGACCCTCCCTGCCCCCCTCGCCGTTACCCACCGCTCGCCATTCGCTCCTCCCCGCCCGTGCCCTCCCCTCGTTTACCTTCGCCTCCCCCCTCCCCTCCTCTGCTGCACGCCTCTTCCTTCCCCTCGCTAACCCACTCCACTCCCTGCCCCTCCTCAATCCGCACCCTGCCCCTCGTTTCTCGCCCCCCTATGCTTGGTTTCTCCCCCCCTGCCCTTTGCTTTCCCCTCGTTACGCTCCCTTCTCCCCATCCCTGCTGCCCTCTTACCACCATCAGCCCGTCCCCACCACCAGCCCCCCTCCCACCCTTCTCCCCCCCCCCCTCTCCCTCTCTCTCTCTCTCTCTCTATCTCTCTCACTCTCTCTCTCTCTCTCTCTCTTTCTCTCGCACACACACACACACACACACACTCCCCTCCCCCACCCCCCACCCACATCCTCCCGTTCTGCCCCTCCCTGCCCCTGTTCCACCCCCTCGCACGCCCCTCACCTCTCACCTCCGTTCAACTGGATTCCCCCCCTCTGGTGCATCCCTTGCATCGCTCGCCCCTCTGCTCACCCTCTGCCCGCCCCTTTTCCTTGCCCTCAGCTGGCCCAGCCCCTGCCCGTTGCTGCCCCTCCCCTTGCCCCCTCAACTCCCCTGCCCCCCGTACACCCCACTCCCGTCCAACCGCCCCCACCCTCCCCCGGCTGCCCGTTTCCGCTCTCCACCCCCGCGACCGTGTGCGGCTTCCAACCGCCCAACGGTGGTGCGCACGGGGCGTTTCTTCGCGCGGGCAAGCCTCCCCGGGGGCCCCCCACCCCGCTGACTCGTTGTTCGGGCAAAAAAAACGGAAATAAAAAAGTCGGACGCGCTAAAATCGTCCTTTGTTTTTCCCGCTTGCCCCTCCCCGGCACGTGCCGAGCAAGGGGCATAAATGGGTACAACACGAGGACTTCCCGGGAGGTCACCCAGCCCAGTACTGCTCTCGCCCACCGGCGCTTAGCTTCGGAGTTCTGATGGGATCCGGCGTAGTAGCCGAGGTATGATCGTACCACGACAATCCCGTGCCCCGACCGGTACACACCCCTTGCCCGGGTCCCCCCTTCATAGTCACACCCCCTGCCCCCTCATGCCATCCGCTCCCCCCGCCCCTACCCTCCGCGTGCCCGCTCCCTCGCCGCCTCTTTTGACCCTCCCTGCCCCCCTCGCCGTTACCCACCGCTCGCCATTCGCTCCTCCCCGCCCGTGCCCTCCCCTCGTTTACCTTCGCCTCCCCCCTCCCCTCCTCTGCTGCACGCCTCTTCCTTCCCCTCGCTAACCCACTCCACTCCCTGCCCCTCCTCAATCCGCACCCTGCCCCTCGTTTCTCGCCCCCCTACGCTTGGTTTCTCCCCTCCCTGCCCCTCGCCGCCTTTCTCCGCTCCCCACCTCCCCCCTCTCCCTGCCCCCCCACTCTCCTCCACTTGCCCTTGGCTTCCCACCTCCCTGCCCCACCTTTCCCCCCTCCGTGTGCTCAGCTTCTCCCCTCCCTGCCTCTCCCTCCTCCCCGCCCTGCCCCTCATTTTCCGCCCCCCCACGCCCGGTTTCTCCCCTCCCTGCACCTCCCTTTCTTTCTCCGTGCCTCTCCTTTGCTCCCTCCCTGCCCCCGCCTGCCCATGCCCCTGTCTTTGGTTTCTCCCCTCCCTGCCCCACGTTTCTTCCCTCCCTGAGATCACCTTGTACCCCCTCTGCCCCTCCCTTGTTCTCCCCGCACCCATTGCTTCTCCCCTCCCTGCCCTTGATTTCCCGCACCCCTGCCCTTGTTTCCTACCATCCATGCCCCTCGTTTCCCCTCTTTGTACGTTCACCCTCTTCCCTCCCTGCCCCTCCCTTCCTCCCCCCCTGCCCTTTGCTTTCCCCTCGTTACGCTCCCTTCTCCCCATCCCTGCTGCCCTCTTACCACCATCAGCCCGTCCCCACCACCAGCCCCCCTCCCACCCTTCTCCCCCCCCCCCTCTCCCTCTCTCTCTCTCTCTCTCTCTCTTTCTCTCGCACACACACACACACACACACTCCCCTCCCCCACCCCCCACCCACATCCTCCCGTTCTGCCCCTCCCTGCCCCTGTTCCACCCCCTCGCACGCCCCTCACCTCTCACCTCCGTTCAACTGGATTCCCCCCCTCTGGTGCATCCCTTGCATCGCTCGCCCCTCTGCTCACCCTCTGCCCGCCCCTTTTCCTTGCCCTCAGCTGGCCCAGCCCCTGCCCGTTGCTGCCCCTCCCCTTGCCCCCTCAACTCCCCTGCCCCCCGTACACCCCACTCCCGTCCAACCGCCCCCACCCTCCCCCGGCTGCCCGTTTCCGCTCTCCACCCCCGCGACCGTGTGCGGCTTCCAACCGCCCAACGGTGGTGCGCACGGGGCGTTTCTTCGCGCGGGCAAGCCTCCCCGGGGGCCCCCCACCCCGCTGACTCGTTGTTCGGGCAAAAAAAACGGAAATAAAAAAGTCGGACGCGCTAAAATCGTCCTTTGTTTTTCCCGCTTGCCCCTCCCCGGCACGTGCCGAGCAAGGGGCATAAATGGGTACAACACGAGGACTTCCCGGGAGGTCACCCAGCCCAGTACTGCTCTCGCCCACCGGCGCTTAGCTTCGGAGTTCTGATGGGATCCGGCGTAGTAGCCGAGGTATGATCGTACCACGACAATCCCGTGCCCCGACCGGTACACACCCCTTGCCCGGGTCCCCCCTTCATAGTCACACCCCCTGCCCCCTCATGCCATCCGCTCCCCCCGCCCCTACCCTCCGCGTGCCCGCTCCCTCGCCGCCTCTTTTGACCCTCCCTGCCCCCCTCGCCGTTACCCACCGCTCGCCATTCGCTCCTCCCCGCCCGTGCCCTCCCCTCGTTTACCTTCGCCTCCCCCCTCCCCTCCTCTGCTGCACGCCTCTTCCTTCCCCTCGCTAACCCACTCCACTCCCTGCCCCTCCTCAATCCGCACCCTGCCCCTCGTTTCTCGCCCCCCTACGCTTGGTTTCTCCCCTCCCTGCCCCTCGCCGCCTTTCTCCGCTCCCCACCTCCCCCCTCTCCCTGCCCCCCCACTCTCCTCCACTTGCCCTTGGCTTCCCACCTCCCTGCCCCACCTTTCCCCCCTCCGTGTGCTCAGCTTCTCCCCTCCCTGCCTCTCCCTCCTCCCCGCCCTGCCCCTCATTTTCCGCCCCCCCACGCCCGGTTTCTCCCCTCCCTGCACCTCCCTTTCTTTCTCCGTGCCTCTCCTTTGCTCCCTCCCTGCCCCCGCCTGCCCATGCCCCTGTCTTTGGTTTCTCCCCTCCCTGCCCCACGTTTCTTCCCTCCCTGAGATCACCTTGTACCCCCTCTGCCCCTCCCTTGTTCTCCCCGCACCCATTGCTTCTCCCCTCCCTGCCCTTGATTTCCCGCACCCCTGCCCTTGTTTCCTACCATCCATGCCCCTCGTTTCCCCTCTTTGTACGTTCACCCTCTTCCCTCCCTGCCCCTCCCTTCCTCCCCCCCTGCCCTTTGCTTTCCCCTCGTTACGCTCCCTTCTCCCCATCCCTGCTGCCCTCTTACCACCATCAGCCCGTCCCCACCACCAGCCCCCCTCCCACCCTTCTCCCCCCCCCCCTCTCCCTCTCTCTCTCTCTCTCTCTCTCTTTCTCTCGCACACACACACACACACACACTCCCCTCCCCCACCCCCCACCCACATCCTCCCGTTCTGCCCCTCCCTGCCCCTGTTCCACCCCCTCGCACGCCCCTCACCTCTCACCTCCGTTCAACTGGATTCCCCCCCTCTGGTGCATCCCTTGCATCGCTCGCCCCTCTGCTCACCCTCTGCCCGCCCCTTTTCCTTGCCCTCAGCTGGCCCAGCCCCTGCCCGTTGCTGCCCCTCCCCTTGCCCCCTCAACTCCCCTGCCCCCCGTACACCCCACTCCCGTCCAACCGCCCCCACCCTCCCCCGGCTGCCCGTTTCCGCTCTCCACCCCCGCGACCGTGTGCGGCTTCCAACCGCCCAACGGTGGTGCGCACGGGGCGTTTCTTCGCGCGGGCAAGCCTCCCCGGGGGCCCCCCACCCCGCTGACTCGTTGTTCGGGCAAAAAAAACGGAAATAAAAAAGTCGGACGCGCTAAAATCGTCCTTTGTTTTTCCCGCTTGCCCCTCCCCGGCACGTGCCGAGCAAGGGGCATAAATGGGTACAACACGAGGACTTCCCGGGAGGTCACCCAGCCCAGTACTGCTCTCGCCCACCGGCGCTTAGCTTCGGAGTTCTGATGGGATCCGGCGTAGTAGCCGAGGTATGATCGTACCACGACAATCCCGTGCCCCGACCGGTACACACCCCTTGCCCGGGTCCCCCCTTCATAGTCACACCCCCTGCCCCCTCATGCCATCCGCTCCCCCCGCCCCTACCCTCCGCGTGCCCGCTCCCTCGCCGCCTCTTTTGACCCTCCCTGCCCCCCTCGCCGTTACCCACCGCTCGCCATTCGCTCCTCCCCGCCCGTGCCCTCCCCTCGTTTACCTTCGCCTCCCCCCTCCCCTCCTCTGCTGCACGCCTCTTCCTTCCCCTCGCTAACCCACTCCACTCCCTGCCCCTCCTCAATCCGCACCCTGCCCCTCGTTTCTCGCCCCCCTACGCTTGGTTTCTCCCCTCCCTGCCCCTCGCCGCCTTTCTCCGCTCCCCACCTCCCCCCTCTCCCTGCCCCCCCACTCTCCTCCACTTGCCCTTGGCTTCCCACCTCCCTGCCCCACCTTTCCCCCCTCCGTGTGCTCAGCTTCTCCCCTCCCTGCCTCTCCCTCCTCCCCGCCCTGCCCCTCATTTTCCGCCCCCCCACGCCCGGTTTCTCCCCTCCCTGCACCTCCCTTTCTTTCTCCGTGCCTCTCCTTTGCTCCCTCCCTGCCCCCGCCTGCCCATGCCCCTGTCTTTGGTTTCTCCCCTCCCTGCCCCACGTTTCTTCCCTCCCTGAGATCACCTTGTACCCCCTCTGCCCCTCCCTTGTTCTCCCCGCACCCATTGCTTCTCCCCTCCCTGCCCTTGATTTCCCGCACCCCTGCCCTTGTTTCCTACCATCCATGCCCCTCGTTTCCCCTCTTTGTACGTTCACCCTCTTCCCTCCCTGCCCCTCCCTTCCTCCCCCCCTGCCCTTTGCTTTCCCCTCGTTACGCTCCCTTCTCCCCATCCCTGCTGCCCTCTTACCACCATCAGCCCGTCCCCACCACCAGCCCCCCTCCCACCCTTCTCCCCCCCCCCCTCTCCCTCTCTCTCTCTCTCTCTCTCTCTTTCTCTCGCACACACACACACACACACACTCCCCTCCCCCACCCCCCACCCACATCCTCCCGTTCTGCCCCTCCCTGCCCCTGTTCCACCCCCTCGCACGCCCCTCACCTCTCACCTCCGTTCAACTGGATTCCCCCCCTCTGGTGCATCCCTTGCATCGCTCGCCCCTCTGCTCACCCTCTGCCCGCCCCTTTTCCTTGCCCTCAGCTGGCCCAGCCCCTGCCCGTTGCTGCCCCTCCCCTTGCCCCCTCAACTCCCCTGCCCCCCGTACACCCCACTCCCGTCCAACCGCCCCCACCCTCCCCCGGCTGCCCGTTTCCGCTCTCCACCCCCGCGACCGTGTGCGGCTTCCAACCGCCCAACGGTGGTGCGCACGGGGCGTTTCTTCGCGCGGGCAAGCCTCCCCGGGGGCCCCCCACCCCGCTGACTCGTTGTTCGGGCAAAAAAAACGGAAATAAAAAAGTCGGACGCGCTAAAATCGTCCTTTGTTTTTCCCGCTTGCCCCTCCCCGGCACGTGCCGAGCAAGGGGCATAAATGGGTACAACACGAGGACTTCCCGGGAGGTCACCCAGCCCAGTACTGCTCTCGCCCACCGGCGCTTAGCTTCGGAGTTCTGATGGGATCCGGCGTAGTAGCCGAGGTATGATCGTACCACGACAATCCCGTGCCCCGACCGGTACACACCCCTTGCCCGGGTCCCCCCTTCATAGTCACACCCCCTGCCCCCTCATGCCATCCGCTCCCCCCGCCCCTACCCTCCGCGTGCCCGCTCCCTCGCCGCCTCTTTTGACCCTCCCTGCCCCCCTCGCCGTTACCCACCGCTCGCCATTCGCTCCTCCCCGCCCGTGCCCTCCCCTCGTTTACCTTCGCCTCCCCCCTCCCCTCCTCTGCTGCACGCCTCTTCCTTCCCCTCGCTAACCCACTCCACTCCCTGCCCCTCCTCAATCCGCACCCTGCCCCTCGTTTCTCGCCCCCCTATGCTTGGTTTCTCCCCCCCTGCCCTTTGCTTTCCCCTCGTTACGCTCCCTTCTCCCCATCCCTGCTGCCCTCTTACCACCATCAGCCCGTCCCCACCACCAGCCCCCCTCCCACCCTTCTCCCCCCCCCCCTCTCCCTCTCTCTCTCTCTCTCTATCTCTCTCACTCTCTCTCTCTCTCTCTCTCTTTCTCTCGCACACACACACACACACACACTCCCCTCCCCCACCCCCCACCCACATCCTCCCGTTCTGCCCCTCCCTGCCCCTGTTCCACCCCCTCGCACGCCCCTCACCTCTCACCTCCGTTCAACTGGATTCCCCCCCTCTGGTGCATCCCTTGCATCGCTCGCCCCTCTGCTCACCCTCTGCCCGCCCCTTTTCCTTGCCCTCAGCTGGCCCAGCCCCTGCCCGTTGCTGCCCCTCCCCTTGCCCCCTCAACTCCCCTGCCCCCCGTACACCCCACTCCCGTCCAACCGCCCCCACCCTCCCCCGGCTGCCCGTTTCCGCTCTCCACCCCCGCGACCGTGTGCGGCTTCCAACCGCCCAACGGTGGTGCGCACGGGGCGTTTCTTCGCGCGGGCAAGCCTCCCCGGGGGCCCCCCACCCCGCTGACTCGTTGTTCGGGCAAAAAAAACGGAAATAAAAAAGTCGGACGCGCTAAAATCGTCCTTTGTTTTTCCCGCTTGCCCCTCCCCGGCACGTGCCGAGCAAGGGGCATAAATGGGTACAACACGAGGACTTCCCGGGAGGTCACCCAGCCCAGTACTGCTCTCGCCCACCGGCGCTTAGCTTCGGAGTTCTGATGGGATCCGGCGTAGTAGCCGAGGTATGATCGTACCACGACAATCCCGTGCCCCGACCGGTACACACCCCTTGCCCGGGTCCCCCCTTCATAGTCACACCCCCTGCCCCCTCATGCCATCCGCTCCCCCCGCCCCTACCCTCCGCGTGCCCGCTCCCTCGCCGCCTCTTTTGACCCTCCCTGCCCCCCTCGCCGTTACCCACCGCTCGCCATTCGCTCCTCCCCGCCCGTGCCCTCCCCTCGTTTACCTTCGCCTCCCCCCTCCCCTCCTCTGCTGCACGCCTCTTCCTTCCCCTCGCTAACCCACTCCACTCCCTGCCCCTCCTCAATCCGCACCCTGCCCCTCGTTTCTCGCCCCCCTACGCTTGGTTTCTCCCCTCCCTGCCCCTCGCCGCCTTTCTCCGCTCCCCACCTCCCCCCTCTCCCTGCCCCCCCACTCTCCTCCACTTGCCCTTGGCTTCCCACCTCCCTGCCCCACCTTTCCCCCCTCCGTGTGCTCAGCTTCTCCCCTCCCTGCCTCTCCCTCCTCCCCGCCCTGCCCCTCATTTTCCGCCCCCCCACGCCCGGTTTCTCCCCTCCCTGCACCTCCCTTTCTTTCTCCGTGCCTCTCCTTTGCTCCCTCCCTGCCCCCGCCTGCCCATGCCCCTGTCTTTGGTTTCTCCCCTCCCTGCCCCACGTTTCTTCCCTCCCTGAGATCACCTTGTACCCCCTCTGCCCCTCCCTTGTTCTCCCCGCACCCATTGCTTCTCCCCTCCCTGCCCTTGATTTCCCGCACCCCTGCCCTTGTTTCCTACCATCCATGCCCCTCGTTTCCCCTCTTTGTACGTTCACCCTCTTCCCTCCCTGCCCCTCCCTTCCTCCCCCCCTGCCCTTTGCTTTCCCCTCGTTACGCTCCCTTCTCCCCATCCCTGCTGCCCTCTTACCACCATCAGCCCGTCCCCACCACCAGCCCCCCTCCCACCCTTCTCCCCCCCCCCCTCTCCCTCTCTCTCTCTCTCTCTCTCTCTCTTTCTCTCGCACACACACACACACACACACTCCCCTCCCCCACCCCCCACCCACATCCTCCCGTTCTGCCCCTCCCTGCCCCTGTTCCACCCCCTCGCACGCCCCTCACCTCTCACCTCCGTTCAACTGGATTCCCCCCCTCTGGTGCATCCCTTGCATCGCTCGCCCCTCTGCTCACCCTCTGCCCGCCCCTTTTCCTTGCCCTCAGCTGGCCCAGCCCCTGCCCGTTGCTGCCCCTCCCCTTGCCCCCTCAACTCCCCTGCCCCCCGTACACCCCACTCCCGTCCAACCGCCCCCACCCTCCCCCGGCTGCCCGTTTCCGCTCTCCACCCCCGCGACCGTGTGCGGCTTCCAACCGCCCAACGGTGGTGCGCACGGGGCGTTTCTTCGCGCGGGCAAGCCTCCCCGGGGGCCCCCCACCCCGCTGACTCGTTGTTCGGGGCAAAAAAAACGGAAATAAAAAAGTCGGACGCGCTAAAATCGTCCTTTGTTTTTCCCGCTTGCCCCTCCCCGGCACGTGCCGAGCAAGGGGCATAAATGGGTACAACACGAGGACTTCCCGGGAGGTCACCCAGCCCAGTACTGCTCTCGCCCACCGGCGCTTAGCTTCGGAGTTCTGATGGGATCCGGCGTAGTAGCCGAGGTATGATCGTACCACGACAATCCCGTGCCCCGACCGGTACACACCCCTTGCCCGGGTCCCCCCTTCATAGTCACACCCCCTGCCCCCTCATGCCATCCGCTCCCCCCGCCCCTACCCTCCGCGTGCCCGCTCCCTCGCCGCCTCTTTTGACCCTCCCTGCCCCCCTCGCCGTTACCCACCGCTCGCCATTCGCTCCTCCCCGCCCGTGCCCTCCCCTCGTTTACCTTCGCCTCCCCCCTCCCCTCCTCTGCTGCACGCCTCTTCCTTCCCCTCGCTAACCCACTCCACTCCCTGCCCCTCCTCAATCCGCACCCTGCCCCTCGTTTCTCGCCCCCCTACGCTTGGTTTCTCCCCTCCCTGCCCCTCGCCGCCTTTCTCCGCTCCCCACCTCCCCCCTCTCCCTGCCCCCCCACTCTCCTCCACTTGCCCTTGGCTTCCCACCTCCCTGCCCCACCTTTCCCCCCTCCGTGTGCTCAGCTTCTCCCCTCCCTGCCTCTCCCTCCTCCCCGCCCTGCCCCTCATTTTCCGCCCCCCCACGCCCGGTTTCTCCCCTCCCTGCACCTCCCTTTCTTTCTCCGTGCCTCTCCTTTGCTCCCTCCCTGCCCCCGCCTGCCCATGCCCCTGTCTTTGGTTTCTCCCCTCCCTGCCCCACGTTTCTTCCCTCCCTGAGATCACCTTGTACCCCCTCTGCCCCTCCCTTGTTCTCCCCGCACCCATTGCTTCTCCCCTCCCTGCCCTTGATTTCCCGCACCCCTGCCCTTGTTTCCTACCATCCATGCCCCTCGTTTCCCCTCTTTGTACGTTCACCCTCTTCCCTCCCTGCCCCTCCCTTCCTCCCCCCCTGCCCTTTGCTTTCCCCTCGTTACGCTCCCTTCTCCCCATCCCTGCTGCCCTCTTACCACCATCAGCCCGTCCCCACCACCAGCCCCCCTCCCACCCTTCTCCCCCCCCCCCCTCTCCCTCTCTCTCTCTCTCTCTCTCTCTTTCTCTCGCACACACACACACACACACACTCCCCTCCCCCACCCCCCACCCACATCCTCCCGTTCTGCCCCTCCCTGCCCCTGTTCCACCCCCTCGCACGCCCCTCACCTCTCACCTCCGTTCAACTGGATTCCCCCCCTCTGGTGCATCCCTTGCATCGCTCGCCCCTCTGCTCACCCTCTGCCCGCCCCTTTTCCTTGCCCTCAGCTGGCCCAGCCCCTGCCCGTTGCTGCCCCTCCCCTTGCCCCCTCAACTCCCCTGCCCCCCGTACACCCCACTCCCGTCCAACCGCCCCCACCCTCCCCCGGCTGCCCGTTTCCGCTCTCCACCCCCGCGACCGTGTGCGGCTTCCAACCGCCCAACGGTGGTGCGCACGGGGCGTTTCTTCGCGCGGGCAAGCCTCCCCGGGGGCCCCCCACCCCGCTGACTCGTTGTTCGGGCAAAAAAAACGGAAATAAAAAAGTCGGACGCGCTAAAATCGTCCTTTGTTTTTCCCGCTTGCCCCTCCCCGGCACGTGCCGAGCAAGGGGCATAAATGGGTACAACACGAGGACTTCCCGGGAGGTCACCCAGCCCAGTACTGCTCTCGCCCACCGGCGCTTAGCTTCGGAGTTCTGATGGGATCCGGCGTAGTAGCCGAGGTATGATCGTACCACGACAATCCCGTGCCCCGACCGGTACACACCCCTTGCCCGGGTCCCCCCTTCATAGTCACACCCCCTGCCCCCTCATGCCATCCGCTCCCCCCGCCCCTACCCTCCGCGTGCCCGCTCCCTCGCCGCCTCTTTTGACCCTCCCTGCCCCCCTCGCCGTTACCCACCGCTCGCCATTCGCTCCTCCCCGCCCGTGCCCTCCCCTCGTTTACCTTCGCCTCCCCCCTCCCCTCCTCTGCTGCACGCCTCTTCCTTCCCCTCGCTAACCCACTCCACTCCCTGCCCCTCCTCAATCCGCACCCTGCCCCTCGTTTCTCGCCCCCCTACGCTTGGTTTCTCCCCTCCCTGCCCCTCGCCGCCTTTCTCCGCTCCCCACCTCCCCCCTCTCCCTGCCCCCCCACTCTCCTCCACTTGCCCTTGGCTTCCCACCTCCCTGCCCCACCTTTCCCCCCTCCGTGTGCTCAGCTTCTCCCCTCCCTGCCTCTCCCTCCTCCCCGCCCTGCCCCTCATTTTCCGCCCCCCCACGCCCGGTTTCTCCCCTCCCTGCACCTCCCTTTCTTTCTCCGTGCCTCTCCTTTGCTCCCTCCCTGCCCCCGCCTGCCCATGCCCCTGTCTTTGGTTTCTCCCCTCCCTGCCCCACGTTTCTTCCCTCCCTGAGATCACCTTGTACCCCCTCTGCCCCTCCCTTGTTCTCCCCGCACCCATTGCTTCTCCCCTCCCTGCCCTTGATTTCCCGCACCCCTGCCCTTGTTTCCTACCATCCATGCCCCTCGTTTCCCCTCTTTGTACGTTCACCCTCTTCCCTCCCTGCCCCTCCCTTCCTCCCCCCCTGCCCTTTGCTTTCCCCTCGTTACGCTCCCTTCTCCCCATCCCTGCTGCCCTCTTACCACCATCAGCCCGTCCCCACCACCAGCCCCCCTCCCACCCTTCTCCCCCCCCCCCTCTCCCTCTCTCTCTCTCTCTCTCTCTCTTTCTCTCGCACACACACACACACACACACTCCCCTCCCCCACCCCCCACCCACATCCTCCCGTTCTGCCCCTCCCTGCCCCTGTTCCACCCCCTCGCACGCCCCTCACCTCTCACCTCCGTTCAACTGGATTCCCCCCCTCTGGTGCATCCCTTGCATCGCTCGCCCCTCTGCTCACCCTCTGCCCGCCCCTTTTCCTTGCCCTCAGCTGGCCCAGCCCCTGCCCGTTGCTGCCCCTCCCCTTGCCCCCTCAACTCCCCTGCCCCCCGTACACCCCACTCCCGTCCAACCGCCCCCACCCTCCCCCGGCTGCCCGTTTCCGCTCTCCACCCCCGCGACCGTGTGCGGCTTCCAACCGCCCAACGGTGGTGCGCACGGGGCGTTTCTTCGCGCGGGCAAGCCTCCCCGGGGGCCCCCCACCCCGCTGACTCGTTGTTCGGGCAAAAAAACGGAAATAAAAAAGTCGGACGCGCTAAAATCGTCCTTTGTTTTTCCCGCTTGCCCCTCCCCGGCACGTGCCGAGCAAGGGGCATAAATGGGTACAACACGAGGACTTCCCGGGAGGTCACCCAGCCCAGTACTGCTCTCGCCCACCGGCGCTTAGCTTCGGAGTTCTGATGGGATCCGGCGTAGTAGCCGAGGTATGATCGTACCACGACAATCCCGTGCCCCGACCGGTACACACCCCTTGCCCGGGTCCCCCCTTCATAGTCACACCCCCTGCCCCCTCATGCCATCCGCTCCCCCCGCCCCTACCCTCCGCGTGCCCGCTCCCTCGCCGCCTCTTTTGACCCTCCCTGCCCCCCTCGCCGTTACCCACCGCTCGCCATTCGCTCCTCCCCGCCCGTGCCCTCCCCTCGTTTACCTTCGCCTCCCCCCTCCCCTCCTCTGCTGCACGCCTCTTCCTTCCCCTCGCTAACCCACTCCACTCCCTGCCCCTCCTCAATCCGCACCCTGCCCCTCGTTTCTCGCCCCCCTATGCTTGGTTTCTCCCCCCCTGCCCTTTGCTTTCCCCTCGTTACGCTCCCTTCTCCCCATCCCTGCTGCCCTCTTACCACCATCAGCCCGTCCCCACCACCAGCCCCCCTCCCACCCTTCTCCCCCCCCCCCTCTCCCTCTCTCTCTCTCTCTCTCTATCTCTCTCACTCTCTCTCTCTCTCTCTCTTTCTCTCGCACACACACACACACACACACTCCCCTCCCCCACCCCCCACCCACATCCTCCCGTTCTGCCCCTCCCTGCCCCTGTTCCACCCCCTCGCACGCCCCTCACCTCTCACCTCCGTTCAACTGGATTCCCCCCCTCTGGTGCATCCCTTGCATCGCTCGCCCCTCTGCTCACCCTCTGCCCGCCCCTTTTCCTTGCCCTCAGCTGGCCCAGCCCCTGCCCGTTGCTGCCCCTCCCCTTGCCCCCTCAACTCCCCTGCCCCCCGTACACCCCACTCCCGTCCAACCGCCCCCACCCTCCCCCGGCTGCCCGTTTCCGCTCTCCACCCCCGCGACCGTGTGCGGCTTCCAACCGCCCAACGGTGGTGCGCACGGGGCGTTTCTTCGCGCGGGCAAGCCTCCCCGGGGGCCCCCCACCCCGCTGACTCGTTGTTCGGGCAAAAAAACGGAAATAAAAAAGTCGGACGCGCTAAAATCGTCCTTTCTTTTTCCCGCTTGCCCCTCCCCGGCACGTGCCGAGCAAGGGGCATAAATGGGTACAACACGAGGACTTCCCGGGAGGTCACCCAGCCCAGTACTGCTCTCTCCCCTCCAGCCGCCCCTCCTCACCCCACATCCCACTGAGCGTGCACCAGGCCCTACCCCTACAGGCCAACCACCAAACTCACACCCCCCTCTCGTACCTGCCCCTCCACAGGGCCATGGGAGCGATCCAGCCCACCCACCCCCGGGCCGCCTCTCTCTTCCAATAAACTCCCCCCCCAGGTGGCGGCAGCCGGGATGGAGGCCGACGGGATGAGGGATGCGCCCATGGCAGACGCCACCGACTCCCCCTCCCATGCCTCCCACCCCATCCATGTCGACGCCCCCCTACCGCAACCCATGGTGATAGGGGAGGGCCAAGGGGGTTTTCTAGGGCAGGGTCCACACCCGAGCTCTGCTCAGCCAGCACGCCCCACCCCACCCTCTACCCTGCCAGCCCTCCTACCCTCACCAGCAGGCAGGCAGGTCACCGGGACCCCAGAGGAGGTGAGGGCTGCCATCTCAGATTTGCGGGCGATACAGAGCCCGAGCAGCTCCCCGGCTGCCCCCACCCTATCAATCCCACAGGTCCGGACCCGGACGTATGCGGAGGTCACCCGTTCTGTCCCTTCTTTTATCCCCCCCACTACTCATCCAGGCCCGTCACTCCCGTCCCCGATGGAGACAGACCTGGTTCCGAGGCCGTGTCGCTCGCACCTAGACGTGGTGGCGCCTCCCCCCGTTCAGCCCGTTGCCGACACACAACCCGTGGCGCAGGAGGGCACCGGCTTTAGGGATGAGACATCTGCCCCTGCCCAGACCCCCCCGCCTGGGGTAGCAGAGCCGCCACTTGGACCGCACCCCGCCGAGGGACAGGGGCACACCACGGCGCACACTTCAGGCTCACCTCCACGTCCCCCCTCCCTAGCTTCGGGACCGGTACCGCCACGAGGCCCGGCCCCATCCTGTGGGGCACCACCTCTTTCTTCTCAGACACCCCCCCAGGCATGGGGCCGGTGAGTCCTCTCCTCCCCTTATCCCAGGCGATCCTCTTGCAGCTCAGGCCACCCATGGGGCCCCCTCTACAGCCAGTTCCGACGCCACGGCCCCGATCGGCCCCACCGACACGGCGACATCACCCGACCAGGTCGTGAGATGCCCCACCTGCAGGAGCTCTCTCGCGAACCGACGTGCCCTTCAGCACCACACGCCCTTCTGCCATCCTGCGGACGCGGCTCGTAGGGCACAGGCCCTCCACGACACCTCATCTGTCCTCCCATCCCTCTCGGAGCCACAAGGGACGAGGACGCATTTCACAGATGCACAGTGGCAAACGCTGGAATCCTTCGATTGGACGGAGTATTTCTCGCCAGAGCGCACCCACGCCCGCCCTCTCCGACGCATTCCTGCTAGGGTCCGCGGAGGATATCTTGACGTCCTCTGCACGATCTTGGCCCGTGTATCCCAGGATCCCGAGGCTCCGGGCCCTACCTTCCTCCTCGCCACTGCACCCACACTTCTCCTCACGCAGGCGACCCCGCCAGACCGCTCGCACACGACTGCCATCGCAGCACGGGTCTCCCGCTTCATGCGAGGTGAGTGGACTGAGCTACTCTCTGAGGCCCTGATCCGTCGCACCCCCCTCCCTCGACGCACATCCCGGCGCGCACGTCCCGTCACCGCCCAGTCCACCGCAGATGAGCGTCGCATCGCACGTTGCCTCCGTCTGGCAGCGTGCAATGAGACCTCACGGGCCTGCGCGGCTCTTGAGTCCGCGGAGGCCACCCCAGATACACAGGGGACAACACAGCGCCTACAGTCGAACCACCCCAACGCGGAGAGGCCAACCCCAGTTTGGCTGTCGGACTACCAGGGGACTGCTCTCGTGCTCTCGACGGATCACCTATGTCGCGCCATCTTCACAGCTCCGCGTGGCTTCTCGGGGGGGACCGTCTGGGTGGGTTGCTGAGCACCTTCGAGACACTTTCCTGGCTTTCCCTCAGAGTCTCCCCTCTCTTCTAGCTGGTGTACCAGCAGTGGCTCCGATGGTCGTTGCGCTCCAGCTACGTGCTCTTTACTGGCGTCTTCCACCCTCATGGCTCTGGCGAAGTCGAACATGGATGTTCGGCCGATTGCCATTGGCGAGGTGTTGGTCCGCATTCTTTCGCGAGCAGTTTGCCTCCAGCTACGCGACCAGATGGCGAGGGTCTTCTTGGCGTCCCAGCAGTTTGGGGTGGGGGTGACGTGTGGCACAGAGGTCGTAGTTAGAGGTGTCCGCCGTGCTCTGACTGACCACCCGGACTGGGTGGTCCTGCAGCTAGACGTGGCGAACGCCTTTAAACTCATTTCACCGAGACATGATGTTCCAGGCTTTGCAGGCCAGCCCAGAGTTCCAGTGCCTCATCCCTTTCATCGGCCTTTTCTACGGGACGCCCTCGGATCTCCACTACAGGACAGGTGAGGGAGTGGTCACGATGCACTCGGAGCGTGGCAGTCGCCAGGGAGACCCCCTCAGTCCCTTCCTGTACGCTCTGACACAGCGACTTTGCCCCTGGAGCCGGTTCTGACGGAGGGCGTTGTCCAGCTCTGGTCGTACGCCGACGACACGTACGTGCTAGGCCCCCCAGACAGGGTGCTACACCATTTCTCCGAGATCGTGAGGCGCTTGGGCGAGATGGGCCTCGCGGTCCAACCGCACAAGTGCCTCGTCTACCAGACTGAGTCTTTTTTGTCCAGGGACGTGGAGGCTTTCACGAGTCTTGGGGTCGAGGTCGCACGCCGGGGATTCACTGTGACGGGCGTGCCGGTGGGTACCGTTTCGTTTGTGGAGCGCAGCGTCCCGGATCGTCTCGAGAAGATGGGCGGGTGCTACCTTGGCTTCCGAGGGTTGCGCCAGCCCCAGACAGCTGCTCGCCTTCTTTCGGCATGTGTCAGCACTCGCCCGCAGTACCTGTCGAGGACTGTCCCTCCCTCACCCGCAGTGCTCTCCAGCTTCGCACGCTGGGACGCACACCTGGGAGAGACTTTTCAGCAGCTTTTAGCGTCAGGGACATGGGCATGCCGCGAGGACGTCAAAGATGCCGCCAGCGACCAGATCTTCCTCCCATCCGCCTTGGGGGTTTCGGCATTCGTCGCATGGAGCGCATTGCCCCGGTGAGTTTCGTGTGCTCTTGGGTGCAGTGTGCACCCATCCTCTGTTCTCTCCCTGTGTGTGGTGAGGTCTTTCGGCAGAGCTTTGCTTCCGGTGAGACAGAGCAGATCAACCCATCCCTACGGACGACGCTGGAGGGCCTTCCACCTGACATCCTCTCTCTCCTCCCACCCTGGCCCTCTGTGCCTCTGCTTCCCCCCGATTCCCTTTTTGCAGGAGCGAGGCGCCTTCTGGAGGCGCATGCCTTGGAGGTCGTGCGTGCCCGTCCACCTCTCCCTTGCACCTTGCCCGTTTGACTTCCCTTCAGGGCGTAGGTGCAGGTAGGTGGCTGCAGGCGGTGCCATACGCAGACGCCCTGCGCATTCCGGAGGCGGAGTGGCAGGTGGCTTCATCATGTCGTCTTGGTCTCCCTGTCCCCCAGTTAGCCCTCACAGGTCATGTGCTCCTGTGGACAGGCGATCGACGACATGACGGTGCCTCACCACGCGGTTCGGTGCCCACGATTCGGCGTCGCCACTGTCATCCACGACACGGTGAAGTTCGCGCTTCGAGACTTCGCTGTCGAGGCGGGCTTCGCGGTGAAGGTGGAGGACTCTACGCTGTTCACACACCTGGAGGCAGCTCGAGCGAGACTGCTGGGACAGCCGGTGGTGGGAGAGGGGACACGGGCTGGGGGGCCCTGGAGCAGGGGCTGAGGCGGGACTGCCGGGCGGCGGGGCACAGTGGGGACAGCATCAGCTGCGGGGTCGGGTGGCGCGAGGGGCAGGTGGGCAGAGGGGACGGCAGGGGGGTGCAGAACCAGCCAGGGCGGAGAGGGAGGACAGCAGAGGCAGCAGCAGGAGAGCCCGCACAGGTCGCAGGCTCAGGGCACCGCGCCTCAGGGTGTGGGGCTCGGGGGTGGGGCAGGGACCGAGAGCAAGCAGAGAGCGGACGGGGGTACAGGGGGGGCGGGGAGATTGGGAGGGGAGGTTCAGGGAGTGAGAGAGGCTGCAGGGGATCGAGCAGGGAGGTTGGGAGGTTTGGGGAGGGTAGAGAGGGGGAGGGGAGAGGACAGGTGGGTGGAGGAGAGGATAGGGGGAGAGAGACGACAGGAGAGGAGGCACCGAGGGACAGACAGGGCAAGCAGCCAGCGCAGCAGCAGGGACCCAGCCGGACGCACAGGCCGTACAGGCACCTCCTCCCGCATCCCAGACCTCACCTGCCGCGACGTCGGGCAGACTTTGATGGTTCTTGTGGATGTCTCCATAGCGGACCCACAGCGGGAGGGGAACGTGCAGCTGGGACGGGCGACCCCCACACAGATTGGAGTGGCCAGCAGCTAGGCGGGTGCAGGAGAAGCGGCGTCACTGGGGGCCGCACTTAGAGGGGTTGCAGCCGGCACCACACTTTTACCGCGTGCGTGGCTGAGACCTTTGGCCTACTGAGCGAGCCGTTGCGTCAGTTCCTGGGGCTCTGCGCGAAGAGGATAGCACAGCGGAGGGATTGGGGAGGAGGGGATGATGGATCAGCACGGATATTTGAGACAGGACTCACTACACGTCTCTCCGTGGCACTGCAGCGCGCGCAGGCTCGATGCATCTTACAGCATGCGGTGGCGGCAGTTGGGGGGATCCGACGACGGATAGATGCCCGCACCCGTCCCACTGGGTTGCGGGGCAGGGTACCTGGAACCATATCACAGGGTGCTTCGAGAGTGTTGCCGATATGCAATATATGTATGAGGCATATGTGTAGAGAGTTTAGTGGCTGTGGCTTGAAACGCTGTGCCCGCGTTTGGTGTGCGGGTTGCTGCCGTGTCTGGTCCCTTGGTGCTTCCTCCTCCTTAGTCCTCTTTCCCTCTCTCCTCTCCTCTTCCCACCTCCCTCTTTCTCTTCCTTTCATCTATCTTTTCTTCTTCTCTTCCACCACTCTCTTCTTTTCCCTACTACTTCTTTTCACTCCTTGACCTTTTCTTCTTCTTTCTTTCTTCTTTTCCCATACAGACAATATATGTCGTCCTCATAGAGCAGTGGTTATGCCGAAATTTTCCTCCTTTTGGAAAAACACTTATATTCGACTTGTAATTGTATTTACCTTATCAATAAATAACTGCTCTCGCCCACCGGCGCTTAGCTTCGGAGTTCTGATGGGATCCGGCGTAGTAGCCGAGGTATGATCGTACCACGACAATCCCGTGCCCCGACCGGTACACACCCCTTGCCCGGGTCCCCCCTTCATAGTCACACCCCCTGCCCCCTCATGCCATCCGCTCCCCCCGCCCTACCCTCCGCGTGCCCGCTCCCTCGCCGCCTCTTTTGACCCTCCCTGCCCCCCTCGCCGTTACCCACCGCTCGCCATTCGCTCCTCCCCGCCCGTGCCCTCCCCTCGTTTACCTTCGCCTCCCCCCTCCCCTCCTCTGCTGCACGCCTCTTCCTTCCCCTCGCTAACCCACTCCACTCCCTGCCCCTCCTCAATCCGCACCCTGCCCCTCGTTTCTCGCCCCCCTATGCTTGGTTTCTCCCCTCCCTGCCCCTCGCCGCCTTTCTCCGCTCCCCACCTCCCCCCTCTCCCTGCCCCCCCACTCTCCTCCACTTGCCCTTGGCTTCCCACCTCCCTGCCCCACCTTCCCCCCTTCGTGTGCTCAGCTTCTCCCCTCCCTGCCTCTCCCCTCACTCCCCCGCCCTGCCCCTCATTTTCCGCCCCCCCACGCCCGGTTTCTCCCCTCCCTGCACCTCCCTTTCTTTCTCCGTGCCTCTCCTTTGCTCCCTCCCTGCCCCCGCCTGCCCATGCCCCTGTCTTTTGGTTTCCTCCTCCCTGCCCCACGTTTCTTCCCTCCCTGAGATCACCTTGTACCCCCTCTGCCCCTCCCTTGTTCTCCCCGCACCCATTGCTTCTCCCCTCCCTGCCCTTGATTTCCCGCACCCCTGCCCTTGTTTCCTACCATCCCATGCCCCTCGTTTCCCCCTCTTTGTACGTTCACCCTCTTCCCTCCCTGCCCCTCCCTTCCTCCCCCCCTGCCCTTTGCTTCCCCTCGTACGCTCCCTTCTCCCCATCCCTGCTGCCCTCTTACCACCATCAGCCCGTCCCCACCACCAGCCCCCCTCCCACCCTTCTCCCCCCCCCCCTCTCCCTCTCTCTCTCTCTCTCTATCTCTCTCTCTCTCTCTCTCTCTCTCTTTCTCTCGCACACACACACACACACACACTCCCCTCCCCCACCCCCCCACCCACATCCTCCCGTTCTGCCCCTCCCTGCCCCTGTTCCACCCCCTCGCACGCCCCTCACCTCTCACCTCCGTTCAACTGGATTCCCCCCCTCTGGTGCATCCCTTGCATCGCTCGCCCCTCTGCTCACCCTCTGCCCGCCCCTTTTCCTTGCCCTCAGCTGGCCCAGCCCCTGCCCGTTGCTGCCCCTCCCCTTGCCCCCTCAACTCCCCTGCCCCCCGTACACCCCACTCCCGTCCAACCACCCCCACCCTCCCCGGCTGCCCGTTTCCGCTCTCCCCCCCGCGACCGTGTGCGGCTTCCAATCCGCCCAACGGTGGTGCGCACGGGGCGTTTCTTCGCGCGGGCAAGCCTCCCGGGGGCCCCCCCACCCCGCTGACTCGTTGTTTGGGCAAAAAAAATGGAAATAAAAAAGTCGGAGCGCTAAAATCGTCCTTTCTTTTTCCCGCTTGCCCTCCCCGGCACGTGCCGAGCAAGGGGCATAAATGGGTACAACACGAGGACTTCCGGGAGGTCACCCAGCCCAGTACTGCTCTCGCCCACCGGCGCTTAGCTTCGGAGTTCTGATGGGATCCGGCGTTCTGATGGGACCGCAGCAGGTGAGGCTGTAGGGACACAGCGGGTGAGGCTACAGGAGAGACCATGGCAGGTGAGGCCGCAGGGACCGCAGCAGGTGAGGCGGCAGGGACCACAGCGAGTGAGGCTGCAGGAGGGACCATGGCAGGTGAGGCCGCAGGGACCACAGCAGGTGAGGCCGCAGGGGCCGCAGCAGGTGAGGCTGAGCAGATTCTAGCAGGTGAGGCTGCACAGACTACAGCAGGTGAGGCCGCAGGGACTGCAGCAGGCAAGGCTGCAGAGACTGCAGCAGGTGAGGCTGCAGGAACCACAGCGGGTGAGGCTGCAGGAGGGACCATGGCAGGTGAGGCCGCAGGGACCGCAGCAGGTGAGGCTGCAGGGACCGCAGCAGGTGAGGCTGCAGGGGCCGCAGCAGGTGAGTGCTGCACAGACTACAGCAGGTGAGGCCGCAGGGACTGCAGCAGGTGAGGCCGCAGGGACTGCAGCAGGTGAGGCTGCAGGGACTGCAGCAGGTGAGGCTGCAGGGACTGCAGCAAGTGAGGCGCAGGGACCGCGGCAGGTGAGGCTGAGCAGATTCTGGTAGGCGAGGCTTCACAGACTGCAGCAGGTGAGGCGGCAGGGACTGTAGCAGGAGCGACAGGGGCCACGGTGGGGGCTGGTACAGGGGGAGGTGCTACGGGGGGGCTGCGCGGGGGAGGGTGTAACGGGGACTGGTGTGAGGGAGAGTGCCGCCCCGGCTGTAGCAGGAGAGGGTGCGGCAAGGGCCGGAGTGGGAGAGGGGACAGCAGAGGCCTCAAAGGCAGAAGGTGAGGCTGCAGCTGAAGCAGCAGGGAGGGCATTAGCACGGCCAGTAGGGGCAGCAGGGCCGCAGCAAGCGCGGTGGAGCACACAGCAGGGCCGGCAGAGACTGCAGAAGGGGCTAGCAGTAAAGAGACAGCAGGTGGGGTGGGCTCGGGGGACATAGGGGCAGGGGAGGGAGGAGAGAGCGAGCGAGGTCCCACCGGGGGGGCCACTGAAGGGGGGGATGTGATAGTGATAGAGGAGGATGAGGTAGAGGACGGGATGCACATCGACGGGCCACTGGCCCACTACCTCACGCTTGACGCGAGGCTGACTCGGCCCCCCTGCAGCCTCATGTCGAGGTTCCCCCTCTCCCCCCCATGCCCGACCCCATGCTAGCAGATGGACCGGTGGAGGGGCTGGAGGAGACTTTGAGGACAGAACCTCGCGAGGGAGACCCCATCCTTACCCCCCGTCCTCCAGCCCCACCCCCCCCCAGGAGCACCATTCCCCACCCCCACCCTCAGGTCCCTGTAGCATCCTGGGGGGCAGCCAAGGCCCTGGCCTTCTTGGCGGAGCCGTGCTCCCCGACCCCCACGCTGTTCCATGACCAGCCCCCCCTCTGTCCCCAACGCCTGACACCACGCTTACAGACGGTCCGTCAGGAGGAGCACGCCGGCACGGCGAGGGCAGAGCCTCCTACACCCAGCCCCATCCTTGCCCCTCACCCCTCCTCGCCCCTTTCCTCTCCCCTAAGAGCAGCACACTCCCGCCCCCACCCTCAGGGGTCCCTCTAGCATCACGGGGAGCAGCCAGGGCCCTGGCCTTCTTGGCGGAGCCGGGCTCCCCGACCCTAACACATCCAGTCACCCCCCACCAGCCCACTACCCCCACCCCCTCCAGGTCCTCCCCCACCCGGGGCTATGCACATTTCAGAGGTTCAAACTCAACCCTGACACACCGCCTCCATCCGCGCATTGCCCCACACCCTACACACACCCAAATCACCCAACTCGCCGCACAACCAACCCTCCCACCCTCCTCACACCAACCCCCCCAAGCATCCAAGTCCCAACCACAAGGACCCCTGCCCCTAGCTCAGGGAGGCGACGACACCATGGGCGCGGGGCCCACAGGAGGGGTTGCCAGCGGGAGGGGGCTCTGGTGCCAACGTTACAGCATGGGGGCACAACCTCTGAACCTCATTCCCCCCTCAATCCCCCCCCTTCACCACGCAGCCACCACAGACCTCACTCCCTCCACCACAAGCACCACGCCCTAACCGCTACATTGCTCCAGCCCTTCGCCCCCCACCCACAACCCCCGCCTACAGCCTGCCTCACCACGAGTGGCCCCGTTGGGCAGGACATCGCCCCCCACATACAGCCCACCACGGAGGGTGATGTCATGGGGAGAAGAGGATGCCACACTGAGCTTCCTCTACCTAGCAACCACCCATCCTCCCCTCACCCATCCCCTTAGCCTCTCAGCCCGCCCTTCCCTCACAACCAGACAGGGACAACCAAAACCAGGGTTGGCCGTCGACGGAAGAAGAA